GCGATACCATCCTCGCCCCAGCGATAGGCACGCGATCGTGCGTGTTCGTGGGGGAAGTCTGAAGGACGTCAGTGGAAGCTGCAAGAGGCTGTTGAGGGGCAGGTTAAGGAGAGTCAAACTCACGGCTCCATGCGTCGCCATCATGGCTGTAGTCCTCACGCACTAGAACACACGACAATTGTTAGATCACGAGCTTCTCGGACAGTCTGGTGTGGACAAGCTGTTGTGCGGATGGGCATATGCACGCACCTGTCGCCCACTGGCGCTCCGAGACGTAGGGACCCCATTTCTTCCAGTATTTCTCCCGCGTGCGATCCTCCTTGAGACGCTTCTCCTCCTCGGTGAGGTACTCGCGGCCGTCGACGAGGACCATGGTGACAATGTGGGACGGTGGGATGGTGGTGGGGGAGTTGGAGAAAGGTCAATTGGACGGCTCAACTTGGAGCAAGAGGCCAGAAGGTAGTAAGTCGGCAGGGAGAGTGGTAGAGACGTGGGAGAGGAGCAAAGACGAGTTGAAAGAGGAGGGAAAGAGACGGCTGGGCGACAAAGGGAACAAGGAATGAACTTGTCACGAATGCGCTTCGATTCGGGAGTCGTCGTTTGTTTGCCGCTGATCTTTTTGCCGTTTGTCTTTAGGAGCTTTCTTTTCTCACAGATGATCTGGTGCGCCACTTGTGCCTGGCGCTAGAGCCAAAAGCCGGAGGAGAAGAAAAGGACCAAAAAGCAAGTAACAGGAACAGCAGCAATGCAGGAAACGGATGCGAGCTGTCGAGAACGGTTCGGGTTCCTCTCGAGTCCAAAACGTAGGCAAAGGAAAAAAAACGAGAGTTGCTATTGGGTGTTCGGAGATCAGAGTAGTAGTGGCGTGGTGATGGCAGGTGGAAGGCTGCCAAGGAAGGTGGTCTAGATTACGAGTGATGAACGGAGTAGTCTACGGAGTAGGTCGTAATGCGTCGTTGCAGAACGTGCCTGCCAAATCAGAAGAGAAGAGACCCAAAGACGGCAATTACGAGACATGGGGCAGGGACGAAGGATGGCGGCAGGGAAGGGAAGGTGTGGTCGCCATCAACTTCGAGCATTTAGTAGAGTAGTTCCGTTGCTCTTGCCGGATTTCTGCGAGCAACAACGCGAGGAGGGAAGGTGCAGAGGACGGCAGGAGGGAGGCGAACTCGAGCACCCAACAAGCTTTTGTTCTTTCCGAGTTCCACCCTACGAGTGCTACAGGAGCACGACTTGCTCCGTTTAATTGCTCCGGTTTCTTATGCACTGCAACCCGGGCGGGATCGGTGAATGATAGCAGAATCTGCGGAGCAGAGGAGCTTGGCCGACCCGCCGGTACAAAACTACAGACAAAAGCTGCGATGGCAGACGATAAAATAGTGGGGTGACGTCAATGGACTAGTTTGAAGCTCCCTGGTGCTGCCTAAGACCACAGAGCATTTAGAGAGCAGTTACATTCGTACAGTGTCTCAGTGTCATAAGGAAGGGCGGAGGAGCCAAGTTGCACTTGCAGAAAGCACAAAGCAAAGCACAAAGCACCCAAGAGCAAAAGCTCCGATAAACCGTGCGACCAGGTTGTCGGCTGTGTCTCACATGCAGCAGCTAGTTGAAATGCAGCACTGACAGGAAGAGATGCAGATAGATGAGGGTACATGTGCGAGCGTCGAGTGGGGTCCACGACGCAGTGCAACGATATCATGGTCAAGCAGGCTGCTGCTCGGCCGTGCGCAATTGGTTGTTCAAAGGAAGTCTGTTCAAAGTCATAACGTCATCACTGTGCCGGGGTGTCAGGATGAGACGTCCGGTCGCTCTGAGCGGTGAGTGGAAAACGTGCGGAGAGCAAGGAATAGACATGAGAAACAAAAGCACAGCATGAACCCTGGCTCCAGTTGCAGAAGATACGTCAATTCGGTTGTTATTCTCATCACAATTCGACAGGAACTGCATCTTGAGGCCCGTGTCGCTGCTATTGTTGATTACGCGCAGCCGGGTGGACGGCAATTGGGTCTTACTCTTGCTGCTCTGCGTTTGTGGTTGTGTTGGTTTGAAGCTTCGTCGTAATTTTGGGACTGGGGCCTGGCCTGGTCTAAAAGTTTGGCGCGGGACGGACAAGGTAGAGCAGGGCGCAGGACAAGGGGCAGATCTCGGTCAGGGGAGAAGCTTGGTCAGCGCACGTTTGTTGCTACGGGTCTGGACGCTTGTTGGCCGCCGGCATGTTTAGAGGGGTTTTCATGTGCTTTTGTTGTTGAGATCGTCCGACTGCCACAGTAACTTACCCATACTATCGACATCCAACAAAGGGCGGACATCACGCGGAGTTGGTTGTTCATGAGTGTATGTGAGAAGCTTCGCTATGTTTTACGTCTTTGATCTTTTTTCTTTTTTTGGCTCTCTTACAGAAAGAGACACAATGAATACTACAGCCATTCATAGCCCAAAAAATCCAACGAGGCAAAACGAATTCAACATGGCCGAAAAACAGAAAAGGTAAAGGCAAAGTCTGACGCGAGCATACGCCTGTTCTCCCATCTATCTGACCCGAGAAATTTTTGTATCATGCTCTGCTATTTGCTGTTCGCGAGCTATTGTCGCTGTTATCAACGTCATCATCGCTGTTCGTTTGTCTTCCGTAACATTATAACTTGGCTTTGACGGACGCACCAGGACCCGTAGCCTCCTGGTTCACGACCACGTCGCCGCCAGCTGCCGGACCTGCGCCGTCACCAAAGAAGATGACCTGCACCGTGAGATCGTCCCTGCGATTGTTAGTGCCCTGAAGAAAAGATGAAAAGATAAAAGATAACAAAAAGAAAGAAAGGAAACGAGTGCACGGGGAGCTTACCGGTAACGTCTGGAGAAGGGTGCTGGCAGCGTCAGGAGGGCCGACACCTGCTCCTCGTTGGAGCCGCCCAGCGCGTTGCGCACCAAGTGCGTGGCCGCGTTCTTATCCTTCACCACGAACCTGTCTTTGTCGTCGGGCGAGATACCCCACTGCCGCAGCCGGATCGGCGTGCGCTCGCCGTTCTTGCCAGTGCTGCCCTCGACGGCTGCCTCGACAGGCAGCGCGTTGCCCGCCTTGCGGCCAAAGACCTTGGACCATGCCGACTCCATGGCCGAGCTGCCCGTGTTGCCGCTGTGGCCCGCCGCCTTGGCCTGCGACTCAATCCACTTGCCCACGAGGCCGACGGCCTCTTCGTTGGTCAGCATCTCCCAGAGGCCGTCCGTAGCCATGACGATAAAGTCGCCGTTCTCGGGCTCAATCTTGGTCGTCGTCACCACCGGCTCGGCCGTGACGTACGGCGGCGTGCGCATAAACGGCGACTGGCTGCGGCCAAAGAACGAGTTGCGCAGGCGGTCCGACACGTCGCGCGTCCACTTGTACGAGGCATCGCCAAACGCGCGCGTGGGCTCCAGGCCGCCCAGCACGCGGCCGTTGCGGATGACATGCTCTTCGCCAGGGTGCAGGCCACGCATGCGGGCCACCTCGTCGGGGTTGCTGCCGGTCTGGTCGACCGAGAGCGGCGTGGCAGTCCACTTGCCCGACGGTGAGCGGCGGCCAAGCACCGCACGCGAGTCTCCGGTGCAAGCCACACGCAGCAGCTTTGATTTGCTGTCGTAAAAGGACAGGAGTGCACACGAGCCGGACAGCGCTGGCGCCAGCAGCTCGGCGGCAACCGTCTTGGATTTTTGGCTCAGGACCTTTTCCGCGCTCTGGTTGACAATATCATCGTCCAGGCGCGTGAAGCCGATCTTGATGGCGCCTTCAATGGCGTCGGCTGGCGGGCCGGCCTCGCTCGGGGCAGCCTTGTACGTCTCGTTCAGCTCGTGGGCCACGTAGTTGATCAGCGCCTGGCGCAGCTTTGCCGACGTGGTCCATCCGCTGTCAAAGGGCAGGTTAGCATGAATTTCAAAACCATTTGAAGCAGAAAAGGGTTACACATACGAATGACCGTCAAAGACGCCCCAGAACATCCAGTCGGAGGAGTCGCTGCTCACAACGCTGCCGGCAGCGCTCTTGGTCGGCACCTCGACAATCTTCTCGGCGTGGTCGTCCTCGATCGGGTCGTTGCTGGCCAGCTGCACGAGGTCGTAGCGAAGGACGCCCTTGCCGCGATTGATCCCGTACGACTCCTCGTTCGTGCGCAGCCGCTGCGTCACTTGGTCGGGGGCCAGCATCTCGAGCACGCGCCGGCCAGACCCGTCTGTCATTTTCAAGATCGGTCCGTCGCCGACCAGAGTGCCTGTGCTCAGTTCGTTGGCGCCAATGACAAGCACGTTACGCGTCGTCTGTGCAGCGTCCGAGCCCGTCGTGGCTCCGGGTCCCGCCAGGGATGCGCCCGTCGTGGATGTGACGGCACCGGCCGCCGCCACCGCCGCTTTCGTCGAGAACAGAGACTGGCCCGCAGGTGTGCCGCCCTGGCCCTGGTATGCGTAGTAGGCGCCGTAACCGACAATGCCCGACACGAGCGCAACGGACAGCCGCCGGACGTGCATGGAGGAGTGGAGCGGCTCGCCCGACGAGTTGGGCGGCGGTGGTAATGAGGACGACGACGATATACGCGACGATCGCCGCTGCAGCGAGTGGACAAACGGTGTCGACGAGAGGCAGCGCACTCGCTGGCTGTTGAGGGCCTGGTAGTGCTGGTGGTTGTGGGGATTGTGGTGGGAGGCAGATTGGAGGAAGAGGGCGGCGGAGCGGCGGTTCGTGCGTTGTAATAGGCCGCGGACCGTATGCTGGCTCGTTGTCCGGAACGCCCGTACTGCTGCGCGACGCATGAGGGCGGTGGAGGGCGAAGCTGATGAGAAAAATTCAAAGGAGAAAGCAGGTCGTAAGGAAGCCTCCAATAAATGTGGACGACGGCGAGACGGGAAGTTCTAAAACGGCAGGGGTTTCTGGTGAGGTATGGCAGTTCGGCAGAGGCGGTGTGAACTGTACATAGAGTGAGATATGCTTGTCGACTTCATAAGGTCGATTGTCCCTGTCCGAAATATCCTTCACAATGATCTCAAGATCGTTTGAAGACGAGGATGCGGATTGGAAGCCGTCAGCGGAGAGACGGTGGCAGAAAGAGCAGGCAGGTGCCCACCGAGGAGGTGCTTGCCACAAAAGAGGAAGGCGGGCAAAGGCGGGTGGGACCTGGAAGGAAGAGCGACGGTGGCGCGGGGTGGGTGATCAGGCATGGATTATTTGGCGCGGAGCCAGGGCGAGTCTGGATGACAGGCCGGGATAGGCTGCTAAGTAGAACCTGACTGGCTGAGACTGCGAGGCCAGTGACAGGCGTTTGCACGCTGTAATGGCACGCGACGTTAGCGCCTGATTGCGGCAAAAGCCTCGGCTTAAGGCCCTATAGGCTCCACGAGTCACAGGCCGTCATCTAAGTCACATCTTCCCATGTGCATTCAGCCTTGCTGTTGGGGACGACCTCTACGACTTTTTTTTTATATATACAGACAACTCACCGTCGAAGCTATTTTTCTGAAGAACGAAACATACTGCTTACGTGCGCACGCACGCAAACATACACACAGACACACGCAATGGCTTCTGCGCCTGCTGCTGACCAGACAGCTCCGGCTGGACCGGCCACGGCGGCCGAGTTCGAGGCATTCGACAGTTTTCCCTGGTCAAAGCATCGGGTCTTTTTGGTATGATCCTGAGGAGGTTTGGGATAACGATTTCACTTTGGAAGAATGTGCAGGAACTGACAAAGTACAGCTTGGCCTCATTGAAACCCTCGGCGGCCCCGACGCCCTACGCCCCAATCCGACACACGAGGGCAGCGCCGCCTTCTGCCGTACCGTCTTCTTCCGCCGCCAGACTGGTCGCCGCGTCGACTTCTCCCGCTATAATGGCTTCCGTGCCGACCATCCAGAGTACCCATCAATCGACAGGCGGTTGCTGAGTGCGCTGTATGCAGCGTCCGCCAGCATTGAGGGCGAGCTGGGGCTGGGCGACTTGTCCCTAGGCGGTAGCTCGAAGACGTCGTCAACGTCGGGGCAAGAAAGTCCAACGTCGCCCAATCCGCTGGCCTCGCCCAGCACGAACCGCAACAGGCGTCTTGCCGAGGCTGTGGCTGCCGGACCCGTGATCAATCCCTTTGACGGGACACCAACACCACCGGTCGACGCGGAGACCAGCAATGGCAGTGGTGTGGACATCCCCTCGTGGCAGCGGAGTGCACCACGTAACACGCTCAAGGTCGATCGTGCGGCGGCACCAACAGGGACGGGCGGGGGCGGTGCAGGTGCCGGCGAGGCGCCGTACTCGGACAAGTTCGCCAAGGTCGTGGAAGCCATTCAGACTGGCAAGGAGCTTGACGGCATCAAGCAGATTCCCGACACGGTTATACGACAACCAGTACGTTTGCCACCCAGATGCCATACATACGACCTCTAAGTATCATGCTGACTATCTAGGGCATCACGCCGATGGGCAAACTGAAGGCACCACGCAAGCCGTGGGAGACTGCCGCTTCGGCATCCCCCCTGGCATCTGGCCTCTCGTTCGTTGATGGCGCTCTGACACCTTCGGATGGGGAGCAGGGACAGCAGGAACAAAAACTGGGATTGGGAGGGGGCCAGCCTTTGGTAGACTTGGAGTTCCCTGAGCCACCTCCGTCACCACCTGCAGATGGGGAGATACCGACAGAAGCAGACGGTGGGAGCAGCCCGGTGACTAACTAAAGAAAGGGAGGTGTATTTCAAAAGCGAGTATTATTGTTTTAATTATTGCAGTCTAAACCGTCTTGGGCTTTGGCTACATTTCGAGATTCTCAAATCGTGACACAAATCGTCACCTTTAATCATATCATACAGTACGGGGGACACAGCCTCAATATGTATCCATGATTTTTTATTATTTACTTGTCTACCCAATCCTCTTCCCCCCTCCTGTATATGTACAAAATATGCGAGAGAAAAAGGAATAAAACGAAAAACTCGAAATGGAGCAAGTGCACGAAAAAGAGACGCGGGAAAAACGAAAGAGAACAACAGAAATATGGGGGAACAAAATGGGGACAACGTTATTTTTGGGTGTAGGCGGTGGCCTCGTATAATGTTTCGTTTTCTTTGATTTTTTCTTCTTCTTTCATCCGCTTATGACCATCCTTTGTCGTTGGCCGTGTCAACGTGCCGCCACCCTATACGCCATACGCGACCTGGCCCAGAGGCTTGTCCTCGCCGGTACCGGGTGCCATGAAGTTGGTCTTGGGGTTGCCGGATGCCTTGGCGGCGGAGCACCGTGCCATTGTAGGAGAGCTGTCGTTGGTTAGCAAGAAAAAAATGAAATGAATAATAAAAACAGAGACAAGAGAAACATATGGCGACCGGGAAGTACAAGTACGAACCTTCTTGAGATGACATCAGTAAAATAAAAGTTTTCAATGACCTTGGTCAGCGGCGCACCCGTCGCCTTGGTGCCCTTGTTCTGGTCCGCCAGCTGCACCTTGCTCAGCTGCTTCAGTGCCACCGGCTCCACAACATCGTATGCGGCCAGTGCCGGGCTGATCTCCACCATGCGGTCGCGCACCTGCGCCAGGTCATCGTAGGCCAGGGGCACGTTGAGGAACTCGCTTGCCGCGCGCAGAATCTTCCAGTCCGTGCGTGCCGCACCAGGCAAGCTCGTGGCGGGTCGCGTCATCTGCACGCGACCCTCCGTGTTGACGTAGGTGCCAGACTTTTCGGTGTAGGCGGCACCGGGCAGGACAACATCGGCCAGCTGCGCACCCTTGTCACCGTGGTGGCCCTGGTACACGACAAACGCATCCTTGGGGATATCCGCCTCGGTGATCTCGTCGGCGCCGAGCAGCCAGATGAACTTGGGCTTGGTCTCTGCGACGGCAGCCGACGGAGGCACGAAGCCAACCTCGTAGGCGCCGGCGCGAGAGGCCTCGCGCTGCAGAACGTTGTAGCCATTCCACTCCTCGGTCAGGAACGTGGCAGCGTTCTTCTCGACAAAGCCGCCGATCAGCTCGTAGAAGCCCTTGGCGTCGGCATGCTCAGTGACACCCGAGCCCACAATGATCATGGGGCGCTTGGCGGCCTGGAGCTTCTTGCCGAACGGACCGGCCAGAGCCTTCTTCAGAGCGGCGTGGTCGGTGCCGAGGTGCTCGAACTCGAAAGTGGACTCGAAGGACTCGCCAACAACGCCAATCTCGAGGTCAGAGCGCAGCCACTGCTTGCGGATGCGGGCATTGAGAACGGCCGCCTCGTGGCGCGGGTTGCTGCCGACAATCAGAATGGCGTCGGCCTCCTCGATACCGGCAATCCGGGAGTTGAAGATGTAGTTGGAACGGACGTCGACGCCATGAGCGACGGGGGCGCTGCCATTGGGGGTGTCCAAGGCCAGGTTGTCAGAGCCAAGACGGTTCGCCAGGTCTTTGAGGACGACGAGCGACTCAACATCCACGAGGGCGCCGGCGATGGCCTTGAACTCGTTACCCTTGGGGGCAGCCTTGGCGAAGCCGTGGTTGACCTCAGCCAGGGCCTGCTCCCACGAGGCGGGCTCGAAGCGGCCCTCGCGACGCACCAGGGGGATAGTGAGGCGCTGGGTCTTGAGGCCGTCGACAGCAAAGCGCGACTTGTCGTTGATCCACTCCTCGTTGACATCGTCGTTCAGGCGGGGGAGGACGCGCATAACCTCGAGGCCACGCGAGTCGACTCGGATGTTGGAGCCGAGGCCGTCGAGCACATCAATGGACTCCGTGTGCTTCAGCTCCCAGGGACGGGCCTTAAAGGCGTACGGCTTGGAGGTCAGGGCACCGACGGGGCACAGGTCGATCACGTTGGCGGACAACTCGGAGTCGAGGTTCTTCTCCAGGTAGGTACCGATCTGCAGGTCGTTGCCACGGCCGGTAGAGCCGAGCTCGGGCATGCCGGCAATGTCGTTGGCGAAGCGGACACAGCGGGTGCAGTGGATGCAGCGGTTCATGGACGTCTTGATCAGGGGGCCGATGTTCTTGTCCTCAACGGCGCGCTTGCCGTCAATCTCGTGGAAGCGACCGCGGTCCGCACCGTAGCGCATCGACTGGTCCTGGAGATCGCACTCGCCACCCTGGTCGCAGACAGGGCAGTCAAGAGGGTGGTTGGCAAGCAGGAACTCCATAACACCCTCACGGGCCTTGTGGACCAGTGGCGAGTTGGTCTTGACGACCATGCCGGGCTGGACGGGCCACGCACAGGAGGCGACGGGTTTCGGCGCACGCTCGACCTCCACGAGGCACATTCTGCAGTTGCCGGCAATCATGAGCTTTCTACAATAGAAATATGTGTTAGCTGTATTCCACCGATGACAGATGGTTGGCATATTTGTCCATCGTATGTCATATGCCATCGTTTCTCGAATGCAGTTGCGTCATCGGCTAGATTGGGGGATGCACGCACTCATGATAGCAGTATCTGTAGGATCAACGGGTTAGGTATTGTCACTCCAGAAGACAAGACAAAACGTGAAATCGTGGACCAGGCCAACTCACCTTGGGACCGTCGCGCCCGCCTTCTCGCAGGCCTGGATCAGGGCCGAACCGGCTGTATCACATTGTCAATATCTCGAATTCTCGGCCCCCGAAGTCATCGTTCGGAGGTCATGGCCAGTTGGACAGGCTGTATAGCCTGGGCATACCTTCTATGGACACCTTCTTGCCATCTGTTTAGCCCCAACCTCGTTAGTATCACCATGCATGTCGTTGATAGTCAACACATGGGTTGTCAAGGCGGTCCGTACCGATTGTGAGCTCGACCTCCGCTGGTCTCTGTGCTGTGGCCGAAAATGCCCGTGACGCCCGGACGGCGTGTCTGCCGGTCCGCAGCGCTGTCCGGGAAAGGGCTTGCCGGAGCATTGTGGTTGTGTGGGTTGTGTAGTGGGTGGAGGTGGATTTCCAATCCAAGGCAATTATGCGGGAAAAAACAAGCAAACAAGCCGCCGTGACCGTTGGCAACGGAGAGCCGGAAGAGGGCGGCGACGGGACAATTGGTGCTCGGCAACCGATAAAAACGTGATCCCGATGATCAGGAGTCGTCGTGGAAGGGGGCGCGTGCGGTGGTCGGGAGCCTCGCCTCGTTGCTGCTGTGCTGCGTGTCGTTCGTTGCACACTGTTGGGATTTTTCGAGGTGGGCAAAATGGAGACAGCCAGGCTGGGACGAAGGGAGCGAATTGCCTTTCCGCTGAGAGTGGCCGCGATTGGCTTCAGGCGGCCTCTGATTGGCCAGAGCCAACAAGAAGTACCCCACACCCGGAAAGAAGCTCAATGGGCGGTGTGACTGGGCAAAATCTGGCATGAATGGCTCCAAGGCCGGTGTTCGTTGAGTGCTCTGGTACTCAACAGGCGGTCACTGAACCAGCATCAAGGACATATCCGATTCTATCAAGTTCAGACTTGGTAAACTGTATGCGTACTTCTGTATAAAAATCTCGGAATATTGATATCGCCCAAACAACACACATATGTACCGTATTCGACCCCATTCACGTGACATATCACACTAAAGCCAGCCCCTGAAAGTACCTGTAGTTCAGCGACGATTGTGAGGTGGAGTAGGTATTACTTTGTCTCAGAACGGAGGTCCCACTTTATTTAAATTTCAGACCTTTAAAACGGAAAGCGCAGTCCATTTTTTTCTGTTTCTATTCTTCTCTTCTTTCTCTCCATATTGTACTACGGGCACATTTTATTGTAGGTGAGCTTGGACATCTGTTTGCACGCGAGCAATCGTGTTACAGCAGTTTGTTTCAGTCGAGTCCCCCTCTATCTTGTGCTCAAGAGAGATTTTCTTGGAACGGCACCGTTTATGGAAGCATGGTATTAGCAGTGGTTTCTCCTTGTGAGAAGCTGTGGCCATGACCACCGCCTCTTACCGCCGGTTGCTACATTGCTTCACACATGTTGGAACGACATTTACGACAACAGCCTGGCCTTCGGTCTGACGTGAGAACGATTTCGACGTTAGGAGGAACGGACTGAACATTGCTATGGGTGTCGTAGGAGTCGTAAAGGAAGGTATCCGGACGACATCGAAACATCGTGGCGGCATCATGTCCCCGTCATGGCTACATCTTGTGGCTCCTCCGCCGCTGTACCCGAACCAGAATTGGATCCCGGCCTTTCGTCTTCCGTCTCCGCAGCCACCCGTGCTTCCCTGTCTCCCGGCAAGGAGCCAAACCGCTCGTCCAGCAGTTTCTGCTCGCGCTCCAGATTCTCTGTCCACGTTGCTCGAAGTTTCCCCATGTGCGCGTCGAAACCAGACATCTGTCCCAGAGCCTGCTCAATGACTTCGCTCAGCTGCCGTACCGATGCACGCCGCCCGCCGCGCACTTCACCCGCTTCGACTGGGAACCGCAGCGGCAGGTGTTGGTCCAGATAGGGTGCGGCGTTGTAGTCGACGCCAGGAACGGCTGGCGCACGCATGGTGGCGATCATGACGTCGATCTCATCGTGCGAGATGGTCTCGTCGTCGTCGAGGAGGAGGTTGTCGGTAGGTGGCAGCCGATCTAGAAGTACACCGCCCTCCGTAGCCTTTCCCTTGCCTTTATCCGTAGAAGGTCTTGCACTCGTGGTACTCTCGGCCGGATTTGGTGCTGCTTCGTATGTTTCTGCCTCTTTTGCTGCGTCGGCTGATTCTCTTGCTTCCTTTGCTGCCCGTGCTTCCGCCATTTCCGTCTTACGTGCCATGGCGGCTCCGATAATGTGTCGGCGGTCCATATCCGCCAAGTACATGAAGCCTTCTCGCACGCCTGTGCGGTAGTATTCGAGCGTGTCCAACATGGCTTTGGCGCGCTCAATGCGACTGCGCGGTGGGTCAAACGGCTGGGTCAAGTCGGCGTCGGCGCGGAGCGGCACGAACATGGCCGGAATCGCGCTGGTGACCCGTGTTGGCGGAAGCTTGTATGTAGTCGCAGGGGGCGTCTCTTGTGCGGGCGACGACATGCTTTGTGGAGGCACTGTTGATTGCACGGTCGGTACCACCGGCGTTTCAGTTCCCTTCTCTGCTGCTTGTGAAGTTTGACCCTCGCCCATTGGCACATCAATGTCCGCCTCAACTGGGGAGACTACGAGGCCGTCGTCGCTCATGATGGGCCGAAGAAGAGGTAGCCAGGCCGGGTAGTGTTATTACTTGGTCGACTGCAATGGGCGGCATTCGGAAGGGCCTCTTGAAAACGTATTATGAGTCGTGGCAGTTCATTTTCGCCAAGAAAGCAAGAAACGTAAATGTGCAAAGTGATTGCAACTCTGTAGCTGTTTTGGAGCTTTATCTGGCGAAGCAACCTGTATTGGCTCCCCATAGCACCTATATTGTTAGTATTATGTAATTCAAGCAATGAGTTTTCTGGGTGGCATTTCAATTTTTTATCGTGAGCTGAATGCTTGAAAGGCATTTTAAATTATTTATTCCTCTTTTGGCAAATGTATAAAAGGTTAACTTTGATATTTTACATTTCACAATTTAAAAGATCAAGAAAAGCGAAATGTAAAGGGTATATATGTCAAATGCGAGACATTCATCCCTACAATATTCTGGCTTCTGCGACGTGACGTCTTCCAAGGCGCCAAAGTCAATCTCTTTACATTTTGTACAGTGAAGTAAGTGATGATATGTACACGTAATGGCTAAATAAAACGACAAAATGTATATGCAGAACAGTAACCCAAGTCTTTAGTAAAATGACACGCGATGGTTTTGCCTCGTGTGGGATGCAAAGTCTCGAGACACCAACAGCGCAGACATTCCTTGGTTACCGTCACCTTGATGGTAAGATCTTCCGGATGTACTCGCGCAGCACCCGCAACGCACCGCGGACGTGGTCTTCCAACCGCCGGTCTTTCCGCCGACGCATCCAAAGCAGTACAAGAGCTAGGACAAAGAGGTCCAAGGTGACATGTTTGAACAGCGCCCAGGCCAACCAGCCAAACCAGGCAACGGGGCTCTTCTCGCGGCGAGACCGGAACTCCCGCCCTGATGTGATTTGTTCACGCAATGCTGCAATCTCGGCCGAGAGCTTGACCATGGCGCGCTCCATCATTTTGGACCACCGTTGGCTCCCACGTTTAGCCACATCACCAGAGTCTGCTCCAGCAGCAGTGGCTGCCGCTGCCGCGGCACCGGACCTCTGACTGCCCCCTCGGCTGCCTCCTGGACCGGCACCGTATTGGCTTCCGTTGTGAACTGTGGTGATACCGCGCCGCCGTCTTTTTGCTGCGGCATTTCCACCGTCTTCATCCTCTTCCTCTTCGTCACCATCGTCGGCGGAGGCTGCTGCCTCGAGTTCTTCTTCGATCATGCGTATGCGGTTCTCCCGTTCGGCCTCGTCTTCCTCGCTCATAGGACTCAAAATTTTCATGGGCCCGCCGTCCGACGCCGTTGCTGCTAGGCTTGGTCGCCGGTGCTGCCGCTCGTTCTCGTGGTCGTGGTCGTGGTCATGATCGCGGGTATGGTCACGGTCAAATTTGCGATCGCGGTCGCGCTGGTCTCGATCTACGTAGTCTCGCGTGTCGTAGTACTCGTCCTGTCGTGGGGACTGGGGCATGCCGTATAATGTGTCTTTCCGGAAAGAGCCAGAAGAACTGGGGCTGTGGTTGTCCTTGATCTGGTTCCAGACAAATTCGAGTTCGGCAACAAGCTCGTTGGCGGTACTATTGGCAGGCACGGGGTGAGTCCTCTGTTAGCTTCGGCTCCAATGCAGTCAGCAAGTCAGCCTGGATGGCAAGGGAGCTTACGGTGTTGTGGCATAAGTGTGCATGGTCTCGATCAGGCTCTCAATGTAGCGGCGCTTGGCCTCGGTCCGGCCGAGTCCTCGTTGGGCATTCCATGCATCCCACTTGTCCTGTTCGCGGCGCAGCTCGTCGACGGCGAGTCCGGAGTAGGCGTTGGGCCGCTCCATAACGCCGTCGATGTCCCCCTCCATGGCTTGTTTGTAGAGGCCATAGAGGCGCATACGGTCGCTGGGTGGTGGGCGGGCGGCGCCCGTCTTAGGGATCTTCTTGACGGTGTTGAGCGCATGGACGAAAACGCGATCTGGGACGAACGGAAGAGAACATGTCAGCATTGGAACGATTTGGCATAAGCCGGTACCAACGGTGTGAGGAGAGATGTACCAACTGAGTCGGCCATGGTTGGCAGTTGCGTGAGTGAATTGGGGCTAATCGACGGATGCAGAAAAGGTGTCGGCGGGATGTGATGTCACGTATCACGGAGGACTGTTGTCCTCGATAGGTCCACAGCGCACGCTTCCGAAGCCTCGTCAGGCTTGGTTGAAGTCGCCCAATGCGGGCTATGCGCAGGAACAAAGGACGGTGATGAAATAGAAAGACGAGAATATGCCGTGTAACAAGAAAGGTCGACGCACGTAAGGGGCGACGGCGCGTGAAGCAACTGTATGCAGTGAGAGCCGTGCTGGTGTTTAGTCTTCCAATGTTTTTGGCTAGTCCGTCACCGTTGAGAAGAGCCGAGGGTAGTCGCTGGCAGCTTTTGCAACGTCAGGTACACACGTCGTCCTGTTGGGAAAGAGCGACTGACAGGGGAGGCGCGGAATGGTAATCACCATGACAAGACCAGCAGGAGCGATGGGGAATAGGAGGCTACAACAAATCACAAAAGAATGAAGAGGAAAGGCAATGGCGATGCTTTGACGCGGGATGGTCCTTACTATGGGCGATTCTCAGCTATTTGGCGGAGAAGGGCCTGGCCACGACACGCACTGGGGATGAATTGGGGTTCGTGGAGTGACAGTAGAGCAAAAGTGTGCAAAGACAGAAAGAGCACGTCTGTCGCTGGTACACCTCTCTTTGGTTCGCTTGTGGAGGCGATGGCTTTCTTTGACTTGCCTCGGCGTGCGGAGGTGCAGATCCGCAGGGCCTGTCAAGCGCGTGCTGTTGTCTGATGTATCATGTCGTAATGTAAGATAAGTACTGCAGTGCTGCCGTGAATTAATTACAGCTCCTATATTGCCCTATATCTGATAGTCGCGAAAGCCCTATTAAACGCTAATGTTCCTGCAAACATCCTACGGGCGCTGAATCATACCCCAGCAAGCACCCGCGTGCCTGGAATGCCCCTGTAAATCAAGACGCTGGCGCCGAGGCACGTGAAAGAGATTCAACTACTCATAACGTCTCGACAAGCATTATTCCGTACGGAGTAAATATTTAAGCTCCTCAGCTAGGTATACATAAAGTCGAGTACGTGCAAAGGGAGAGCTTCTGATTAGAAAACCCGAGCGGGGTTTAAACACTGCTCGACACCTCGGTCGTATCAGATTTCTTTTGGTTTGATTTTAATTTGATTTGTTGTCGTCACATTTCTGTGTCTCCTAGCAGTTTTAGTCTGACGTGAAGCCCGGTCACGAGATCTCAAGCTTCAGGATGTGCTTGGCTTTTATCGCCATAGATATTTGCCTTTTGGGCTACATAGAACTTCATCTTTGCCTTGTTCTCCAGCGCTCGTTCGGCAGCCTTTCCACCGGCCTCCTTCTTGCTCAGCGCCGAACCGTATCCGAGGCACTCTGATTTGCCCCAGGCGTCTACCCACACGGCCACCGTAAACAGCGGCATCTTGCTGTGTTTATCCCGAAGAACCTTTTTTGTAGGTGCATCTTCGTACCGGATTTTGACCTCTTTGCATCCGATCAGTGCAGCGAGCTGGACCTTGGCGGTCAATGTCGTTTTCTTTAGCGGAGGGAAGTCTTGGGTTGGTTCCTTCGTTGGTGTGCTCTTGTCACCTTGTGATGCGATATCAGCTTCCGTCGAGACTGTTGCTGTCGCCGTTGTTGTTGTTGTTGTTGGTGTTGTTGTTGTAGCCGGCGTGTCATTACCCGGACTTGCTACTGCATTGGCGATCAAGGCTTGCATCGACAGTTGCGGTTTGTCGACCGAAGCTGCAAACGGTTGGGTATGCATCTGGGTACGACGGACGTTATACTTGCGCTCAATCTCTTTGGAGAGCGACATTGCCCACAAGGATTTGAGCCACCGCAGGGCGATTGTGACGCCGTCGTATGCTGGCACATTCGCAGCGGCTGGCGGGCGTGCACGAATCAAAGCCCCTACGTAGGCCTCGAAGAGATCGCCATTCACTTTTTCTCGTTCTTTGGCCGCCGCTTTGGTGCCGCGCGCTGGCGCGCTGTCTGTGAACTCGGCAGGGAGCCTGGCGCGCTTTTCAATTCCATAGTGTGTTGTATACTGTGCCAGGTTGGAGTTGCGTAGCAGGCCCTCTCGCATCTGCGACTTTCGTCCAGGCGTCAAGTGCGGAAACGTCTGTGTAATGATCTCAGAGGCGGCGTAGTAGATGAAAGCGTCGCCTAGAAACTCCAGCGTCTCGTAGTTCGCGACCTCGTTCCAGCCACGGTGTGTCAAGGCCATTTGTTCAAGCTTTTCGTCTGGGATGGGTGGCAATGGCGGATACTCAGTCGGAATGTCTTCGACTGTCCAGGCTGTCATGCTTACTAGACTTGGGATTAACGACATCGGATTCTGTATAGCCACTGCCTGGGAAGCTGTGAGGGTAGGTACAACTAGGCTTGAAGCAGCTCGTGCTGCTGTTTTTGGTTTGTCGTCGCCATTTTGGCTGGCAGAAGAGCCCTCACTACCGAGCGTTTGAAGTACTGGTAATGTGGTCTTGTTCAATGTGAGAAGTCGTTCCAGAGGCGCGCCGTATTCGCCAGAGTCGCCCAGTTCCGCTGCTTTCACGAAAGCGCGAATCTCTTTGTAGTATTCTCGTAACAATGTGAGCTTTTCTGGTGGTATTAATGGCGTAGCCTTTTGCCGCTTCGATATACCGCCAATCTCAACTGTGACGTCTAGAGATCGTTTTGACATGATGTCAAAGAATGCGGTGAGAATGCTATGAATGAAGAAAACAAAGCCCAAAAACATTTATATCACCAAAATTCATATCGAGACTAGCAACTTTTTGATGTTCGAGTTCCACAGTGCTGAAGTGTGATGTGTGAATATGCACTGGTATATTTGGACTGTGTGGATACAATGTCGACCAATTACAATCGTCATTTGTCACCGGCTTCTAGCGAAACTGCGACCAGAAAATAAACCACCCGACGACCATCCATTGCTTCTGCGAATTTCCGGTCGTACGCTTTCCTGTCCCACGAGCAACGGCGGCCCATTCTCTCCACGTCGCCAAGATGAGTGTCCCGCGCGCAAGACTGCTGGAGCTGCTGAAGGTAAGCATCTCAATTGACCCGTATCCCTCGTCCTGCGACCCGACAGCCCATTGAACCTGGCCAAGCTGATCGAGCTGATGAGTATCACCAATCATAGGCCCAGTGCAGAGTCTTCAACATGACCTACAATCCCGAGGGCATCCGCACGGGCAACAAGGTCCTGCGCCAGAGACTTCGTGGCCCTGCCCTGGCCTCCTACTACCCACGAAAGGCCGTCACCATCCGTGATCTCCAACGCGAATTCGGCCCCGACTTGGAGGCATTCGACGAGTGGGACGAAGATCGCCTGGAAGGTCTCGCTAAGTACGTTTGCCTACACTCCGATGCGCAACGACGCTCGTCAGTTTTTATGTCGATTTGTTCGGTACACTGACCTCCATTCTAGTCTCCGTGCCCGTGGCAAGGGCAACGCAAAGAAGAAGGCTGCCGGTAAGTTCTCCAGGAAGTAGTCAACTACCAATCTCGAGCCATGTGCTGACTCAAAGAAGACCCGAAAAGGAAATAAATGCAAAGCCAAACAAATAGAGCAATTGTACGATAGCGAAGATGTTATGGGCCGGCAAGAAAGTCGCGCTTTTCGGTTAGGCCTGGGCATGTTTCTACGGTTTTTTTCTGCCGAACCTTCCCATTTTGGATGTCGCCTACCACGCGAGATATACCAAATATACCAAATTTTTCATTTTCTTCTACCGTTTGTTTGGTTTGTCTTCATCGCTGCCTCTCTGACCGTGGAGAGCAAGCAAAGTCTCGGTCTTTCGCGCTACTTGGCCATCGAGGTGCGTCGCGCCTGTCGTATATGGTCGTGGGAAGAAGAGTAAAAAAGGGGTTGCTCGAGGCTACCACTCGGCAGAGGAAGGAACGTTTAACACAGCTGCACAGGTTAGCCTGCCACGTCGGTACGATCGTAGGGCATTTTTTGATCTACAATGCCTGCCGGTGCCTGCCATATTGGTTTGTTTGGGTCGAGAAGCGTCGTGCTTCCTGCTTGCTCTTCGCTCTTGCATTTTGTGGTGCAATACTTAGCTCACGTTCTTCCCGGCTCCTTCCTTTGGGGTCCCACTATCGGGCATATTGTGCCCAAGTGCTCTTTCCTTCGCAGTGCCTCTTGCCTAGTCAGTCGTGCTGAGTTTAATTCTCTCGGTCGATTTGTCCTGCTCTGATGTGGTGGTCTGGTTTGTAGCTTCTTGTCAGTGACTACATGTCTTACTTTGCTTGGAGATGCTCCTTCTTTGCTCTCTTTGCCACACCCTCAAGAATTCCTTGGCCAAGAAGCACCGCGCCCCGCTTCAAATCTCCTGTAACACGGCGACGTGACAGCATCTGTGGCAAGCCAACATGGCCGGTCACCGGCACGGAAGGGTGTGTATCCGGGGCGAGGGCATATCTTGGTGTGTGTGCCCTTATCTACACCCGTTTATTTCTCTCCGCGCGTAAAATTTTCGTGCCACGCTCTTTCCTTTTGGGCATTACAACAATATTGCGCTTGCGACTCCCTCCTTCCGTTCTGGATTTTCATTTCGCGATATTTACACCTTCTCCCTTTTCTCCTTTCCCTTCTCTATCTCCCTCCCCTGATCAACCCATATATCACAGTCACTCCTTCCCCTTGTGCTGTGTTATTTCCAGTTGTGGCAGGTGGTCGAGAAACGACACGATTGGTCTTTCCTAGGGAAGATATGTCTTGGTTATGCCATAATACTTCCCATTTGCCGCCATATGTTTGTCCATCGTGTCTTTTTTGTATTTTTCTTCCCTTTGTCTCCCATCCACTCATGACTTCTCGTCCCATGCCCAAGTCTCTGTTCTGTGGTCTATAGTTTCTCTGCTTCTTCCGTTTGCTCTCAATTTCCACCATAGTCTACTTGATTTGTGACACCCTGTCCACGCATCGCACACCTTTTGATGTTCGATTGTGATTTCTGTTTCTCTCTTGTTTGTTTCTGATCATTCCTCGTTATTTCGCGGCGGAATACCGATCAGTCACTCCTTTACCACATCAAAATCACCAAAAAAATCTGTTGTGTTACCTTCTTTCAACTTAGACGCGTTCTTTTCCTTCCTTGGTTTATTTCACGGATCTATTGCGGCATCTGCGTCGTCATTTTTGTCAGCTGCGTGTGCAGACAAGTCTTCACTGTGCAAAACTAGTCTACCACCTTGCTCGAACAACACCATCTGAAGCAGAACCGTTGTCGACAGCTATGTCTCCGCGGCATTCTACTGGATCTCCTCTTCGGCGTCACAATTCAGGCTCTCAAGGGTTTGGCCAGGACGAAAATTCTCTCGGCTATCCTGACAACCACACAGTACATAGCTCTCAGGTAAGTAGACACAAGTACCCCCCCTTTTGGCTTTACAAGAGTGTCGGATCTCGCTCCAATTCCGACTAAATATCGGCATTCACTCTCATAGAAGCGTTACAACGACAATACCAGGAAGAAATTGATACATAATCCTAACACTTGGCTTATGATTGTTGTTTAGAATTCGCTCTCAAGCATGCGAGGAAACGTGGTGACTTTGACCACGAACAAGCTTGCCAATCAAATGGGACCCAAGGTGCGTCTTCTGCAATGTACTTAATACAGAAATACGTCAAAACTTGCAGAAGAGTTTTTCTTTCTCATCGAGACATCTTGCTGACATTCCTTTTCTAGAAAACCCACGAGTCTTCGACTTCCCCCACCGTCTACCCCATGGACACTCTTCTTGCTAAACTCTCAGAGCAGCAGGCCGCTATCCGTGAGCAGAACGATGGGTTGAAGCAGGCTGAGGAGGATGCCTCTTTTGCCAGAGCCATGGAACAGCAGCAAGGTTGCAGCTCACTGCCTATCACTCCTGGCATCAACGGCCTCCAAGGATCATCTGCTTTGATGCTTCGCTCTTCCAGTGCCAACCAGCCGGAAAGTTCAGATGAGGTACTCCGTCTCAAGCTTCAGCTCGCTCATGCACAAAACAAGATCAATATCCTTGACAACGAATTGGCGAATACCTGTTCTATCAAGTCAGATCCGTCTCAGGCTCTATCACTGGCCAACACTGACCCTGATTTTCCGTCGGTCCCTCTGCCGGACCAGATTGGCCCTCCTGGGATGATTGGCTTTCGTGCCCCTAGTGCAGCCCGACCTCTGTTCAATCGTGAAAACATCTGGGCACAGGCAGATGAGCCTCGTCTTGAAACTCTTGACAACCCCACAGGTTCTATTGGCCGCGCTCGTAGTATGTGGCGTGATGATATCAAACAGGGTGGATTTCAACAGTCTTTCCCTAATGGACCCAGCTCGGTTCCTATTGGGACAGGCCCTTACACCTCCCAGCCGGCTTCCATCTGGCCTCCTAGCCGCCCTGGCCATCAAGCATTTTTTGATGCTAACCTTCCAGGTTTCAGTAACACCCAAGGTGCTTTGGATGACAGCCGTGGCCGGATGACCCCGGATACCGACCTGCTTCTCCGGCCCCAGCGGCCTGGGAATAGATCTGATTCCCGCAATCCCAATACCCAAGCCTTCAATGGCTACAGCAACTTCAACGCTGGGCAGGTGTTGTTCGATACCAACCCCGGATTTTTGACGGGGGGGAGTGGCCCGAACATGAACAATAACAGCCTCGGCATGTTTCCCCAATTCCAGCAGCCGCCTATCGGGACTCCGTTGTCGCCTCATGCTACGGAGTTTAACACCGACACTGCGTCGTCTTGGAAAGAGGTGGGTTTCATTGCTTCCCTGTCGCTTTCCCATCGTGTTCAATTATTTTTTCACTTCCCTTCTCTTTTGCGTCCTTTTTTTTACAGCTATATCTATGATATGCTTGTATTGTTGATTCGACTTACTAATGATCCCCCTCTTTTTTTTTATTAAAACAGCTCACCATTCCAGATAATCAAACTTTCCTGCCAACGACCGAGCCTCTGAATTACCGTCGCCTGCTTGACCGAAACGTCAACTGCAACTAGAAGTATATTGTTGACAAAATCGTCAGTAGCAACGACCAGCAAGCTTCCATCTTCCTTCAGCAGAAGCTCAAAGTCGGCACCTCGGATCAAAAGTATGACATTGTTGAGGCAATTGCCGCCCAGGCGTATCCCTTAATGATCAATCGCTTTGGAAATTTCCTGGTCCAGCGCTGCTTCGAGCACGGATCCCCCGAGCAGATTGTCAAGATTGCCGAAGCCATTCGTGGCAATACGCTCAGCCTCTCGATGGATCCCTTTGGTTGCCATGTGGTCCAGAAGGCGTTCGATTCGGTTCCTGAGGACTACAAGGCAATCATGGTCCACGAGTTGCTTCGCCGCATCCCTGAGACGGTTATTCACCGCTATGCTTGCCATGTCTGGCAAAAACTGTTTGAGCTTCGCTGGAATGACTCTCCTCCTCAAATCATGAAATACGTCAACGAGGCACTGTGCGGGATGTGGCATGAAGTTGCTCTTGGTGAGACAGGAAGTCTTGTTGTGCAGAACATCTTTGAAAACTGCCTAGAGGAAGACAAAGTAAGCTGTCGACACTCTGAAATGTGCATTTGAACTTACAAAGACTAACCTACCCAGCGTCCTTGCATTGAAGAGGTTCTTGGAAACATTGACATCGTAGCCCACGGCCAATTCGGAAACTGGTGTATTCAACATATCTGCGAGCATGGTGCCCCTGGTGATCGTGGTCGCGCCATTGACCATGTCATCCAGTTTGCCGCCGAATACAGCATGGATCAATTTGCATCAAAGGTGGTCGAGAAGTGTCTGAAGATTGGCGGAGCGGATTTCTTAGGCCGCTACTTGGATCGCGTTTGTGAGGGCAGAGTCGATCGGCCTCGCATCCCGTTGATTGACATCGCCAGTGATCAGTACGGCAACTATCTCATCCAGTACATCCTAACGCACGCCAGCACACAGCACAGAGAAGTTGTTGCGGCCCACATTCGGAAGCACATGGTATCTCTCCGTGGCTCCAAGTTTGGATCGCGTGTTGGTATGCTTTGTACCAACCCGGCTGTTGCCACCCGTCCTGGCCCTGGTATTGGACCTTCTGTGGGACGGCTGCCTCCTCGCTACGGTAAGTAGCCAGATCTTCACTGGCGTACATGACCGTGGATCTGACATGATTACACTCTTCTGCAGCAGGTGCTCCGCCGTCTCGCCACCGTGCTGCTGGTGCCCCTGGACTTTACAACGGCGAATAGAAGGCTCAGTTCCCACCTTTGTTGCACCCTTTCGTCATCCCCCCCTTTCCTTTTCTCCTACCGTTTCCACTTTCCATTTATTTTCGGACATTATTTCTATGCTTCATTTGCAATTGTTGTGTTTCACTTATCTTCTGCCCACTACTCGCTATTTCAACGCACAGAGAGTTTTCCATGACCAGCTCGGCCACATCATGTAACTGGTTCTCACTGAGAACATATTTCCTATCTTCTATTTACAAATCACTCGACATCCTACACTCGACAGGCTAGCGCCCGAATCGAATGCTTTGGACACAGCATGGTTATTGTTTTGCAATATTCAAATCTGTACTTATATAAGTACACGTGTTGCCACAGCTGATCCCAGGCGCGGTAATCGGTCGCGGCACACTGCACTTCTTTTTCTTTTTTGTTTTCGTTTCGTATTCGTTTTCCGTTTCTGTTTATATGTTTTTACGATGTGATCCATCGCTAAGCCAGAGAGCTAAGTCTCCTCAGCTTAAACAAAAGTTGAAATACGTTTCTTCCAAATATGGTGGCTGGGGGTGCGTTGCCTTCGTTGTTTGCCAGGGGAGGACAGGAGATGGCGAGTGGTGTGCAGCAGCAATCAACAAGGAAGATGTATTTTATATTTTTGTTTTACTTGATGGCAGGAAGCAACGAGGCAACCTTGTCATACACTTGCATGAGATAACTGTTGTTCTTGTATTTCTATATGAAAATCCAAAATCACATCACAGGCTTCTTTAGACAACAGAGTTCCAAGCATGTTTGTCAGCTCCCAGTGAGCCGCTGCTCGCAACGGAACGTATCTCACACACAGTTTTGTCTCTTTGAAACCCATTGTCGTTTGATGGCTGCACCAAACTTAGAGGTGAGGATCAGTTACGTGTATGGAACCAAAGATCTTTTGATTGCGTTAAAGGCCAAAACTAAGCCCCTCTTGTTCTGTATTTGTATATATTGCACATTTTCAGTGGGTAAGGGAGATGATACACTCCATGTATTCCGGTTGAGTCGCCGCGTTCCTTTTCTCCTCTATTTTCTTCTACTGCATTTGTAGAGAAATTCATTCACAAGTATTCATTTACAAGACGATCCCAATTTTTCTTTACGAGCTGCAGCTACACTGCATGGCCCTCTGCTTCTCCGGCACATCCTGTGTCCAGCGAACTTCCTCGAGGGCATCACCCTGGTAGGGCTCGCTGCTGCCGTCAAACGTCTGGCCGTTCCACTCATCCGCAAAGGGATGCAGCGCCATGTGCATAATACGGCGCAGCACGTCGCGCTCGCCGTCGCGCTCGACGCGACGAATGACCTCGTCCAGCACCCAGCCGCGGGGCACAAAATTGGGGTTCACGGCTTTCATGCTGCGGATGCGGCGCTCCTCGCGTTCTTCGCTCGTGGCGATGGTGGTGGTGGTGGTGGTGGTGCTGCTGCTGTCAGCCTCGGCTGCGGCCTTGTCGCTGGCCATAACCCGATCTCGCCAATCGGACAGCCACTCCGCCACAAGACGGCGACCGGCCTCTTCGCCAACAGCGGCCGTGACACCTTCGCGGTAAAAAAACATCTCGGCGGTATGGCGGCGAGCCTCGGGCGTCTCAATGTCAGCAAGGCGCACGGAACTCAGGCGGCGGAAGAACATGTTGAAGTCAAGCTCGATCTGTTCCATGACATCGAGCAGGCCCGTGATGAGCGGATCCATGTCGCCCGTGGCGGCGAGGTCCTTGTGCGCAGGAGCGGGCAGGCCCAAGCGGGCCATGAACAGGCGCTTGTACTCGGAGATGAACAGGTTCTTGTACTCTTCGCCAACGCGCATAATAATGTCCTCGGCGTGCGAGGCGAGCTCACCGGCAGCACGCTCGACGCTGGGCGGGATGGTCGCCGGCGAAGCATGCGCCTGCTGTGATTGTGGTGTTGGTGTGGATGACGGGGTCTCCACATCGGCTATCTTGCCACCTGCAGCAAGGACGTCGGCCTTGGCCAAGCCAATGATACCCTCTTCAATGAAAGACGGCTCGTCGACCCGAGCGCCGGCGGCCAGCAGCTCCCCTACGGCCTCACCAAAGCGCACGAGGTTCCACCAGATGATGGATGGTTGGTTGCGATAGCTGTAGCGCAAGTGATGGTCGTCATGGTTGGGTGTGTAGGACGGGTCAAAGTTGTCCAGGAAGGCAAAGGGGCCAAAGTCAAGCGACAGGCCTAGGACGGACGTGTTGTCGGTGTTGAGCACGCCATTCATGAAGCCATACACTTGCCAGTGGGCAACGGTACGCGCATTGCGGCGCACAATCTCGCGGTACAGGCGAGCATACCGGTTCTCGTCCGTGCCAGCGGCAGGGCCATCGGGTTCAGTGGGACTCTCAATGGTGTCCCAGGGAACACCCCGAGGAGGGTGCAGCAGGCGCTCTACGCTGTCGTCGTCGGGAGACAGCTTGTCAGCTAGACGACCGGGTAGCTTGTCCCAGCCGCCGTAGACGGTCTCAGCGACATAATCGGCAAGCTGGCGCGTCAACGGCCGGTCGCCGCGAGTACGTAGCAGGTCAAATGTGCCAAGCCGCAGCCAGCTCTCAGCGAAGCGGGTGACGATGGCTGCAGGCTCAAGGCGCTCGCGGTGGACAAGAACGTTGGGCAGCAAGGTCAGAGCAAGGGCACGCGTGGACGGGATCCCAAGGGCATTGAGCGACTCGCTGACGACGAACTCGCGGATGCTGCTGCGCAACACAGCACGGCCATCGGCAAAGCGGCTGTACGGCGTCATGCCAGCGCCTTTGAGCTGGATTTCGTACGACGTGGGCGGCGGTTGTGCAGAAGCACCTTGTGATACAGGCGACAGCTTCGAATCGAGGGACACTGGCACCTCGAACAAGCTAATCGCTCGTCCATCGCCCAACTGACCGGCCCACTGGCCGAACTGGTAGCCGCCATAGCACTGAGCCCAAGGGTATCCCGTTTTGCTAGCCGACTGTGACGACAAATCGGAGGCCGCTTGGCTTTGCTGTTCACTCTGCTCGGCGCTTTGGTCTCCGCTGCCTCCCCCTTCCTCTTCCTCGGCCGCAGCTTCGCCGCCTTCCCATCCCCAGAGCTTGTTGCCGGCCACGGTTTGACGGAAATCGTCCGTGCCAGCTTCAGACTGCTTAAGGCCCAAGTCCCGCAGCGCTGCCGGTGAGACGGCCAGCAGCTCTGGGTTTTCTTGGTGCTCCGGCCGCACAAATGTGTAGAGAGCGCCACGCACCAACCGCGGGCCGAGTTTGGTACGAACAGCGCGATGCGAGGACAAGGGCGTAGGGAACTGCGGATCGGTGGGCAGCGATTCGGTGAAGCGCCAGGTCTTTGGGAGGGAGGCTAGAGTGTGGCCGGAGTCGCTGGAGGAGGACGCCATTGCGGCGTGAGATGCGAGGAAGTGCCGGCGGCGGCCAGGCGTGTGGGCAAGGACGTCGGCACCGCCCCAAAGACGAGAGACGGGCCCTGCCAGGCGGAGATGCGGTGTGTGCAGGGAACAGGTCACAGCAGCAGCAGAGACGGCGAAGTGTTGGCAGCTGGCTGCTCTTGAGAGCATAGGCGACGGGTGAAAACGGCTCGCTGGTCCGTGTGAGAGAAGGCTCGATTTCTTGCAGGGCACACTCTTGGTATTCTGAGTGGTGCTTCTCGAATATATATATCCAGAATACCAAAGGGCAGGTCGGCGTATCAAGGGCGAGCGTGGGACGCGCAGTTCCTATGTACTCCCATAAGTCGATACGTCTGTCTTGTTGTTACGACGTCTGGGGCTTTCCAAAAGGGTATAGAGACAGATGACAAAAGTGAACACACACGAGAGTGATGTGCAAACAAAAAATGTAAGGAGGCGGCTTGTTGCAGCGGAGGATGATGGAGTGTGCAGGAGCGTTCGACAGTTGCGGTCCGGTCTTTGGTCCCAGTGCTCTCGCGGCAGGAGGCAAAGCAATACGTCAACGGGCGGCGAGCCCCACTCTTGCGCAAGTGCGCTCGGCGTAGCGGGGGAAAGTGACGAAAGCGAGGGGAAAGAACCGCGATGGGTTTAGCATGGGCAGCCCGTTGGACGGCAGGAACGGACTTCAGGAACGGGTCTCGGGTCTCGAGTTGTCGCTGGGTAGCGCCTGCTTTTTAAAGTATCACCGTCCAACGTACGTCTTTGCCTTTCATCTCCTATTTCATTTTGCATTTTGCATATGGACAAAACAACGGCACACAGCATGCAATAAAAGGCTCTTGTATTCGTTTGGCGGGTCCTTGCAGTTGTCCCTCGGCGACTACAAATCAAAAATTCAGCCGGCCCCAAGTGAAAACTAATGCACACCAGCAAGCCATTCCAGGGCGTCCAGCACGCATAGATCCTCTATAGGAACATTTTGTTTGAAACCTCTTCCTGCGCTTGAATTGTTTACAAACCATTGGAGGAAGATAGGATGCTGAGGCACTCTTGAAGAACTACCTAAAAACACATCAGTCTCCGCACTCGGGTTTGTTTTGTCATATTTTCCGTCTCGAGGTGCACAATCTGATTTGCCAGCTGCATGGCACCGTGTATGAGGACCTCTCTGGTCTCTGAATTTGATCATTATTTGATCATTACTTTTGATTTGTCCATTCGGGCTATTTATTAGTTTCTCTCCTGAAAAGTCATACAAAACCTAACCCACACAACGTTCCTTGGCTCCGTCTTTCCCACAGACCCTAGAACACATGTGTACCGGGCATTTTGGCCGACGGCAGGCTGTCAGCACTTGTTGCCGTCCGCTGTCCGCGGAGTTCATGCATTAGTACATCCGCATATTTTGAGCTTTGCCATAGCGTACGATGTGTGTCTCCATAATGTTCCGTATTTTGTGTAGACTGCTTGGTTGCTTTGTATTGTGGTATCCGGCGTTTTCTTCGTAGCCCTCGCGAGTTCCCTCATGATTCCCGTCGCTCTAATCCTTTGTGCTGCTAATCTCCCCTTCCTATTGCGTCATCGTTGAGCTTGCTTGCCCAGCTTCCATCACCAGAACTTCTGAGCTGCTAAAGGCGCAACCACCAAACGACCTCTGCAGCAATCGGGGTGCCACCGGCGCACGCCAGACATTGTCCCCATTTATCAGCTCTGGTCGTGTGACGGCTGTTGCTCTCTGCTCCGCACCGGAAGAGCGAACTCCCAGCTCCCTTAGACTTCCTTGCTCCCTTGACTCAAATGCTCGCCAGCTCATGATTGGCAAACATCCTCAAAACCTGGCTAGCTCCATCCCGGACGGACGCCGACGCAGTCAGACTGGGTAAGATCAGACTGGGTAAGATCAGACTGCGTAAGATCAGACTGGGTAAGATGCCAATCAAGTAAAGCATTTTTCTTTTCTTTTTCTACGATGTATGTGCACTTATTGGTGTTACGTCGATTTCCTCATTCCTGGCCTTTATCTCGGCTCTTCTATTCTCCCAAGCACCAAACACCTCCTCTATCGGAAATCCCTTCCGCCTTGCTGCCCCGCATTTCTTCAAAGTCGTCTTCGCCCTCCCAATTGTGCCACCGACGATGCCCAGACATCTGACGGGCTATAGAAACAGGTAGAAGTAGAAACAGTGTATAATCGGAGAGGTTCCTTCCCATCGTGTGCGTAACCGATCCGGTAGCTCTTTCCTCCAGCCTCTCCCGGCTCTTTCCCATTATAAATCGGCCGATCCTTTTCCATTTCCGTACTTTATTTTCCCATATTTATCAATGCGTCTCCCATTCAGTCGGACGTCTGTCTCTCCATCACTCGCTTTGTCTCGTCCTTCCTCGCCTATCTCGACAGCGGCGTTCTCTTGCCGCACCGCTGTGTCATTTCCTGCGCCCATCCGCCACTGCAGTCAGTTTCCACAACCTCGGCACACCTTGCGAACAACTCCCCTACAAACCAGAACAATGGCTTCTTCCGCTACCACGACCGCCGACGCCGCCCGTTTTGCCAAGTACCTCCCCGATATCAAGCTCAACGACGGCACCAAGATCCCCATTATCGCGTACGGTCTCGGCACGGCCAACTTCAAGACCAGTCACACGTTTGAGCAGAAAATTGTTGACGACACTGTGAGCGCCATCAAAGCTGGCTTCACCCATCTGGACGGCGCCGAGGGATATGGCAATGAGGAGGAGCTCGGTGCCGCCATCAAGCAAGGCGGCGTGCCCCGCGAGCAGCTGTACATTGTGACCAAGTACAACCCCAAACCCACCGGCACCGTCGAGGAGGCCTTTGCGCTGTCCCTCAAGAAGCTCGGCGTGGACCACGTGGACCTCTACCTGATCCACTGCCCCTTCTGGGAGGGCATCACGGACGAGCAGATCCAGAGCCGCTGGGCCGAGCTCGAGGCCATCCAGGCGTCGGGCCGCGCCGTCTCGATCGGGGTGTCCAACTTCTTGCAGAGCCACCTCGAGGCCTTGCTCAAGACCGCCAAGGTCGTGCCCGCCATCAACCAGATCGAGTACCACCCGTACTTGCAGCACGGCGATCTCGTGGCATTCCACCGCAAGCATGGCATCGCCGTGTCCGCGTACGCCCCGTTGACGCCCATTGTGCGCGCCAAGGGCGGCCCTGTCGATCCCTTGTACACACAGCTGGCGAAGAAGTACGGTGTGACCGAGGGCGACATTGGCCTGCGCTGGGTCCTTGACCAGGGCATTGTGACAGTCACCACGAGCTCCAACTCCGAGCGCCTGAAGAACTACCTGCACCACCTGACAAGCTTCAACCTGACGCCCAAGGAGGTCGAGGAGATTTCTACGGAGGGCAACAAGAAACACTACCGTGCTTTTTGGAAGAATATATTTGCCGAAGACGACCGCCGTTAAAGCGAATAGACAAGCCGAAAAAATAAAACAGAAAAGTATATTCGCATGTTCTATATTGAGCTTTGACAAGAGGCCGCAAAAAATACCAATAGATGATTCATTTTTGCTGCATGTCCGTTGAAACTTAATTGTCCCCGCGTGCGTGGTTATAATTCATCGTCAGACTCAGAGTCACTGCCATCCATGTTCTGATCTTTGCTGCTACTACTAGCAGGCGGCGCCGCAGCAGGGCCAGTCTTGGGCTTGCCAAAGGCGAGTGTGCGGCGTGGTGGAGGAGCTTCGTCCTGAGCAGGTGCTGGGTCCAGCACTGCTTTCTTTGGCGCCTGCTGTTGTACCTTGCCCTTGGCGGCTTTGGTTGCCTTTGACCTTTGCGACTGCTCTTCTTCCTTGACCTCGACATCCTCGTCCATGGGCTCAGCATCCTCCTCGCTTTCTGTAGAGACGTCGTCGTGCTCCGTTGTGCGGTCGTCGTCTTCCGACTGCGTGTTAGACGCAGCTTCCGCCTCAGCTTCGGCGGTAGCGGCCTCCTTGCCTTTTTGACGTATACTTCCTCTCGTCGCAGTGCTAGGAGCCTTCTCGAATTCACCCTCGTCGGAGTCCTTTTCGTCTTCCGACACAGCCGCTGCCGCGCGCCGCTTGGCGCCAGGTTTGGCTTTTGCTGCCGTTGTGGCCGCGCCTCTCCCAACATTGCCAACCCGGCCGCGTGCCGCACCACGCCGGCCCCGCGTTGACGCCGGCGCGGGTGCAGATGTCTCGTCTTCCTCCAAGTCTTCCTCCTCTTTGATCTCGGCCTCAGCCTCAGCTATCTTTGCGGCCTCCGCTTCCGCTTGACCCGCCATGGTGAGCTGCCGGTACTGCTGCCGGATCTTGGCCTTCTTCTCGTTCAGCAGTAGACAGAAGTTTTCTAGGAGGACCGCCTCGTCCGCTTCCTTGGTCTCCAGGAACTCGTCCAGCTGCGCTTTGAGGTCGTCCACCGCCGCCTGCAGGTTGCGTTGCTCTGCCGTGGCCGCCGAGAGCTCGTTTGCTACCTTTGTGCGCTCCTCCGCGACCTCACCGCACCACTCAAATAGCTCGATGCCCTCATCACCATCATACGTCAGAGAGAGTGTTCCCAAACGTTGCTGACATGTGGCTGTTAACATGTATGACATTTGACGACAATAGGAAAGAGAAGCAGCAGACACCAGATGCAAAGCTTACAGTGATATTCTGGACTCTCTTCCGGATAGTGACGGTGAGCGTTGACTCCTCCTTCACTGTCGCCGTCGCGTCAACGTTGTCAACCGAGCCCTGGCCTAGTAGGAGAAACGAGAGGATCTGCTCCCACTCCTCTGGCGAGCAGGGCGCGTTCTGGCCTCGCAGTTTGTCGATCCGGTCATGCCGTACTGGAGGCGGGGTGGCAATAACAGAATATGATAAGTTTCGTGCGTTTGTTTCATACAATCCAGAACCAAACGGATCTTTACTAGAAAACAAGGGACCCTGCACTCGGCCGCTGACTGGGGTAAACACACTTACAGGCAAGGACGTACGGGGCCACGCCCTCTGTGGCCACCAACCGTACGTTGAGTGGTCGAGAAGCCGAGCCAGATGGTGACACGCGGACGAGCACGAAGGACCCTTCTTCATCGGAGCGCGGCATCCGAACCACATGGGACGTCTGGTCCGCCATTATAATATTTGGGTTTCCCTAAGCGGGGTGCAGAGCCGGTGGAGGCAAAGGGATAAAACGAAAAGTCGAAAAGAAAATACACCGACTAAAGCTCCAGCTGCAAGGGCTATATCACGGCGCGACGTGAGAGGGCAAGGGATAGCCAGACGAAGTGAAACAAAGCAGAGATTTGAGGGTCGTCATGAAGCTGGTAGTCTTATGATGCAATAAGAACGTCGATATATACCCCGGCGAGCAGGCATGAACAAGCAAGATTGGTACAGGGAAATGAGAAGACGACGGCAGTCCGTGTGTCGCGTGCTGTATGCAATAGTGTAATAAGTGTAATATGTGGAACGTGAGGCGGGCCGCCAAAGTGAGAACAAGGGGAGGGTCCACACGACAACTCAGCAAGTGGGTGTAAAGAGACAGCAGTGTATCTTGTCGAAAAAGTACGACAGGCGATGGTTGTTTCTTGCGTCTTCCTGTCTTGACTCGCGAGACCCTGAGAAACGGACAGCAGAACAAGTTTGAACGGCACAACCTTATTTCACTGCCTTATTCGTCGTTCAACATACGACATACAGGGTTGGCCTGAATACCCCAGGTGGATAAGATGGCGTGTTCTGACAGCCGGGAAGAGCTATTTGGGAGCCGGATATGATGCCCGACGACTGGCGTCGCAAGAGGTGAGCGAGGACAAACGGGCAATGGGAGGGTTGGAGTACGCCGGAATATGAAACTGAAGTCGGCAAAGCGAGGACTGTGGGGATATTCTGGAACGTCTTTGAGAATAATTCTGGGCCACTATTTTTTCTTCACAGAGCGCGCCGCTATTCATTTAGGCAGCCATGCTCGTAAATGGGTTCCAGCCGTGCATTGCCTTGCGACCCAGCGTACAACGTAGTGTAGGATAGTGCTGGGAACGGTGGGGTGCGTTGCAGCGAACGAATCGAAAAGTTCACGGACGTGTGATGCATGGACAGTCGTAGTTGTTGCGCCTCAGATCGATCGGAGGAAGAAGCTGAGGTGGGTCGCACATGATTGGCGGACGGCGGAAGTTACGAGGAAAGCACGAACTTTCGTTTTACAAACTGACTGATTGCAGTTATCACGTGCTCGTCTGTTTAAGCAGCAAAGTTAACCTACGAAGTTTGTTGTATCACTTAAATTTGGCAAGTGCATCAATCTGTTAAAGACGGTATGCATCGTGGAGGAAAGAGCTTCGCGTCGACTGCAATCTGGAAGTTTATACGGCGACGGAGGAGGACGGAAAGAGGGGAAGCCTGCCTGAGAGCGGCAGGAACGCGTCTGTTTCGCGTACCTGACGCGCTGTCAAGGCTGTTGTGTTGTTGGCCATGGACTATTCCAGCCAATCCGAGACGTGGTTCGTGCGCTACAGAGCCCGCTATGGTCCAACTGCAGCTTTTCAGAACCATCACTCGGCACTGCACCTTCTGCAACTGGATTGCGCATGCCATGTGGCGTGGCCGCCACAGGGCTTATTCAGGCCGGACCTGCATTTTCAGCGCCTGTTTTGGCACTGAAACCTGTCTCTGTCCGACTTGGGGGTCAGTTGACGCACGGACCTTTAGCCTGCCCGCCCCTCGTCCACCGTTGTTCCGTCCTCTGCCAGCCACATCAGGCCAGGAATGTCCACTGTAAAAAAACTACTCTACGGTGTAGCTGGCTCAGAAAATAGCACGGATCAGCACTATCCCACGCGCAACCCACCACAACCTCTCGATTTTTCGCATTTTTTGCTCGTTCGCACCTGCGTCACCCCTGCAAAATCACTCTGAGTGGTTGGCTGTGCCTTCCCCAACCACCTCTTTCCAACTCTGTCGCTCCATCGCACTTTCTTCCATTCCCGCCTGATTTTCGCTGCATTCCAAGATCTTCAAGCCAACAAGCCCTCTTTACATTTTACCTTGACACAGTTCTCGACTCTCTTTTTGCGCTCCCGCACTCCTCGTCGTTTTGTTTTCTTTTCCTTTCTTTGCTTTCCTTTGTCCAGTCGCTCTCGGAAAGCCCTCATCGCCGGGCTCGTCTGTTTTCGTCCCGTGTCGCGACAGTATTGCGCGGCCTCTTTTCGACACGGACCGACGACCAGGCGAAGATCCAGCAGACGTAAAGGACGAGACGACAACAACAGCAACTGGAACAGCAACATCCTCGACGACAATAATAGCAAGTGCGGAAACAATAGCAGCTCTAGCTACAATACTACACCGCGCACCCGCAACGTTTTGCAACCAATATCTGCAGTGCCTCGCCATGTCCTAAGAACAGAAATATCACGGTTCCATTTCATTCGCTTTCTCTCTCGCCGTCGAGCCGCTTCACAACTTTTAATTCGATATCAGCCTAGAAGGTAGACCACGATTGCACGAGCTATTTCAATTCCCCTCGACTCTTCTATTATTCCAACTGTTGGGTCTTGCGACCTGGGGAAAAACGCCGCCGTTAAGACGTCCTCTTAAGATCCTTTCCGTGTCGTTTGTGCGGACCCGTTACTCCGCCTGCGGGAAAACACTTCATTTCTGTTAAGATCAGGGCCCGGGAAAAGGAATTGAAGTCACGGACGACACACACGAATTCAAATTATTCGAACGAGTGACTTTATTTTTTCGCACACACGACATTACTTATTGAGACGCGTCTCTGGCCATCTTCGCATATCGACTGGCAACGCTCAGTCTTTTTTTTTTACCCACCAGCACATGGCCACTGACAACTATGAAACTCTTCCACTGATTGCGTCTCTTATCCCGCCAACCAACGAATCTCCAGTCTCCCATCTACATCTCACCTGCCCTCGCCCCTCGCACGCGACGTCGTCCCGGTCAAAAGCTTTCGTAGCTATTGGACGACAGAGCGAAGCGTTGTAATTAGACGAAACACAAAATTTTGACCGATCAAACACAACAAAATGGAACCATTGCGCCTCAAGCCGAGGCAGCCCGTTGAGCATGTGGTGGAGAACTGGGATGATGATGACTTTATGATTGATGGCGACGACATCACCTTTCGCAGCTCTACAAACACTGCTCCATTGGCGCCTAACAGTCGCCGCGAGTCACATTCATCGTTCCGTTCCGACTTTGAATCCATTCACGCCGACGAGGAGCAGCAGGTTCTGCTCCCGGGCGACGACGAGAAGTCAACATTAGACGCCATTGCACTTGCCACCAATGCTGGCATTCCTCTCCCCACGAATGTGCCGCCATCGGCCCTCATGGGTGGCACAATCAAGCGGCTCGGAGGCCGGAAAATAAAAAAGATCTTCCAGGAGGACTGGGGTGATGATCTGGAATTACCAGATGACCCGCAACCCCTGCATATCAAGCCTCAAGACGGGTCACAGTTTCCCGACGTGTTGCGTCAAGTTAGCGGCAGCTCCACCCAAGCAAGCCCCGTCAAGTCGGCCAAGCCTTCACCAGCTCTTATTCGTCCGGAGTCCGTAGCACCTGCGCCAAAGACGTCCGGTGCCGCGTCTATAAACTTGGACCAGTTTCGGGATTCGGATGACGAGGACGACTTTTTTGGTGACGGTATCGCCACTATCAAAGTCCCGAAGACGCGTCAGGCGCCCAAGCCAATATCCATGATTACACCTCCGACACCACAGAAGAGCGCTGGCCTCGATGACGACTTTGAACAAGACCTGGAGCTGCCCTTTAATGGAAAGTTGACGTTGTCAAAACGGAAGGACATCCCCAAAACGCCATCGAACGCGCTCGACGATTTCGAGTGGGGCGAGGGAAGCCTGGGGACACGCTTCGGCGGAACCCGGCGCGATGGGCGCTCCAACCGCAGCTCTTCTGTTTCTGCTCTCAGTCCCAGTGTGTCGAGTTCGATCACTGCTGAGAGCGAGGGTGAAGATGACACATTTGATGGTCTTGTACTACCAACAGGCCCTGTCAACTTTGGAGAGAGACTGCAAAAGAGGCGGTCAAGCCGTTCGCCCCAGCGGACTTCCAAGGCGGCTGAGGAGCTTCAACCACAGCAGCCATCACAGATCTCGTCTCAGCCACCAGCTGCTTCTGCGGCTTCTGCGGCTTCTGCTCTGGGTATCTACCAAGCAAAGCCCCGCGAAGCGGACAAAGAGGACTTCTTGACTGGCCTTGATCTTGGGGACGGCGAAGTTTTCGATACCAACCGCATGACCCTGCACCGTCATGTCCGGCTCAAGGAGACGCGGCCAGCGAGCCCTTCACGTCCCAAGGCTGCTGTGTCCATTACCTTCACCAATAAGCCTACATCCGGGGCATCGCGGTTGCCGCGGCCAATGACCCACGAACGCACGCATACTGCTTCCTCTCTCGAGCCTGTCTCTGAGAGTGGCGGCCCCATTATCAGCCTTGCCCGGAGATCGCAGTCCCGCCTCGGCCATTCGGCACAGTCGTCTGTGTCTAGTATTCCCACCCCTTCCACGCCTTCCTCCGTTCAGTCTATGCCACCTCCGTCCACACCCCGCCGACGCGAGCTTGGTCAGAAGACGTCAACGACTTCTTTGCGAAACGAGCCCACAACTACCAATGCCCAGCTCCTTCGCCTGAAGAGGTCACTGCCGGTCATGAGGCAAAACCCTTCCCCTGCGCCAAGGCCCGTTACAGCACGCGGTGGTTATGAACGTCCTCCGTCGCGGACCGACTTCGGTGGCCGTCCTCAGTCTGCCATGCGCCCCAAGACGCCTACCGATCGCATGCGCCCGGCCGTAGAGAGCTCTGCTGCTCAAGCCAGGAGAAACCCGATGCCGTTTCTTCCGGCTGGAGCGTCACAATCTCAGTCACACCACGTCACGTCGAAAAGCTCGCGAACTTTCCGCCGCCATGATTCTGATACTGCCGTGGATCTGCGGCCAAGTTCCCGTACCGTGTCACGCTCTACGATGCGGTCGCCGAGTCCCTCAAAGAGAAATCGCTACGCGGATAAGCTGACACAAGATGGCTCTTGGCAGCAACTCAACAAGCCTCGCCGTCAGAGGCAATTTGGTGACGGTCATGAGCTTGACGCGTTTGACGACCTACCTACGTCCTCAACGGCAGAATCCCGCTTCCTGCGGCAACCGGCATCCGCTAATCCCAAGCTCCAGCTGCGCAACAAGATGTACCAAAACATTCTCCCAGACCGCACCACAACACCTTCCCCCTTGACGGTGTACTCGCCAACAACCCGGAACGACAACTTGCCCCATTTCGCCCGCGACACAGCTGCGAGTCGGATTGCGCGGGAGACTTCCATCGCGCAGCGCATGCCGTCGGGATCTGGCCCTCTTGCGCCCCTGACCACGCAGCGCGTTGCTCAGCTGTCCACCCGCAACAACTACAATGCACCCATCATGCCACACCTTCCCCGTGATACCATCCGGTCGAAGAAGACGCCGCGCCGGGTCCCGCAGTTGAAGCCGCACCTTATCTCCAACTTGAACGGCGCCAAGGAGTCCAAAACTGTCAACGGCATGTTCTACAACCCTGTGACCATGCGCTGGGAAGGCAATGAGAATGCTCTTTCTGAGTTTGACCCTCCCGCATCGTCGCCTTCAACTGCGTCGATACCTCCGTACCTGCTTCGCGAAAAGGAGAACGCGACGCCTCGGCCCGCGCTCATCACTCCTATTGGCGCCACAAAGGGTGTCCAAGTGGTTGGTGGCATGGTGTTTGACCCCCAAAACATGTGCTGGCTGAAGCTTGGGCCCCAGAGCAATACCCAGAAAGAAGGTGACGATTCTCTGGATGGGTTTAACGGCATAGACAGCGATGAGGACGTCTTCAAAGACATTCCGGACTTGGACGATGTGGCCGACACCACCGAGGCAGGCACTGGCCGGGTCAGCGACGTTAAGGACGATTGGCTGGTCGGCGAGGAATTCGACGTGGGCCCGGAGTTTATCCGCCGGCAACGCGAGGAAGAGCAGCGGTGGAGAAAGAAGTGCGAGAGATGGATGGTCTTCGAAGACCGCAAGCAAAGTTCTTGGCGTTGGCTCCTGCAGGAGATGGTTACTCATCCGATGTAAGACCGCCGAACCAGACTTCTCCTCCCACCTTGTCGTCAATACATCCGCCCACACATTTCATACTAGCCGAGCGTTTGGGAACGACGCATTTAATACCCCATTCATTAGCATCACCACACACCCACCCACCACTCATAACATACGACACATGAACTATTCCTTTGCCCCCTACCCTGCATCCTGCCCACACCCCCTTCAACACTTGTACCAATAATGTACGCATAAGGGTGTACGACCTGGTATTTCACATGTCGAGCGTCAGGATCGGTTGTTATCCACTTGGCCACATGTGCAGCATGGCGATGCTCCCCCAAGCTGAAATCCCTACCAAATTAACGGCGCTATTTTTATCCGGGGAAAGCGGACGGTATCCTCTGCCTTGACGGGACTCAAAAAGCATATTCAGGCGTGTTATTTGGCTTTTGTTTTATTATCTAACTTTTTTCACTTTATGACATGATGGGTTTATGATTTTTGGTTATGAGTCTTCTGTTTCTTTTCATTCCACCAGCCTCGTTATCTTGAGTGTCTTTTGTTATTTTATGGTTTTTTTAATATTGACAGCCGAAGTGTGGCTTTCGGGGCATTTTATGTATGGATTGCTTGTACATACCATAGACGGCCGGGGGGGGGGGGGATGAGTCGCAGAGAAACGGGGAGATAGAGATGCTCCAACAAGCACCTGAAAAGAAGCAGTTAACATTCATATCGTTGCGGTGATGATGGTGGGCGATGTTGATGTGACGCGAATGACATATGATGCCAGTTCGACAAAGAAACAACACGAAAAGGAAGCCCGTAGTGTGTCATGTAAATCAATATTAGTAATAGGAAGTAGCAGAACAAAACACCAAACTCTAATGATCCGTAATGTATACAAAAGATAAACATGGTCAAATCAAAGTCCAACTTTTACCCCAACCCTTTCGTTATGGAACGCTATTTACTTCCTCGAATGGATGACCAACCTATACCGCAGTGCCTATTTGCTCTTTTTCACTTGTGCCGGCTTGCCTTTTTGCGTCTTTGGCGTCTTTTGTGTTGCCGTCGTGGCCTTGTCCTTCTTCTCAGTAGTAGTAGGAGCAACATCAGAGTCCGATGTGGTGCTCTCCTTAGCCTCCTCCATCTCCGTCTTGGCCGTCTTGGCCGTCTTGCCCTCTGTCTTCGCGGGCTTGCGGTCCAGCATGTGCGGATCCAGACCACGGCGACGCATCGCGTTCTTCCGCGCGCGATCCATGTACTTGCTGTCCTCGTCTTCGTCGAAACCGCCGAAACCGTCATCCTCGTCTTTGTCCTCGGCACTGTCCTCGCTGATAAGCATCTTGTCGCTGGCACGGGTGGCGTCGCCATCGTCAACGTTCGTCTCGGCGTCGGAGGCACCGAAAGCGGCGGCGGCTTTGGTCGAGCCGCCCTCGGCGCGGATAGCGTTGGCCGGAGTGGGGGCAAACTTTTTGAATTTGGCGACGAAGAAACCGTCGACGTTTTGGTGGTGGGGGTAGAAGCGGCGGGTCTGTTTGATGGAAGGGTCAAAGGACTTGCCCATGAAGCTGGTGAAGCCTTCTTTGCCAAAGGGAAGGCCAGTCTCGACGAGGCGGACGTTGGGGCGGCGCTTGAGGGCGTAGGCGACAACGGCCTCGTTCTCCTCAACAGCGACGGAACTAGACCAGTTAGCAAGATGTACACGGACCATATGCATATTTGCAATTGGATAAAAATAATGGAGCACGAAAGGACATACCAAGTAGAATACACGAGGTAGCCACCGGTCTTGCTGGCGTGGTTGACCGAGTCAATGGCCGAGAGAAGCAGCTGCTTTTGGATGTGAGCCAGCTGCATAAAGTCCTTCTCCGTTTTGTTGGTCTTGACGCTGGCATCTTTGGCGATGACGCCCGTGCCGGAGCAGGGGGCGTCGAGCAGGACACGGTCGAAGCCGCCCATGACGCGGGGGAAGTCGCGGGCGTCGTAGTTGCAGACAATGACGTTGCGGGCGCCCAGACGGTGAACGTTACCAATCAGACCCTTGGAACGGGCCTTGGACGGATCGTTGGCAAAGACAACGCCCGTGTTCTTCATCAGCGCAGCCAAGTGCGTGGTCTTTCCACCAGGGGCAGCGGCCATATCGAGGACACGCTCATGCTCCTGGGGCGCCAGGGCCATGACGGGCAGGAAAGACGATGCGGCCTGCAAAATGTAGTGGCCGGCCAGGTACTCAGGCGTAGCACCAAGGGGCACGTTGGACTCGAACACCTGCAGACCGACCTTGCTCCACTTGCCGACAGGCTCGAGGGTGACGCCGCGGTTGATGAGCGACTGGGCCAGCTCACGACGGTGTGTCTTGAGTGTGTTGGTGCGCAGCACAACGGGACGGGGTGTCTCGTTGGCCTCGAAGAAGGCGAAGGCCTCGCGCGGCGGGAACAGGTGAAACAGCTTGTCGGCGAGGTACTCGGAGTAGCCGTAATACGCGCAAATGTCTTTGATCAGCTGGGCGACGTACTCGGTGCGCGAGCGGTCTTTGGCGGCCAGACGGCCCATGTCCTCCAAAACCTGGATAGTCTCGCTGATGCGGGTACGTAGCAGCTGCAGGTCGGGCGCCAAGTTCGTCTTGGCTTTGCCGCTACCGGCGCCCGGCAGGCCGTCCTCACCGCCCTCGCCGTCGTCCTCGCTCTCGTCAAACATGTTGGTGCCGACAATATTGGTCTGTAGGGCGCTCTCCTTGAGCTCGGCCTCAGCGGCGGCGTCGTCGCGCGCCTGTTTCTTTTCGAGTTTCCGCGACAGGCCTTCGATGTTGGCGGCCGTCAGCTTCTCCTCGGCGTCCGACTCGTCCTCATCATCTGAGAATACAAAGCCGCCCTTGCCGGTGTCTTCCTCAATGTCCGAGTCCATCACATCGTCCTCCTCCTCGTCGTCGTCTGAGCCTAAAAAGTCGTCGCCAAGCATGACAGCCTCGTCGTCCGAGTCCTCGCCAAGCAGAGCGCCGCCAGCACCCTCGTCGGAGCCAATGCTTATGTCGTCATCGTCATCGCTCGAGTCCGGGTCCAGGAGTTGTTTCTTCTTCGGCACGGGTGCCGTCTTGTCCGTCTTCTTCGCTGCGGCCGCTAATGTGCCGTTCTTCTGCACGCCATTCGTTGCTGCAACGGCATTCTTCTTTGCAGGTTTCTTCACAAAGGCAGCGGCAGATTTCTCTGGTTTTGTGCTGTTGCCCCGGCGGCGCTTCGAGGAAGGGCTGTCGGCGCTGGCGGCGGGCGAATCGACGGGTAGACCAGCTTTCCGCTTGAGACGGGCAAAGTGCTCTTCGGAGAGCGGCTCGGGCAAGCCTTGCTTTTTGCCGATGCGGCGACCAACACCCATTGTATACGAGGTGGAAAGAACGTGGCAGAGGTGGGTGAGAGTATTGGAGGGAAATAAAGGGTTGGAAAGGCGGAGGAAGGTGAGGATGTGAAAAGAGGACGGTACGGCGGACTTCCTATTTGCACCTGCAATTGGCGGGTCGTTTTGCTGTTGCTGCAGAAAAATGGGCGAAACTTTTTTTCCTCGACTGCGACCGATAAGAATGGATAAGGGAGGATCCACTGGCAAAAAAACGGTACCAGCCACCACACCGCCCACCCGCCTAATTGCATTTGGCTAACAATAGGGGCGCTCAGGGGATAATCAGGATGTGGGGTAGTCATAGCAGCATGACGGTAGCGCTGTTGAGCAGGTAGCAGTCAGTGAACAACTGGTTGTAAGCTGTACTCTGCATACATCACCACTTTGAGTTTCTCCATCCACAAGGAATAAGCACCAGCGATTCGCCCTTTGCACATTCTTTACAACAAGCGCCACAATGACCGAAGTCCAGTTTGCAAAGTCCTTCCTGGGAGCGCTCGACGGTCGTCCCGTCAAGCTCCAGGCCGACTACATTGAGGATCCCAAAAGCTATCCGTCACGGCCACCGGTACGGCGATTGCACCTGTTCTATGAATCGCCTCGTATTGTCAAACGCTAATACCTCATTTGCACATCTAGTACACACTTCCCCGTATGCCGAAGCCGATGAAGAAGCCCGCGTCCGCCTCCAGCAGCACCAGCGCACCGGGCCAGGCCCCCGCCATCACCGTCTCCATCAAGTCGCTCCACCGCACGCAGCCGCTCGACGTCGTACTGGCGAGGCCCGCGTACGCTTTTGCGCTGGCGACGACGTCGCTTCTGGACGTGCGGACTGCGCTCTCCGAAACATCGCACGTCCCTGTGGACAAGCTGCGTCTGCTGTACAACAAGAAGCCGGTATCAGACAGCAAGGTGCTCAAGGACCTGGTCGCAGATGAATCCGAAACGGAAATCAAGCTGGGCGTGATGGTGGCCGGCGGTGCCGAGACAGTAGCAGCGGCGGCTGAGGCGGCGGCATCCGTGGCAGCTGCACAAGCCAAGGCGGCGACGGCACCAACGGACGGACAGGAAACACCGACGGCCATTGCAGCCGAGAGCGAGGCTTTCTGGAACGACCTGCGCGGGTTCTTGGTGAAGCGGACAGGGAGCAAGACACAGGCAGACGAACTGTTTAGTTTGTTTTTGCGGTCGTGGGAGGAGCGGATGATATGATGAAGGTGTCGATTTTGGGGGGTGGTACATAATGAAGGCAGAGAGTGGAAAGGCCATCAACGAGTTACGAGTCACAGGACGTGTGGACAGATGTATATAATCACACCGAAGTAGGTTGTGCCCATGAGGAATCAGACCCAATGTCTTGTCTCATTTCGTGTCTCTTTTCTCCTCCTTTGCTGCTATAAAAACGAAAAACGAGCAAAAAAGAGGCTTGCCATCACACGGCTCGCCCCTATCCATTGATATCGTCGTCTACTGCTCTCCCGGGCTCAACCAACAGCCTTACCAGCCCCTGCTCTCATCTCATGGTCTTCCCCCATGCCTGGCCATCCGGCCCTTGTGATAGGCCGCAAATAATCAAGTGTATTTTGGGTGCCTCCAATATGTAGTATAGTGTTGTGGCGGATGTGAAGCGGATGCGGGTGGTAGTAGATTTTTTTTGTTTGTGAGGTTATTGTTTCACGGCTTCATTGCTTAGGTTTAGGATTCGACGTTTTAAGATTGTGTACAGCAGGGGTTTTGTGTCTGCATACGCGCTTAAGCCTGGCCTTTGCTGACGGTCTTCAGCACGGTCTCGTACTCAATGTCGTCGGCGTCGTTTGCCTGGATCTCAACGGCAATACCAGTCAGGGCGCGGCGCAGAGCCTCCTTGGACGAGGCATAGACCATCTTGGCCATGATCGGCGCATCATCGGGCGACCAAGCAATGAACGTCAGCTTGTTCCTGCACCGGGGTCAGTTGCTGTCAAAAGACGCACGATGATCATCAGAGAGTAATGACATACCGGGTACCTTCGCCAGAGGAAAGGTCGTACTCAAAGTCGTAGACAGCGTATCTAGGGCCCTTGCCCTCACCCTATACGAAGAAATGTGTCAATAGACATTGGGTAAACATGAGAGGGGGCGCATGTGGTCGAACGCACGGTTCTGGTCTTGGTGGTGGCGCTGACAAGCTGGTTGCGGAAAACCTCCCAGTCACCCTCGGTCGAGGCGTTCTCAATGACAATTTCGGTGTGTTTGTCATTCAGCTTGTAGATGATGTACTTGTACTTCTTGCTGAGCTTGAGCTCGTTGTAGGCAGTAACGCACTCCTGGGAGGCGGAAGCACTGGAGAAGGGAAATGCGTCAGCGGTCGTCCGCTCGCGCGGTCACATAGGAGGGCTGGCATTGATGCGATCGCGAGTGGGCGGCGTACGCAGGCGGCCAGGATTGCGGCCGATGCACCGGTGGACTTGCGCGGTGACGCGCCGCCCATCCGACCGCATCAATACGTCCGTACTTGGTGTCAAAGCTTACCCGGATTGAGACTGTAAAGGCAGGAGAGTTAGCAGATGAAGCTTGACCACAAAGACAACCCGAAGTACCGCTATATGGGATCGGCGGGCACACGACCAAGGTGGAAAACGTACCATTGTGTGTGAGGTTGAGGAATGGGAAAGAGCAACGATTGTCTATCATCAAAGGCGATTTGTTAGTATAAGCAAGCTAGCTTGACGAAAAGTCGCAGATAAAGCGACGAGATGCCTCCAGGTCGAGTTGGCGGGATCCAGCTTCAGATGAACAGCTCCTCCGTCGGCGCCCCTCACCCCATAACCCTCTACTGTCTCGCAACGAGATAGGACGGGACAAGAATCAGGGACCCAAATTGTCCTATCTTCGCCGGACTCGCTTCAAAGCTTCAACTGGCCAGGCTATCGCGGGAACGAACGGCTGTCGATAGCTTCAAGGACAAGGAAACCGACGATGACGATACCGAGGAGAGAAAAGGGGCAGAGAAAAGGGGCGCTGGCGGGCGCTGCGCTGGTGGGGTGAGGAACGACCCAGCGTCGCAGGACATACCAAGAAAAATCGACTCGAGGTACGACAAATTGGAAATGCGAGTTGAACAAGAAAGATGCAGGTTGGGGAAAAGGTACTGAAAAGAAGAATAAAAGAGACGGGAACTGAAGGAGAGGAAAGAAGAGGAAAAGCGGCGAGTTAAAGCGGAGGAGGGGGAAAGTGCGCTGGGCAAGGCGGTGCTGCTGTGAATAGTGGGGTGCTCTTATTTGGGTGGCCTTTTTGCTGCTGTCGACAAGAAGAAAAGCAAGGCACGCCAAGAGGCAACCGCAAGCAAGCAAGAGAGCGGTTTTGGCTAATGCCTTGTCCGTGGTGCCTGTGTGTGGCGCTTGTGCGTGTGGTTCTTCTGTGGCGGGGTTGCCCAGGCGATAGGCAGGAGCGAGGGGTGGTGCCTGGGACGGTGCTTTCATAGCTTAGAGCTCAACCCGATGTACGGACGTCTTGCTCCGTGCGCTCATGGACGAATGCCACTTTTGCACTGTACGTTTGGCTGGCATTAAAATTTTGAACCAGGCACAAACAATTGCAGCGTTGCAACCGTTTTTGCTTACATCTCGTCATTTTGATTCCTCAGAACAACGGCCAAGGCAGCAATGAAAAGACATACCATCTTGATTGCCATTTAGGAAATATCCATTAAATCTATCTAAGCCCCAGAATGATATCATTTCATTGACAGCTTGTTTCATAAGGCAGACACATTTCACTTGGATACAATTCGTTGTAGCACGTTCTGTCTAATTTGGCAGTTTCGCGGCACGTGGCGGCTATGGATGGAGCTGTTGCAATGTACTGTATCTCGCACTGTACGGTCTAGCATCAGACCTTGACGATCTGAGAACCTAACGGTGTATACTCCGTAGAAAGGCAACAACGCAGGCATATGCCAATTCGATAAGGAACCTTTACGAGCATATTTTTTCAGGCAAATGTATTGGTTGGGCGCCGAGTACATGATTATGGCTCTAGTACATGTGATGGCAGTCGTCGATCGACCTTGATGAACCCCATACACAAGATCTTCACTTTAGTTTTTGTTATGTTTTATTCTAGTTCTATATGGCAAGCTTTTTTGTAGTGATGACAAGGACATTGTGAGAGAGGGAGTGGTGCTGCAAGGTATAAATAGAGAGCAGATGTGAGTTGGCAGATAGTAGAGAGGAGAGTGTTTTTTGTACAAAAGGCAGACCCAGTAACCCAGAAGACAGAAAAAAAACACACAGAACATAATAAGGTCATACACATATTAGGCCCTGAAAAGAGAACCAGAATGGGAAATCAAACTCCAAGAATGACTCCTCCTTTTTTGTCACACAGTAGTATACGGCCTCCCCGTAGACGACTTCAGGCAACAGCATCAGCAGCATCCACGGCGGTTAATGTCGTATTCATTCGTCTTTTTTTAGGACTTCGCTTGGAGCTATTTTTTTTTTGTTTTGGCGTTTGATGGTGGGCAGATGCAGCGTCGGCTTTCGGGCATCGGGCATCCCCTTACATCATGCCGCCCATGCCACCCATGCCACCCATACCGCCCATGCCGCCCATGCCGCCAGGCATGCCAGCAGGGCCCTTTTCCTCAGGGGCGTCGACAATGGCGACCTCGGTGGTACCAAGCAGCGAGGCGACACCGCTGGCGTCAATGAGACCGGTGCGGACGACCTTGAAGGGGTCGAGAATACCGGCCTGGATCATGTCGACGTACTCGCCCTTGGAGCTGTCGAAGCCCTTGTTGAAGTCGGTGCCGAACTCGTCAAGCAGCTTGCCGACGATGACGGAGCCCTCAAGACCGGCGTTCTCCACAATGGTGCGGGCGGGACGGGTGATGGCGTTCTTGACAATCGAGATACCCAGCTGCTGGTCGAAGTTGTCGGGCTTCAGCTCGCCCAGGGCCTGGCTGGCGGCCTTGATCAAGGCGGTACCACCACCGGGCAGGATGCCCTCCTCGACGGCGGCGCGGGTGGCGTTGAGGGCATCCACAAAGCGGTCCTTCTTCTCGCCGACCTCGACCTCAGACGAGCCACCGACGCGGATGACGGCGACACCGCCCGACAGCTTGGCCAGACGCTCCTGCAGCTTCTCCTTCTCGTACTCGGTGGTGGTGGGGTCGTTCATGACGCCGCGGATCTGCTCGCAGCGCTGCGAAATCATGTCCTTGGAGCCCTCGCCGTTGAGCATGATGGTGTCTTCCTTGGTGATGGTGATGGAACCGACGGAGCCGAGCATGTCGGGGGTCGCCTTCTCGAGCTTGACGTCGAGCTCGTCGGTGAAGACGGTGCCGTCGCTGAGGATGGCAATGTCGCCCAGGATGGACTTGCGGTTGTCACCAAAGCCGGGGGCCTTGACGGCGGCAACTTGCAGCTGGCCACGCAGCTTGTTCAGGATGCAGACGGCCAGAGCCTCGCCCTCAATGTCTTCGGCAATGATGACGAGGGGGCGGCGCTGCTGGGTGGAGATCTCGAGGGCGGGGATGATGTCCTGGACGGCGGAGATCTTCTTCTCGGACAGCAGGATCAGAGGCTTCTCGAACTCGACCTTCTGCGACTTGGCATCGGTGATGAAGTAGGGGGAGACGAAGCCGCGGTCGAAGCGCATGCCCTCGGTGACCTCGAGCTCGTCGTTGACGGTCTTGCCCTCCTTGACGGTGATGACACCCTCCTTGCCGACCTTCTCCATGGCGCTGGCGAGCAGGGCGCCGATGTGGGTGTCGCCGTTGGCGCTGATGGTGGCGACCTGGGCGACCTCGGCGGAGGTGGTGATGTCGCGCTTGTGCTTCTGGAGGAACTCGACGACGGCGTTGACACCGGCCTGGATACCGCGGCGCAGGTCCATGGGGTTGCAGCCGGCGGCGACGTTCTTGACGGTCTCGGAGAAGATGGAGCGGGCGAGGACGGTGGCGGTGGTGGTGCCGTCACCGGCAACCTCGTTGGTCTTGGAGGCGACGTCCATGAGCAGCTTGGCGCCCAGGTTCTCGAACTTGTCCTTGAGGGTGATGGCACGGGCAACTGTGACGCCGTCTGGAGAGGAGGAGGGGAGCATGTTAGAACGAATTCGGAAGACGCTACAGAGCTCTGCTATGCAATCTGGAGCAGGACCTACCCTTGGTGATCTTGGGCGAGCCGAAGCTGGACTCGATGAGGACGTTGCGGCCCTTGGGACCCAGAGTCGTGGCGACGGCCTTGGCCAGGGTCTCGGCACCGGCCAGCAGTGCGGCACGGCCCTCAACGCCGAACTTGAGGTCCTTGTGGGCGAAACGGCGCTGTGTCAGGTTGAGGCCGGTGGTGGTCGAGGTGCGCAGGCCCGAGAGCGCCGAGGCTCTTGCCCGCGAGGTCATGGCACGCTGCATGATGTGTGTGGAGGGGAGGGAGGAAAGGAGAGAAATGTGAAAAAAGCAGGAGAGCAGGAGAAAACGACAAAACAATGTCGAATTGTCTCGATGACGAAGGACGTGGTCTTGGGAGAAAGATGGGGAAAGAAGGGGAGAAGGAAAGAGAGCAAGAGAGAAGATGTGGCCGTCGTGCTGGCGAAAAAATTCTAGAGAAGCTCTCGTCGTGTCTCCGCAGGGAAGGCGAGACCGCCGAGACACAGAAAAAAAAAATCCAAAAAGTCGAGCACACTGTGCCGTCATTGGGCAGGCGCGGATTGGCCCAAGCTTGTTTTGGTTTAGTGCACCAGCCGCCCAACCCACAGGGTCTGCCAGCACCTACGCTCGCACTCAGCGCAGTCTTCTATGCAGTTCTACGGGGTCCACTTTTGGCCGTCTCTGGTCTTTCTCTCTCACTGAAGCACTCTTTTCGGCTGTTTCCTGTGCGACTTGCAAGCCAAATAGCCGATGCCGTCGTTGGCTCTGGGGCTCTCTGTTGCTCATCCTTCCCCCCTGTGCTTTTTTTCTCCGCACGTAGCCGTTCGGGTTGCGATCCCCAGAAGCTCGGCCGCCACTTTCCCGCATTGGTAGTCGAAACACGAGGCTTAGGCAGTGAGGCAGAAGAAGGCTGCCATTGTGGTGGCCCCTGTCCAGACCGCGTCGATGCGTCCAACGGGTAGAGGCCACTCGTTGGCAGCGTTGATGGTGCTCGCTCGTTCACAACGCGGACCATAAAGACCTAGGCGGTGTCGGCTCTATAAAGGGTGTCTCGCGTGCAGCCCCCAGTTAAATAGACAATGTAGACAAAGCAAATTCAGTCTCAACAACATGCCGTATACGATCTCCGGGTATGATTCTGAATAGCTTGGAGATTTTGACAAATGCCTCTAGGGGTAATTGACGACGAATAATGTCTCGCTCGGAGATACATGTCCTGGCCTTTGTTGCTCTATCGGCGAGACATGATCATGGCAAGCGGATGCTTTGCCAGCAGCCACTAAATTATGGGCCTAGTGCACTGTAATGCCCTATAATTTTTAAATTCCTCGGAGAGCGCTAAATTGTACGCGACAGCACTATAAGACGCTGTAACATGATTTCGGAATGTATCGCGACAAAATCACTTTTTGGAGTTTATTTCCGTCTGTTTACTACGTTTTCGTTTGATTGTTTTATCGGTTCGGTCAGGTATTTTTGTAACGTTTGTAAATTGCTAGTACCATATGTCTATACCCTATCCATCAGCTCTGCGATCTGACTCAGGAACGTAATCTTACGTGTCAGATAAAACCTCAAATAAATCAAATGCAGGTCAAGTCTATCAAGAGCACGGCGCGTCGTGCTGGATCCCCATTCCTCTTTCAAAGGTTCTTCTCCTTGACGTCTTCTCTCCTCTCTCCTAGTATTATTACATGGATCTTAAAATGTATACCACCCTGTATAGCCATTCTTGTCCTTTTTGTTCTTGTGCGCCGCTGTAATTTCGACTATGTCGCTGGTGTAGAAGTTCGGACACCGATTGCTGTCTATGCGCAGTTGTGGATGTAAACGATGAAGGCGGCCGTGAACAAGTTTTGCGTACTGTAAAATGTGAAAACAATCCGTGCCATCAGAAATAGGGGCGATGCGAAACAAATTCGAAGCGTAAAACAGTGTAAGTTAAAAGTAAGTGATGACCGGAACGTTAAATAAAAACAATGTAAAAGGGCAGCTGTTAAAAACAAAATGGATAGAAATACTAAAGCAGGTGAAGAACAGACGACATGCAATGCAGGACGAAAACAATGTTGCTCGAGCGCCGACACACCATAATATAGGCGGCCGTGAGGTCACCTTCCGTGTGGGTTGGCAACGCCAGTGTTTGGGTAATCGTATGTATCGTGGTAGCGCTGTGTCGTGGTGTATTAGTCGATTGTTTTGTGCAGTGAGAAAGGAACAAAATCACTTACGTGGTTCAGGAACTGGTTGTTGTACTGTGCACCTGTGTCGACGACTTTGTTGAAATAAGCGGCGCCGTCGTTTCCTTCGCGCATACCCAGTGGCGTAAAGCCGCCCGCCATAGACGCCATGGGGGTATGTTGCTCCGCGCCGAACGAAGATAGAAGGGTGTTGTGTTGGAGCATGGCACTGACCATTGGAGGTGCGTGCATGCTGTTCATTCCCGCATTGTCGACAGCCACATGGCCGGGGAACAATGGAGGCGAGGACGTCGAGGAAATAGTACCGTCGTTGTTGAATGGGGCGAACTGCGGAAGCGTGGGAGGGTACAGCTGCTATTGTAAAATGTTAATCAATGAATAGCAAAGCAAGGAAGAATGTGGATGCGATAGACGAGTGACTCACGCTCATTGCGAGGTTGGGGACTTGCGATCCATAGTGGCCGAAAAACTGCGGATTGAGTTGCAGCAAGTTGGCAACTTGGTGCTCCTGGGCCATTCTCTGCTCCGCGACCAGGTCGAGGGCAGCCGTTGCCTGGTCTTGGAAGTCGACTTGGTCCGAAAGCAGCTTAATTAAAGAGTTTGGTTCCTCTTCGTCGTCGCTGGAGCTACCGTCGCCGTTGCTGATTGCGTCGACAGTGTCCTGGCCGTCCTGGCCATCCTGGGCGTCATTGTCGCCGTAGATGCCCAGCACGTCGTACGTGTTGGGCAACTCGTTTTGAGGAGAGCTGGTTTCGGCGGCGTACTCCTTCTCTTGGTCAGCTGCATCCTCGTCACTGGCTTGGCCAGGATTGAACGAGGTCTCGCTCCCAGGGGTAGCCGGAGAATTGTGGGCAGAGACTGGCACGCTGGCTTCGGCTTCGCAGGCTTCAAGAATGTCGCTATGCTCGTTGTCGTCCTCCTCATAGTCAGCTTCGTGGTACGTCTTGACACGCTTCACCCGTGAAGAGCGGCGGTGAGTGGTTCTGACAGGGGTGAGTTCGTTCTCGCTGGGGAGGTTGGCCGGGCTAGACGAGGTGGCAGCTTTCTTGGCGAGCGTCTTCTTCTTGGTAGTGGGCTTGCTGGGCGGAGCGAAATCTGTCGTCGAAGAAGTGTCCTTTGCCATGCGTTTCTTGTGAGGCGCGCTGCCAACCTTCACCTTGGACTTGGGGATCTTTCTGTTGTTCTGTCTGAGAACCTGGTTGTTGGCATCGACGAGAATGCCATCCTCGAGAGCGGAGTCTGGATCGAACGGCAGACAGAACACATCGCGGTATTTGTGAGCGCTATGCTCAAATTTTTCCTTGAAAGTGATGGCTCGCTTGGCTGCAAATAGGGGCTCCCCCTCGCTCCAGCGCACGTTTTGAGGCATGCGGTAAAAACCGCGCATGGTGTAGTGCGAAGGATCGCGAGCACCATTGGACTTGGGGAGGTCAGGCGGCACGAGGTGCCCATTCAAAAAAACGGTGTTGCGAAGACGGGCAAGGTGCTGGAGGATGGCACTCCCAGAAGATCCGGGGTGAAGACGGTGGGCAACTGCATCCCACGGAATGTCAATGTTATGACGGGCGCACTCGTACTGGATTGTTAGAAGCAGCTTGGCATCCATATAGGCGCCTGGTCACTTGAGTTAGTACTTGACGTCTAAATAGATGATCCAATATTGTATCTTTCGGTCCAAGAAATAGGAGACGAGAAAAGTAAGAAGCAAGAAAATGGGCAGCCGAATGGCGAGGGGGGAAGTAGACGATGAGTCCAAAACGTAGGCGAATAAAGACGAGAAAACGAAAAGACGTCCAAAAATAGTATTTGTTTGTTCCAAAACCTCTTACGGTTCCAGATGATCAGGTCACGGCCGGTCAGGCGCCCATTACGGCGGCGCTGCTCGGAGTTGGGTGGAATGTGAGACATGTCTTCGTCGTCGTAGTCGTCCTCAAAGCCATAAAACTCCTCGCCAAGGACAATTCCTGTACGATTGGCAGCCCGGATGGCAGCGGCTTCGATATATTCTTCCCATTCCAGGTCTCGGGGGCCTGAAAAGTCTTGGTTGTCCTGGTTGTCTTGGCTTTCTTGGTTCGCCTCGTCATCGGTTTCGCAATCGTCTTCACCGCCATTCATGATGGGGGCGGATCTCTTGCGTTTGAGGGAAGTAGCCTTGGCGGTGGTCATAGGGGCAGCCGAAACCTTTCCTTTTCCCATTCCTTGGCCCGAAGAAGCCTTGGTCATGTTTGTGGCCTTGTCACCAGTGGCTCGCTTAGCTGCCACTCGCTTGTTATTCGCCATGGTTTGTTGACTGCAAATTTCCTAGCAGGTCTTTGAGTCATGGTTAGTATTTCTTATGCACAAGATGTGTTTCATAGGATTGAAGGTGGTGAGTGTAAAGTGGCAAGGTGGTCGTTGGACAAACTCTGGGTGTCGCTCGTCTGTGCCGGAGCGTATAGACGGACTAGTCGTATATGCGGAGTGTCGAAGTCCTTCCTGCGAATCGATGCACTTGAGTGTCGAATATAAGAATGGAAGTAAAATGGAAACAATCTGTTGGTCAGCGATGATCGTAACGTAAAGATGATGGCAATGTGAAAGACGATGTACGTTACGCACCGTTGAGTAAAGATGATTGGAAAAGACGAAAGATACTGGACGTGACGCAACAATAAAAGAAAGGCAGTAGTGACGGCGGGCAAAATAGAAAGATCACGCGAAAGTAGAAGAGGTAGTGACACGAAGGAAAAGTAAGGGTAATGTCGAGATGTAGTCGAAGAAGAAGTGAGTGTCGAAGAAGAATAAATGCTGGGGAAAGTAAAGCTGTCGAGGTTGAAGTAACGAAGGTGAAGAAAACAAGAGAGAGAAAAGGAAGGGAAGAGGAAGGAAAAGGAGATTGAAGAAAGAAAAATGAATTCTATTTGAGCCACAGAATAAGCCGTTTAGGAAGGTAAGGAGAGGTCGAAAAACTCTGGGAGCTCAAAAAGGTCGGCAGAATTTTTGAACCACAATGAGCTTCGGGAGCAAGGAGCTATTGGAGTGGAGAGTGTCCTGGAGGACAACAGGTCGAGGGTGGGGGGGAGAGGATGAGACGAACACCCAAGAGGAGGAAGAGGGAGAGAGACGAGGGAGAAGGGTAGGAGAGGTGGTCAAAAAGTGGGCGATTAAGCGAGTTTGACTGGGAAACGAAGGTGAGGACAGAGTGACGGGCCAGTCAGAGCCGAGGAAATCAAAGAGCTCGACCTGGAGAAGCTACAAAAAGTCCTAGGATGGTCATGAGAGCTGTGGCCAAGGATTGTGCAACGCCTGGGGGGCTGGGAAGGAAAAAAACAGACCCGCTTCGTGTCCAGTCAAGCAAGATTTTCATCAGAGCGACAATGGTTTGTTTCAGGGCCGGACTGTGGAAAGGCGACCGGCCGCACAACTTATTGTTTTCGACTGAGAGTCCGTAAACCCTATCCAGTACGGCTGTAAAAGAAGAATCTGAACCGCCTGGCGGTGGGAACAGATGAGAACAGAGTAGATGAGGCGGTCTAGGGTGGTTGGTGGTGGTGGTGGTGGTAGTGGTGGTTGTTCCTGGTACCTGCCAAGCCTTCGCGCCCTTCTATGTACACCTTCTACATTCTTCTCTGCAGCTTCCACAGCTTCTATTGTTAGAGCGGAAGCTAAGCAATGATCCTCGGCACTTACAAAAGTTCCGAGACAGGGAATAGGGCCTTCGGACTGCTGCAGATTCTCAGTACGTTTGGTGGAAAATCCGGGGTGCGTCAGATTGAGTGGAGCCCCTTGGCCTGGGTCTTGGCCGTTGGGAGGATCTGTCGATCAGGAAAATGTCACTCCAACTGCCGACGCAAGCGAGTGGAGCACGGGCTACCAGCAGAGCCTCAAAATAAACACGCGCAATAGACGCCAGGAAGACGTCCAACTGGTAGTGGGTGTGGATCGGGAAGAAGCGGTCAAGAAACAATACCAAGGTTCATTCGCCTGACGTACTCGACTGTGAGAGGGGATCAATTGGTCGACTCGCCAAACCGGTGGCTGGGAGCGGTGAAAAAAATCGTCGATGGCTGCTCTTCCAATTTTGTGCGGTTGTGGGTGTGTTTATTTTCCGATCCCTTATCGCGTCGATAGACACCCCCATTCGGCCCTATATTTGCAGCCTGTGTCCCTGCGCAGCACCAAAAGCAACCTGCTCAGTGACAAAACACTCTTGCCTGCTTCGAGTGCTCAGTAAAATGCTAAGTAAGCAAAGTCCGCCTGTGCACGAAGGAGCGGCCCTTTTGTGGCAGACAGCGGACTATGTACACCTGATCCGCCGAACGTGCACATATTCTATGAGAAAAGTGCACCTCTCATAGTCTCATTTGCACTTGCAAACAAAGCCTCCGAAACGGGCAGATCTCTGTGTGGTCTTCTCTTTCTTTTATTCCCTCTTTGGAATGTTTCCTTGTCTAACCTTGAAAATGGCGAAAAAAGACATTTCAAAAGGCGCTTTGGCTACTGCTGCGGTGTCAATAGTAGATTTGCTCGTCACAAGGGTCGGCTCCGTCGCATCTGCCTCTCAAAACCACGACTGGCTTTGCACGCACAACCAGTCAATCCCGATTGCTACCTCAACAGTGGCGAACAGTTTGATCAACTTTTTCTCCTTTATAATTTGCATATCGACGAGTGGCACGGTTTTTGCACAGATTTGTCCAGCATGACCAGTCGGTGAGAAACCGTACGTTTCACAAAGGAATCCGAATACGGCGCCCCGAGCAGTGTATTTAGTCCACATCGGTGCGGTCAATTGCCAATGCACACTACCATTACGCACCGTTTCTTAAAAGCAGAGAGGTTACACCCCGCAATTCACAACTCACTCAAAATTGTCCCAACGGCAGACTCGCATTTTAGTCGCCATGCTCACGTTTCATTTGCATCAAATTATCGCAAGACTCCTACAACTTCAGGAAAGCACTATAAAGTGCCGTAGACAATACTCCTCCGTCTTCTTCTTCATAGCCCTCTAATTTAATGCGCAAACACGCGACAGCCACACAAATATAAAGCACGTGCCCACGTCAATCCAACTGGACATAGAATTGCCCCGCTTTTCACACTTGTCGACCCTGGTTACCGAAATTATCAAGGGAATTGGTGCCATCTCAAAGGATAGCAGAGCATGGCTCTTCGAGTCGAACGGTGCGCTGAAGACGAGAAGGACGGCGTGGGCGGGACGCGGAGAGGGTTTGGAAACCCGGAGGAACGCAAATGCTCGAAAGAGAATCAACGTGATGGGCACGCAACAGTACAGACGGCTTGCAAGGGACATCGGATAGAGGGCGAACGATGATGACGGGAACAAAAAGTCTCAAAGAAGACGAGATCGGTTCGGACATAAGTCAAAGTGCAGCCGCGGAGCAGGCGAAAAGTTGTCAGAAAGATCACAGTCGTATATTCGTAAATCGTAAATCGTCAGGTCGTGAAATCGAAAGTTAGGTGGGAGTGAGACGAGAAGTCGACAGAAAAATAAGATCGAAGCAGTCGCTCTTCAGATCCCCTGGTCAATTTCGTGGCCTTCGCTCTTCACTTCTGCCAGAGCTGCCTCTGCAATATCCTTGACATCAGCCTCGGATTCGAGCTTGATCGCGGCAGTGGTCTTCTGGGCTTTGGCACGCTTGGCAACAGGGTCGCGGTTCGGCATGTCATTGACGGCAACAAATTGGCTTCCGTAGTACTCCGTAGCAGAGTCTTCGCAGGCAGACTCGTAGTCAGCATCCGACGGGTTGCTCAGGGCGTCGTTGGCAGATTCACGCTTGCGCTTGACCGAGAGTGGTGAGCTGTAAACGTCGTTCGAGATAGTTGTGTCATCGGCGTTGCTTGGATAGGCAACACCATCTGCTTTGTCTTTGCGATTGGCACGCGGCTTAACCGGAGCACGACGCTTCGGCTTGGTAGCGGTATTGCTAGTAGCGGCGAGGGATTTATTGTCGCTCTCGTTCCCTTCGGCTTTGGCTTCGATGGTGGCATTGCAGGTGCCAAAGTCAGTGGCCTGGGCACGTTTCTTGAGTCGTTCATATCTCTTGGCACTAGTAAAAAGCGAATGGCGAGGATTGAAAACAGAGTGAGTCAAAGGCGGTTAGTAACAGGATTCATGAAAAGTGAGAGCAGGCAGATAGGACGTGATGAGACACGAGTCGAGAAAGAGGTAAAAGCAGGCAAGGAGAGATGTTAATTACGCAGCATTCTTGGTGGGGATATTGAGATCGGTGGCAACGGCAGCAAAGTCAATCTGAAGGCAGAAGAGCGAGAAGGAGACGCGAAAGTGTCAGTCCAAGTGATGCCACGAATACGTAAACAATAATGCAAAGTCGCGTTGAAACGTGACAAGTAGGGGTGGGCGGAGACTCACCTTTCCGCCGTTGGAGGTATGCTTGATGCAAGCCGGGAGGAAAGAAATCTGTTCGTTGGTCGACATGGTTATGGCGGATGTTGAAAGCCGTGATCTCAAAATCTGCTGATGACTGTTTTGGCGGGTGTTGGTTGCGTAGACGACGCGACTGCAAATGGTCAAAGACGCGCTCGTCAGAGGCCAAATGGTCGAAAGTATGGGCAAAATTGAGCTGAAGAAAAGAGAAAAAGATAACGGCGAGGTGGTGAGAGAGGCTGCTCACGAGGCTAAGAACAAAGTGAATGCGTTTGTTGGTGTGTGGAAGAGTGAAAAGAGGAAAGTGTTGGTGTGCAGAGTAAGAAAAAAATATCGAAGGGAGAGCGTAGAAAGGAGACGTGTCAGAGCAAAATAAATCACCGGGAAGGAGGGGAGAGGATAGGGAAGGAGCGTTCAAGTGCGAGGGAGGGAAGGGAAGGAAGGAGCGTCTGAGAGTAAACAATCAAGCGGAGGAAGGTGCAAACAAGAAATTCAAAGCCCGTCTACATAGGCTGCCTAGCTCAGCTGGCTATTACGAGCAACGTTGCTTTTTTTCAGTTGAGCAACTAGCACATAGGCTTCAAGAGTGTGATGTTAATTCTGTCAGCGAAGTCTCTGTTGCTAGAAATATCCATTCGATGTATTTGTGCATCTCTTGACGGTCAAAATCAGAAGCCGGACTGGCATAAAACATGTTGTGGCCACACGAAGTTGCTTTAATTTCTTCTTTCTACCAAGAAAATAATCGTGTATGTCTCGCTGTTTTCTTTCTATCACTATCCTGGCCTCGACAGACCCGTCTTCGAGCGTTTTATTTTTTTTGTCCCCTCTGGAGTAGAAATGTCTTCGACTCTGACAATCACCAGTCTTGGACAGGCAACGTGTCATCCATCTTTCCACCCGTCTGCAGATCCATTTGATTCCCGCCAGACACTCGACCGTATGCCTGCATGGTGCCTGCAAGGTGGATGCCAGTTCAAGACCAGGACAATGTCCCATTACATGGAGAGTCACGGATATATGCATCAGGAAGCTCGCAATACATGTCTGGCCCGTTGTGCAACCGCAAGAATTTCTTTTCGACCTGCTCTCGAATCCCCTGCAAAACACCGAGCGCTTGGGAGCGCCCAGCATCGTATCCGTCACAATAAACCTTCTCAAAAGAAACCTGTGAGGCAGAGTGCCTATCTCTGTAGCCGTCGTCATTGGAACCGTTCCTGGTATGTTCAATCCCCGGCCCGAAGGTCTGACGAGTGTCGTGAGTTGTGGGGCGCTGTGTCCGCCATTGGGTAGGCTCGACTTCTCCTGGTGATCTTCTGAACGAGTCGTGCATCGGAGAAGTGTTCCTGCCTGTGTGGTCCGGGGACGTCCCTGCAGCCATAAACGAGTTGATTGAGGTGGCATTAACTGATAAGGACGACGTCGTTTCGTCTTCTGCACCGAGACGGTCGCGAAAACGGCCCCCGATACAAGCATCTGCGTCCTGCTCCGCGACACGTTTGGCTATTCTTCCGATTCCGTCGAACCAGCTAGACCAATCTCGCATCCACATTTCGACGGTGCTGTCTCTACTATTATTGACCTTATAACAGGGCTCGGTTTGTGCTCTGTCCAGCTGAGGCTGGTTTCCCGCCTCCGATAAATCATGGCCCTTCGAGGGCAGGCCAAGACTTGTTTTGCTTCTGTGTACATGTAACGGAGAAGTAAAACGCGTCTTCTAACCCTGGCTCACGTTGGGTTTCAGAGGTGAGCTTTGTCTTTTTCTGTCTTGAGCAGAGCTCAGCTTCAGGTACAAATTCTTTCTTGGTGGGATACTCTTGGTTGAGCTTGCCTTTGACAGAGAGCAGGCTCGCTTGGGGCTTCTCGACCTCCACAAACCCAGAGGCACCGAAAAGCGATTTAAACCGCGGCGCTTTTCGTTCTTCGTTCCAACCCGAGCCGCCTTCCACTTCTTGAATTGTTGTGGTATCCGACCCGTCGACTTGGGTCCATTCTCCCACCGCGAGTATACAGTCAGCCGTCGCGGGCTCCTGCGTCGCGATGGGCTTGGTTCTCGATGAGAGATGGAAGCACCGGATGCGCCGACCCAAGCGTCTACAGCCTCCCGCGCTGGACCTCCTGCGTTTTGAGAGTCTGAGAGCCTGAGCTGCGTCGGTGGAGTCTTGGCGGAACCGCCGCCTGAAATCGTTTCTGGACCGGCTAGAGGAATCATTTTGGCTTTTGACATAAACAAGAAAGGCGCGATGGAAGACTGAGAAGTTGCGGTTGTGTGTTTCGCGAGGTTCCAACAGCAAACTATGAATGGATGCTAACGTCTGTCTCGATAGGCAATACTAGCTTCGATAACGATGAGAGGAATAATGCTTGACGTGGTGAAACACATGAAGTAGCGAGTTGGAAATGGACGCCTATTTGGTTGCGTTGTTGGTGAATAGAGGAACAGAAACGACGTTGGCCTCATAGGAAGACTCTCTGTTTACTTGTCGCGGGTGGACATTGATGTTGTTGCCTTGTCCTATGCTGTGGCTGCTATGTTGCCAGGTCGTGGAAGGCGCGACCACTGGGCAAGTTGTCGTCCCTTCTTTCCGGCAGCAGTTACACAGACGACACTGCCATTCTTTCCTCACGCAGTATGACACAGGCCAGGTCGTCCGAGCACTTACCAGGGACGGAGCTACGGGGATAGAAACTCAAGGCCAGCAGTCAACCTAAAGGGCAGATATACAGTCACTTGGAGGGCATCTCTGCGAGGGTAGTTATCTTCTGTGCTTGCTCTCATGATGATTTTTTCCCCAGTGACATCTGCTCCCTCCGTATGCTCGTGGCCTACACTTCTGTTACGCTTACACATTTCTATACAAGTTTAGGAGGGGAAATCATCGATTGGAAATTCAGACTTTCTTAAACGATCCGTAGACATCCGCAACGTTCCTTTCTTTCACCACAGAGTCTTGCCCGACTTTCTTCTCAACCTGTTTCAATGCAGGGGTATAATATTTATTGATTCCATCCATATCGTATCACCAAGTCGTGTTGGGCTCACGTTTTCTGTGTGAATTTGCGGGCTTGAGCGAGGCTTAAATGCCCTCCTCGGCAGACTTGTCTGCCTCCGAGGTGAGCCTGTTGAGACCACGTTGTTAGTAAGGTGTATTTTCAAGCACTGGAGAGCTTCAGCCGTACGAGGCAAACAAACAACGTACTCATCCTTGACAGCAAAGTCCTCGCTGCCCTCACTCTGCTCGGTCTTGGCCTTTTTGGCAGATATTTCTTTGACGGATGGATCGTCACTATCCTCTTCGGTCTTGGCGGCGTTCTTGCGCTTGCCGCCGCTCTTGGGTGTGCCCTTGGCACGGGGCGTCTTGGGTGTACGAGGGGTCTTGGGAGTGGCGGGAGCCACGCCAGGCTCGCCAGAGCCCACGGTACGGCGGAGCTTCTGCAGATGTTGGCTGGAAAACAGATGTGATTAGTGAGTGCTTTAACAGACAAGAGAAAACCAGAATGGATGTGATAAATGACGAGTGTAAAGATAAACAAGACGAAAGGCAATAACAAAAGTATAGAAGAAAGTACACAACTGCTTTGGGCGTGAATTCGTAGCCCATTTCGGTGGTACGCTCGACAATGGCCCGGATCTGCTCAGCACCGGGAGACAGCGTCTCATACATGGCGATGAGCAAGTCCCGGTTGCTGTCGGCGTCCCAAGTGTGTCTGTAGTGGGCCATGTTGGGCAGAAGACAGTGGATAGACAAGTAGATGGATGGTAGAGCTAGGCAAGAAAGAGGGAAGTGAAAAGTCAGGTAAAAATGAGCGTCTTATTGAAAGTCGGGAGTGTGTGGCGAGGTAGAAGTGAAGAGGACGAAGGGGGCAGCCACTGGCTCTGTGTTTGTGTTTGTTCTTGTGCTTGAGCGGGTGCTGAGTAGAAACAGGATGACTGGAGCAAGTTTGTAGGAGGCAGGTAAAGACGGTGAATAAAGAGCTAGACAGAGGGAGTAGTACTCTAGTCCGCGGAAGGTAAACTGGTATCCCAGCTTGGTCATTTCTTCGACAATCTTCTTGAGATTAGCAGCCGGTGGCTTGTACTCTTCGACCATGGCGACCAAAATGTCTCGGTAGACACCTGGAGCGTTCCAGTCTTGAGCGAAGCGCTTCTCAGCAGACATAGTGAAGAATGAGAGGACGGTGACGAGGCGATGACTACTGATGTGCTGATCTGGTGGTTTGTGAGGAACAAGGTAGTTGAAGAAAGAAGGAGATTTAGTAGAGTAGGAGAAAGGGTAAGAGAGTGTAAAGTAGGAGAGGTAGATGTTGAAGTATAGAACGTTGGAAAAATGCAAATAACGACTGCGAGTGAATAAAAGTGAAGTTAGGTGAAATGGGACGAAAAGTAGCGTGAAAGCGTGAAAAACATCCATAGTCTTACTTGAGGCCGTGAAATGTGAATTGATGTCCTTGTTGGGTGGTAATCTCCACGATCTCTTTGAGGGTGCCCTGCGACGGCTTAGTCAAGGAGATCAAAGCCAGAAGTATATCGCGATAAACGCCATGCTCATCCCAGTTTTGACTGAACCGCTTGGTCGACATTGTGCGTTGAGTAGTTGAGCTTAAGGAATAGAAAAGAGGGAGAGGAACACAAGGATGAGGGTAGAATAAAGTGCAGAGGAGCTTCGGCTCTGGCGTAATCGTAGTTGTGGTGAAAAAAGAGTGAATGTAAGAGCAGATCGATGGGAGAAATAGGTAGAAAAGGAGCGAAACGCGAGACGATGGCGAGGGGTTTAAGTATATTTTTGGGTTGGCCACAGGAGGAAGAACGAAGGAGCCACAAACTATGGGCAAAAAGCACCGATAAGAACAGAAAATCAAGCCCAAGACCAATGAAAAAAAAATAGCGAGAGGTGCAGAAGCAGCAGGTAAAGGCAAAAGGAGAAAATACCGAATAGCATCCCAGGTAATGACGTGGCCATGGGCACCAAGATAGGCGACTATCTGCTGCTTCTGTTCGGCACTGGGCGTAGAGTAGATGTAGAGCGCCATGAGCAGGTCGTCTTTTATGTTACCATCCCACTTGGACATAATGACGGTTGAAAAGTGACGTTGTGATTTGATGATGGTTTGGTGACTGTGGTGAGGATTGATGTGGAAGTGTTGGTGTGGTGGTATTGACTTGCGAGGATTGGGTAGTGTTGAGGAAGGGCAGAGTCAAGTGGTGACAAGTTGAAACGAAGGCAAGAAAACATAAACGCGATATACGAGGAAGGACAACGAGTCACGTTATAAACTATGCGAATGCTTTTGCAAAAAATCACAGAGTGGAAAGGGGGCGTGTGCGAAATACCGAATGCCATTCCAGTTCACGTCATATCCTCGGCCATGCATATCGGCGACGATTTGGTTCTTCTGCTCATCCGTCATCGAAGGCGGGCAGGCCACTGCCACCACCGACAGGAAGAGCGCAGACATGGCCCCTTCATCCCACTTGATAGGCATAATGGGTGATGGGTTGGTTGAAAATGGGATCGAGGAGCGTTCGGAGGGGCAGCAAGTTGAAGAGCTTGCAGTGAATGGAGAAGCGATATGACAAGTGTATCAAAGCAGGAGAAGAGAAGTAAAGAAGCAACAGGCCGTATGAGAGACGAAGATTCAAAAGTGAAGCAGTATCGAGTAGGAGCAGTGACGTGGTAGGGAGTAGAGTAGCGCAGGCGAGAAGACAGATGCGTCATCGAACAGTTGGGCAAGGTAAAGGAACGTAAAACTCAAACGTGGAACAGTGGGAGAAGCAAACGACTACAAAATCCGACCTCTGTAAATCGACCAGAACGCGCAAAATCAGCACAACTTTATATAAACCTACCGCACACCTTCCCAGGTAAAGGTCGCGTTGCTGGCGGCAAAGGACGCCATGATAACCTCGCTTTGCTTGGCGGCAGAGCTGTCGGCGGCGATGAGGGCCTCGTTGAGCGCGACGCAGAGCTTCATGTGGCCGTCGTTGTCCCACTAGAACGTCAGCGATGGTGCAAGCATTGCAACATTGCTATTCTAGCTGTCTTTCCGGCCCCGAGATTACCGTCGACATACCTTGTTGGTAACCTCGGCCTTGTCAACCTCGCTGGACGACATGGTGACCTGTGCTGGCTTGTAGGGTTTTCGTGATTAGGCAAGTGGACTGCTGGACACGCAGTTAGGTGGTGCTTTGTCGTAGAAGATGAGCGTTTGTAGATGTATGGGTGTAAATATGTCGGCGACGAATCGTAGAAGAGTGGCGATGTTGCAATTGTAAGCCGAAGACGTGGAGATATTGACTACGCTCGTTGCAACACCATTTCATGGGCTGTAGTGGAGTGTGGGAAAGGGGTCGCTCCTCTGTTCATAAACGATCATGAAGATCTGATGGCGGTGTGGACGACGTGAAAGCAATGCACGAGTTAAGCTTAACACGAAAGGTGTGACAAAGAATAAATCACGTAAATCATATAAATCATATCTTCATTCAGCACTCGCTAACCAAACATGGACAAATATAAAAGGATCCAATAAAGGCACAAAATGGGGAGGCCATTGGAGCACACCCATCCCTAATCGAGAAACAAATCCAACCAAGAAATCCCAAAATGTCGTCTTCCCCCTAGATATGCAAGTGAACCCAATTGTTATATCCCCTCGCAGAGTTGTCATTTAAAAATCATGTCTTTCAGTCGTAAGTGCAAGCGGAAATTTGTAAAGAAATTCGTGGAAAACAAAGTCTGTCGTAAGGCACTGTCGTCAGGCCCTTGTATCCGGTGCTGAAATTGGTTGTCGTAGATTCGTCTCAAGCTCTAAAGATCCCACCAGAGCAGGCCAGGTGTTTCCATGAGTTCGGATGCATTCTATGCTTCGCCGTAATGGAAACTGGATTGTTAGCAGGGGATAGAGCCTTTGTGGCAAGGAGAGAGGTGGACTCACTCTGTCGGAAAAGCGGCACGGTTGTGTGCAGCCAGCGCGGTCAAAACCGCTTCGTCCTCGAGCGTCGAGTCATGAGCGTCAGAGTCCAGCTTTTGTCGTTTTGCTTCGTGGTCGTCGTCGTGTTCGTCGTCGGATGCACTATCGTCCTCATGTTCACCATCCGCGTCATGCTCTGCCGGTATGCCCGGTTCACCCATGACTTGTGTGCCCATGTTCGCCATGCCCAAGCCGACACTGGCACCGACGCTGGCGCTGATGCTGGCGCTTCCGGGCACACTGACGGGACCCATTCCAGGCACGTCTTCATCTTCGCCAGCAGCGTCTTCGAGCGAATGTAGTTTGGGTTCTGTATTGTTATGTTGTTGTTGTTGCTGCTGCTGCTGCTGTTGTTGCTCAATGAATTGTTGGAGACGATGCTGGCTGAGAATCTGGTGCTGCCGTTCCTGAAATTGCCTCTGTTCGCGCAGATGCTGCTGGAGGAGCTGCTGATGAGCAAGCTTTTCTTGAGCGAAGAGCTCCGCATAGTCCGTTTGTACAGGTGCATCGTCGACACCCGGGGTTCTTTGCTTGTTGTTTGGAAGCACGTCTTGTGGTAATGGTCGGTGGCTTTGATGCTGTTGCGGTACGTGTTGGTGAATATGTTGGTGTTGATGTTGCAGGTGCTGGTGTTGCTGCTGCTGCTGTTGTTGCTGGTGGTGGTAGTGTTGTTCTTGTTCTTGTTGTTGTTGTTTTTGTTCGTGGTGGTGGTGGTGTTCCTGTACCATGTGGTGTTGTGGAACCTGATGCCCATGTAGATGCTGTTCTAGCTGATGCGGGTCGTGGTTGTGGTTGTGATGTAAAGGTGCGTCGGCAGTCGCGGCCCCAAGATTGTTGCCGACCACGCCACTGGCAGCCAGTCCAGCCACATTGTCTGCAGACGAGCCATTGCCTATTCCTCGCGGTGGGTGGACAGGAGCGTGGCCGTGTGTATGTGCCAAGAGAGGCTGCAGACCGCTCGCTGTGGCCACAGCAAGGAGATCCGAGCTCAAGTCGGCTGCAGTGCCGTTCCCCGTAGACAACGGACCGGGTGTTGCAGCAGTAATCGGGGCATCAGGGTCGATCTCACCCTCGCCGTCAGGGTCGACCTTGCTGTCGTCGGCGTCCACGTCAGCTTTCACATCGGCCAACGCGGTGACCATGGACGCCGTGTTGTCGTCCACCCGGGAGCTTAGTCTCGTGTCGGCACGGGTGTCATCACCGTTGCCCTCACAGTCCTCGGCTGCCGAGGACAGCTTCCGTGACCGCCGTCGACCAGGGCCGCCCGGCCGGCGTGTGATGGGATTCAGCGCTGGATCAATCCGATTTGCGGATGCAGCCGCGGCACTGCTGGCACCGCTACGCGGTATCGTGCCATTGGCCGGCTCGATCTTGTTTTGCGCACGCCGAAGGCCTTGAAAGTGTTGTCTGGAAGGGAAGGCATTAGTGCCATAGAAGGCATGTCGTATCTCACAAAAACCGCCAACAACTGGAGCACATACCGGCAACCTTCATTGGAGAATCCGTAGCCGAGGGTGCGCATGTGTTTCCCGATAATGGTCCATTCTGCGCCGCTAATGACGCCAATGTGTTTGACCGACAGAATGGTGAAAAAGAGGTCCTTGTCCGCTCGGTCGTTCCAGTTCTTGCTGTTCATCGTATGTAAGAAAGCAGGTCTCAGCCCGGCCAGGCGCGGCGACAGAGGCGGAAGAGTGCGGTCGGCGCCTCTCTCATACGCTGGCTCTCATAGCAAAATCGACCTTGAAGGAGCCTCGATTTCCGACGTGAAGTGGAGCGAAATGGAGTCCTAATAATAATAGGGTGTGGATGAGCGTGCGGGTGAGTACAGTGGTCTCGACTCTTGCTGGTCAACAGACTCGACGGCCTGGCGCGCTTGTGATTGCTACTACTCTCCACAGTTGTTTCAAGGTGCTCCGCAGCGAGCCACCGTTTTGTCGTTGTGTTGTGCAATGGTGTTTTGGGTGTGCAGAGAGATTGAGGTTTGAGGCATGTCAAAGTGTTTACGATTTGGCGGCGGACACACCTATCCCCTAACGCGAGGCTGGGGCTGGTACAGTGAGGGGAAGGAACATGCACTACTGGCGGGAACACGAATAGCTAGCTCAGTTGCGTCCTTCCTGGTACTCAGATGCACGTGACTCTATCCGAAAGCGCGTAAATAGGTTGCCGGCGAGTCTAGCCAGTCTACGAACATGCAGCAAGGTCTACGGCGTAAATTCGTCCTCTTGCTCGTCGTCCTCGCGCGTCTCCGAGGACTTTATCTTGGCCCACTCTCCTCAGGCCACAAGGCAACAAACTGACGCAAGGGAGACAATCCAGAAAAGTGGGGGGCCCCAGCTGCTGCCTGAATTCTCGCTGTCTCCGTTGCTCTTGCCGCCCCTCTTTGTCGAACTTGTTAAAGTGGCTGTCTCCACTTTTTTGTCAGATCATGTGCTCAGGCGTCAATATCGTGTCCATTTTGGCGCCGGTGCCTCCTTCCCACCCCAAGCCTCCCACCCCGCCCCTGCCGGACGTGACGTGTCGCACATCTTTTGTCTGGACTTTCCCATTTTTCCTCTGTTTCCCGTTTTTCGCTCCCAGTCGACGGAGCATCGCAAATTCTGCTCTCAACACTAATGCGCATCCCCCTGCATTCCTTGGGTCTCACCCCCTTTCCCTCCTCCCCCCATCCCATCCTGTTTCTGTTCGTTTCTTTTTGCAAGGCAGCCCATTGCAAATGACCGTCTCTTTCGCCGTAATTGTCCTCTCGTTTTGCGAATTGCAGTTCGCCTCGTTTTCGCACTTCAAATTTTGCCATCCTTCGTCAGCCTTGCACGTTTCCCTTTTCTCCTCTTATTTTCGTCTCCAATCGAGCAGGCTGCCGCTGCTTGGCAACTTTCCTGTTGTCCTTGCTTTTTTCTGACCTTCCAAACGTGGAGCAGGCGGATCGGAGGGGCGGTCAAGATCGCTCCGCTAACCTGAACGCGACCTGGTCTTGTGTCGTTCCTCTTGGCTCGTTTCTCTTTTAGCTTTTCTCGTCTTTTACTCGTCTGTTCCGGACTTTTGCATTTTATTTCCTGGCACCAGTGACTCACTTTGTCGTCGTTCCAACAACCCTTGCCGTCCCGCACGCCTCGTCATAGGTCACGGCCTGGACTGCCTCTGTTTCAACCATCGTTTATCATTTGTCGCCCGTCGTTTAACTAATCCTTATCCTCTCTTCGACGGTGCGTTCACATTCAACACCTCTCGCCCTCTTCTCAGTCGACTGTCACATTGGCTCCATTTTTCCGGTAACGCAACGTAGGCCACACCCTTCACCCCTGCCCTCTGCCCTGTGCTAAAAGAAAACCACTTTACGCGAACTGGTATTCCCTCGTCTTTGTACTTTTATCTCCACCCACCCTCTTTCGCTCTCGTGCTGTAGCTTCTCTTTGCACTCCCAATTCATTACTTTCACGTTCACGCCGTGCTCTTGTGTATGTACATTGCGGTTGTCACCTGAAACTGTCCAGTAATTAACCAGGCAACCGCTCAGCCTTGATTGTCATCTTGGCCGCGCTTCACATATTGGAAGCACGCGCCATTGTACATCGCATCTGCAGGGGCAGTATCCTTTCGTTCTGCCTCTCGTTGACTCTTTTTCCTTTTTATTTGTTCTCGTGCTCGTCCGCCTCGTCATCTTGTCGCAATTCTACGTAAGCTGCGACGTATATAAGCCGCGTGCCCATCCAGAATTCTCTTTTTCGTTTCTTATCGGCGCTACTTTGCCTAACGTTTTGTATTTGAATATGTTTTTCTGTGTTTGTCTCTTCGACTCTCCTAGCACACAGCTAGCCATTTCCGCTACAAGCGCACCCTCTTGCCGCTCTTTGTCTCTCTTACACCGGCCAACCTTGTGACAACTACTGCCCTCCCATCAGCATTTCTGTGTTTGTCAGTCGACATTCGCCCACTCTCGTGTTTTTTTCTCTTTCTTTTTCTCATGTCTTTTACTGTCCACACCCTACATATTCTCCTTTCCAGGTAGCGAATGACAACGTTTCCATTGTGACAATCTTCTTCCGAGCGAAGATCTTCGAAAAGGATTTATCGTGGGGAAAAAATAGCAAGAGAAAAGGTCCTGGGCATTCGTGAATATATGTAGACGCCCGTTCCTCCGCCGTTCTTCGTAGCCCCCTCCCCTGTGCACACCCCCATCCCCACCCAAGCCAACAATTTTACCTCAGCCGCATATATTCCTGGGACCTCGCCTCCCGCCCAAACACTTGATTCTTTTTTTTTCTCTCTTTCTGGTTCACGTCTGCCGTATCTTCTCTCTTCTCTCCTCCCACCACTCTAATTCTTCATTCGTGTTCTCTCTGTAGCCTTTCATCTCTCGTTCCCATCGTTCCTTTCGTCTCACCTCTACACCGGCCCTATTCAAACTGTTGAAACAACACACCGGGCATCAGGCCGAGATCGTACCGTGTCCATCCCCTCTGTGCCCTCTCCTCTCGGCCCTCTTTTCTCGGCCTTTTCTCTGTTCTGCATTTCCTATTCTCGTCCAATCACCCGTGTTTTCACCAGCCATCCTATAATACGCACCCCTTCTGGCTGCCTTTTATCTGTTTCACTTTCGTGACCTAAAATTTTCTTATATAGACGTCGTCTTTCTTCGACAGGAACAAGGCCCTCGTTTTTCTCCCTTTGCTTCTTTACTTTCAAAAACTCAGAAATCAAACTACCGCCGTCTTTCACAATGGGCTCCAGTAACAACGGCGCCAGCAGCGGCGAGAGCGGCAGCTCCGGGATAAATCCCGACAAGGCGATTGCTCGTCTGTTGTATGCAATGCTGAAGCAGAAGTCCTTGAAGGACGTAAGTGTTTCATTTCCACTGTCTTCGCAGTTACCCTATCTTCGCATCATCTGATCTAACCTTCCTTCGCAGATTGACTGGAACCAAGTAGCTGCTGACCCTGCCCTCCTCGAACGCATTTCCAATGGCCACGCTGCTCGGATGCGGTACTCCCGCTTCCGCCAATCCATTGATTCCCAGGTTGCAAAGAAGGCGGCCGCAGCCGCGGCAGCGCCCAAGAATGAAAGCAACGGCAACTTTGACGAAGACAAGGCCGGCATCGTCCAGCAAACACTCCCTCGCAGAGAATCCAAAACGAAATCCAATGACCCCAAGGGCAATAAGAGAACGGGCGCGGCGTCAGGAAGCACAAAGAGGCTACGAGACACGGAGAGCGATGACATTAAGAATGTCGTTATGAAGAAGAAAGAAGTAGCCAACCCGGATGAAAAGGAGAACAAGGACAACTTATCCCCAGACCCGGACTTTTTTTCGGATTACAACACTGGCCTCCTTCCAGACACTCCGGACAAGGATAAAGACAGCAAGGACAGCAAGCTCCTCCAAAAGCTAAAGCAGGACCCGGGATTCCTTGACACCAAGACCACGACGGAGAAGGCGGTGGACGACTTGCAGTTGTCCCAGACATCGTTCACGTCGTCTCTTCCCTCGCCTCCCACAGAGACTGTTCCGTCCATGGAATCCATTGCCAATCAAGATCGTACGAAGAAACTGAGAAAAATGTACGCGTTCTCGCCGACGATGAAGCCCGGCACCCTTCACCAGATCCCCCTCCCACGCGGTGCCATGTCCTCTTCCTCTTCTCGCATCTTGTCGCTGCCAACGCTGCCCACGGCGACGGCATCCGCCTCCTCGTCCGCAACCAGCCCTGTCAACCTCGGTGGTGTCTTGATGATGCGCCACCACTCAGCCGGATCCATGACGGACACAGCACCGAATCACCACCGTCATCATCCCCAGCCGCAAATGATGATCCGTCAGACGCGGATGATGACGCCGAGCAGCGACACAGATCTCCACCTTGGCGCGCACCATAACCACCGGCAGCACTTTGCCCACCACACGCAGATCCCCATCATGAGCGACCTGGCGTCCGTTGGTGGTCTTGATCCTACGTTTGACTTTGGCAACAACAATGGCGGTGGCAGCAACAGCACGACTGGTCATCCATCGCCGTGGATGGCTACTCCCTTCTCGTCGCCTGCTATGCCTGCCTTTGACATGTCCCCATACAGTACGACCCTCGACGTCGTGGGTGGCGGCGGCGGCGCCAACCAAGACGGCAGCATTGCCGGCGATACCCAGTCGATGCCCAGTCTCTTTCAGACGCAGTACAACAGCCAGCAGCAGCAGCAGGAGCAGGAAGCTCTACAAGCGTCTCTCATGGCCCAGGCCTTCACCAAGAACAACGGCTGGGACGTGATGCTTACGCAGGCCAACGGCTCCGACCAGAACCACAGTATCTGAGTCCTGCTGGTTTTGTTTTCTGTTGTTATGTGTCTTTCTGTTTTGCTTCTCTTACGGAATTTATGTTCTTATATTTATACTCCCTTTTTTCGTTTTTCGTTTTGCTTTCTCCGGTTTCCTATTTTTTTTCGTTTTGTCAACACGTTCGGATGGAAAGTTACAAACAAGGCAACAAACACGACGGCAAAAAAAAAGCTGCGGAATGACGAAGCGCAATATTTATGTTTTTTTTTTCTACCTTTCGGTTCGGTCTTTTTTATTGGCAATATTGCGTGGGATTCCTGTTTCGGATTGTTGTACGTTCAAGTTTTACGGCGTTCGGATGACTTTCTCTGCAGGTATTGTTGTTTTGCTGATTCTTCTACGTGCCTGTCAACATGTTGTCTGCGTTCCTTTTTTTTTTCAATGTTGATGTTCCAAACTGTTGTGCACCACTCGAAACGATGCGGTCTGTTTATTTGTTGCCAGCGTTGAGCTGCTTTTACATTTTCCTCTCGATGGCTTGTCTCGCCAAGTCGGATGTAATATAGAAAGAAAAGAAGAAAAACAAAAGAAAAATGAAAGGCCACATAATGCAAGGGGCCTTCATATTCATATTCACTCGTTATTCTACATTCACCACAACTAACATGCAAATCTCTACTTCTCATTCACATTCACTTGTCTCTTATCTTGTGTACTATGTGTCAAATATGTTGTACAGTAAACTCCTCCAGTTTATAAGGTTAGCCTTCGCAGCCATTACGCCGGGCTTTGGTTTGTTCTTTCGTCCCACGTAATAAACTAACCAACACAACTAGTCCGAGCTCAGACGAACTTGACTTTCGTCTCACATTTTATGGTCAAAATAAACAAGCTCAATTCTTCAATGAGTTTCGTTTCACTTGATTTTGAATTTGCTCGGAAATTCGTTGATAAGCTCTTTTAAACTCCCAGGATCAGTACGTCTATGTCGTCTAATGACATGGTTGCGCCAGCCATTCTCCAGTTTTTTCAACTCGTCCTCAGATCGTGACCGTGAATATTCAATCACCTTTAAGTCTCACTTGCCTTCATCCTTTCTCTCAGCTTTCCTTCACTTAACGTTGAGGCACAAGCTGACGTTCATTTTATTTTCTGCGCCCTTCAATATTTATTTTATCTATTTATTAATACATTTATTCTTTAGACTGTTGAGAATTCTTTCTCTTTTTTAAATTTATAAAATATTATCATACAGAAATCCCTTCAAATTTCCATTCACTTACTTTCAAGTTCTCCCCTTCTTTGTTCCCTCCCCGCATATCCTTCTCTTACTTCTTTCTTTCCTTTCACGACGGCCTTCTCTCTTCACTATCACAGCTCAGCTTATTGAAACCTTTAGCCCTTCCCCCCCCCTCTGCCACGACACCTCAAACACCTCACGTCCATCCATCTGTTAACACTGTCCATTGACAGCAGATGATCACCAGCTATCCACAATGGAAGATACCGCGGCTCAAGATGTTGCCACCGACACCACCAGTGCCCCAGGCTTCCCCGATCCCAGCCCTCAGGAGGCCATGTTCTTTTTCAACATGATCAAGAACATGAACAACCAGCCTGACATAGATTGGGACGGCGTCGCCACTGACTCTGGATTCAAGAACGCCGCTGTGGCCAAGGTGAGATCTTCATCCTTTCCCGATTCCAAAAAGGCATCCCTAACACTTTTAGAAACGCTTCTACCAGATCAAGCAAAAGCTTGGTCTCGACTCGCGCACCAACACAGCCGTTGTCAAGACGCCGCGCACTCCACGCACTCCACGTACGCCAAACACACCACGCAAGCCGCGCAAGACCAAGGGCACCACCGCCGTTGCTGTTTCTGCTGCAAGCGATGCCGCTGATGCCGACAATGAGGACACGGAAGCGGCTCCTCTTACACCGCCCAAGAGTGCCAAGCGCCGCAAGACCAACACGGGAAAGGCCGTCAGTATGGAGCTCTCTGAAGCCAATGTCAAGAAGCTTCGTGATGTCAAGCTCGAGGCCAATTCTGAGGCCACTCCTGAGGCCACTCCCAAAGCAAGTCCCGAACCGGCCACTGACAAGAAACAGGGCAGAAGCCCCCTCCCCTTCCACCGCGCGCAGCAGCGCACGCCTTCAGCCTCAGAGAGTGGCAGTGAGGATAAGAACTTGGCGAACGCCGAGGATAAGGGTGTAGCTGGCCATTGCGTTGATGACGTGATGCTTGACAGCATTACTGTGACTCCTCCTAGAGTCAAGTGCCATGGAGACGAATTGATCAAAGATGAGAGCGAGATTTAATTAACTCTACGGAAACACCCACTGGACTACGAGGTTGCACGCAAAGTGACGGGAATGTTAAAGGGACTATATATGCGAATGAATGAATGAATTGACGCCGGAGGCTCGCAAGGGTTACCCTAGAGGACATGTGGTCTACAGGAAAATGAGTAAGAAGAATCATTCATACGGTGGACGGACGATGTCAGAACGAAAGAAAAGACATATCTGAAACTCAAATAAAGCGATCATTCATCTATTTGTTTGGTGACTGTAAAAGGCAAAGAAAGCACAACGTAGTGTCTGTATTGACAGTCGAATTAGTAACCCCAAAACGCCATACCCTGTCTTCGCGTAATCTGAAGATCATGACTACCATAGAAAAATACAAAAACAATTCAAGGATGTCTCATCGCAACCTTTACCTCCGCGGTTTCTTTTCCGTTCCCGAAGACTCGTCATCCTTGTCGCTGCCCTTCTTCTTCACTGCCTGAGTCACGCGCAGACTCTGACCTTGACCCGCAAAGTATTGTGGCTTGCCGGCATTGGCTGCCTCCTCCTCCTTTTGCTCCTTGGTCTTCACCGGCCGGATGTGGTACCCAAAGAACAGCTTGTTCGCAGGCAACCGTAATGGTTGAGGGCCCGTTCTCCGGCGCGTATTGCCAGAGCCTTCGGCCTTGTTGCTCGACACACCGGCTACGGGTGTCGACGGCTTCTTAGGTGTTGACGCTGACGAGGCGGTGGTTGCTGCTGCGCCCTTTCCTTTCTTGGTGCCGATCCGATGACCCTCGCCTTCAAAGTTGGTGCCCACATGCGCGGCCGAGCCCGGTGCGATGGCATCGTAGTTGATCGCCTGCGCCATGCTGCCCTGGCTGTGCAGCACACCGCCCGCCGGCAGTCCACCGCTGAGACCGGTCCCTGCCACGCTGCGGGGCGTGCTGGTGCCGCTGTTCTTGGCCGCCGCTGATAGGGCGCTCCGGTCCGGCTCGACGTAGCCCACGGGCGGTGCAAAGTCCACGGACACGTCCGTCTCGATCATGCTGACGCCCATCTTGTCCGTCTCGGGCTTGACTTCTAGGACCGCCACGTCGTACACATCGCCGTTGTATTCAAAGCTGAAGACGTCGCCCTTGGTCAGCGTGGCAAAGTTGCGGAATGCGCGCTCCAGCACGGCCTTGGGATCGCTAATATCGAGAAATGCGGGCGACTGTGGCTGCAGCTTGACCATGCGAGCCAGCTCGAGTGACGTCGTCTTGATCTGAATCATGTCACCAACGTCCAGCTGCAGCGTCTGCATCATCCACTGCGGGATGTAGGCCCGGCCCTCTTCGGCCACAAACTCGAGCACGCCGCAGTGCGAGTGCTTGCCCTTTTCTGCGTTGACCATCTCCATCAACAGCGGCCACTGCACATGCAGCCGGGACACCTTATCGAGCGCCGACGGCGGCAGCAGGATCTTGGAGCCGTAGTTGAGCTCGGGACGGTCGTTGCCTGGTGCCATGGCCATTGGGTAGCAGCGGTAGTATTCGTCGAAGCGCATCGCAGCGGCACCGCGGCCGCCACGCCGGGGGTCGAAGCCATAGCCGGTGTTATACTAGACGGAGAAAGAAAGCAGAGTCAGACCGAATTCGCGAGTCCAAGAGAAGAATAGAGCACCTGGAGGTATGTTTGATGCACGCCTCACCATTTTATGTTGCTATTCTTCAAGAGTCGCTGTAAAAGGCGTCGGGTGTAGATCTCTTTTCGTGGGTCGAGAAGGTTGACTGCATGTACTGATAACGGTGCACAAAGAGAGAGGTGTCGGAAATCCGTTGGGTGGTGGAAAGTGAAGAGTCGTCGTTCACCATGTGGCAAGTTGTGTACGTCGGAGATATTGGTGCGTGCGTTGTTGCCTCTGTTGGCTGAGGCAGCTAACAATGACGATTTGCGGACCCACCCACTGGTCGGGGAAGTTGGGAGCTTCAGACAACAAGACGCCTGCCAAACGAGGGGCAAAGCTGTCGCTGGTCTGCCCAGTTACAGCGGGATAGGTGCTAAAACGGCGCCTGAACATCTCTGTAGAGTCATGTGACGCAGCCGATCTAGGCCTTATTAGGTCATTTTTGGTGTATGCTATACTGTCAAGGCTTCTGCAAAGCTCCACAGCCTTGCGAACACCACACCATTTTGCAATCATACTTTGGACAGCTCACATCTTTCGAATTGAGTTCGATATTTCATATACCCACATTCCTCAAGACATCCACACAATGTCATCCAGATATGCCGCTGCGCGGCCAAAACGCGCCGGCGAGTCCTTTGCGCGACAACATCACGGTGGCGGAGGTGGAGGAGGAGATGGAAATGGGAGCGACGATGAGGGTGCTAGTGGTCACGATCCAGGCAAGAAGGTTACTTTCGATATGCGCAACCCATCGGCGTTGGCCCCAGAAGCGCGTGAAGACGACGAGGTGCTGGAGGCAGATGTGATTGGCGTGAACGCAGGCGCAACAAAGCGCGGCGCGGTCAACATTGACGGTTACGACTCAGACTCGGACAATGAGACGTTCAACGCACGTGCGGCACAGCGGAAACGGCCAGCAAAGGCATCCGATGCCGGCGTGGGATTTAGCGTGTCAGGGAATCCAGACGTAGAGGTTAACTTGTTTGACGAGCTGGACAACTACGACAAGCGGCTCAAGGGCGAGCCAGTGGGAGATGAGAAGAACGGTGGCAAGGGCGGCGGTGACAATGCCGACGATGATGACGACGACATGTTTGGTGGCGGCGACGATGACGAAGATGAAAAGACCAGAACAAAAAAGGCGAGCAAAAACGGAGATGGCGATACCGATGAGACGGGCAAGAAAAAGTGGAAGGAAGTGCGGTTCTTGCGAAATATCGAGGGCCAGGAAGAAGACAGCAAAAGCGGCGGCCACGTTCGCCTTGACGAGGAGTCAAGCAGTGACGAGGAGGATGCCGAGCTCGCCATCCAGGAGGAGGGCGTGGACGAAGAAGTCGGTCCGGGCGGTCTCAAGAAGCACGCGCCTCGCATCGACGCCTTCAACATGCGCCAAGAACAAGAAGAAGGTGCCTTTGACGAGTCCGGCAACTACATCCGAAAAGCCGCCGACGCGGACGACCTGCACGACAGGTGGCTTGAAGGTGTGAGCAAGAAGGAGATGAAACGTGCCGCGGCTGCACACGAAAAGCGCGAGGCCGAACTGCGGCAGGTCCGCCGGGAAGAGGACGATATCATAACAGCGGATGTGTTTGGGGCGCTGATTACACGCCTGGAGCCTGGCGAAACGCCACTCGCAGCACTCGCGCGGCTGGGCAAGAACGCAAATCAGTCCAAGAAGCCAAAAAACAAGCGCATCCCAGCGTGGCGGCTCAAGCAGATGGAGAAGAAGAAGCAGGCCCAGAGCGGCGACGATGGCGACGATGCAGACCAGATGGACGTCGACAAGACGAATGCGTCTGGAGAACCCAAGGCGGCTGATGACCCAAAGCAGGCGCGGCTGAAGAAGGAGATTGACGTCATTACGGAAGCTGCCGACCGTCTACTAAACCGCGACTATGCCGAGATCTACGACATGGTCCGGGAGAAGCTCATCAAAGAATATCGCGTCGAGACTGGCGAAACGTGGGTTGACCCAGAAAAGCCGGTAGACAATGGCGTTCCAAAAGACGTTAACGCTGCCAAGCTATGGGAATATCGGTGGATTGATGGCCGAGACGGTGGAGTAAAGCAAGGGCCCTACGATGCACCGACCATGAAGGCATGGCAGGATGCTGGCTATTTCGAAGGCGTTGAGTTTCGACCAGCAGGGAGCGGCGGTGCTTGGCGCAAGGATGTCTCTTTTGCATGACCGGCAACACCTTGGGCTTAAATATGATAATATAAAATCCAACGCATGTGGGCGGAGTTTTGGTCAACGAGAGAATAGGTTTACAATAAAACCACAATTAATTTACGTCAAAGGTATGATGGTAAATATATGACAGGGAAATCGGTTTTACTAATACAATGTATTTTAATTATAATCTACCATCCCACTCCATGACGCCTTTTTTTCCGTCCCCCGAGGCAGCTATAAAAGTCGTAAACAGCAAAGAGCATAAAAGACAAAGGTAGCTAGTCTGTAAGCTTCTACAAGACCAAGTTGACTGTGTAAGGCAAAAAGAAACACAAAAAACAATAAAACAGATCGTTGTCACCTCTAGACGGTATACGTCCATTATCCACCTTAGCTCATGTCCATCTTCTCGCCGTGGCCGTTTGCCGTCAGCGAAAAGTCGACTACGCCGTCGTTGCCAATCAGCCGCTTCTCCGACTCGGACACAAACTTGACGCTGCGCACCGGGTCGTAGAACAGCTTGAAGCTCCGCTGCACGTCCTCAACCGACACTTGCTTCGCACGACGCTTCGCGCTCACTAGCTGCGACGTCGTGATCAGGTTGCTGGCATAGCGCAGGCCCGTCTCCTGGCCAATCTTGGTCAGCAGCGCCAGCGCGTCCGGCGTCAGCTCAACCTCCTCTTCCTGTGCCCGGATGCCCAGGATCTTGTTGATCTCCTCGGGTCCGTACGGCTGCGTCGAGATGATGGACACGCGGTCCAAAAAGTCCAGCGGCAGGCCGTGCGGGCTCTTGTAGTCTGTGCCCCGGATGCGCGACTGGCCGCGGTTGCTTGCCATAATGACAATGGGCGCCAGGTTCACCTCCAGCGCACGGTTGATGTACGAGAAGCACTCAATATCCAGCATATGCACCTCATCGATGAACAGCACGCCGGGCACAATCTCCGCCTTGCCCTCCTCCTTCCACTCGGCCACCTTTGTGTTGATCTGGTCACGGATCTCGCTGCGGATCTCGCCGGTGTCACCCGCGAACAGCGCCAAGAAACCCTGTGTCCGCGAGTTGATCACGTCAATTTCGTGCAGCGAAACGGTGTGGACGACCTCTTTACGCTTCTGCAGCTCACCCTCGGGGCACTGCACGAACTTGGTGTCGACACCCATGGCGTCGTAGTCCCGCGACCGCGCATACGAGCGGCCCAGCTTGGTGATCTTGCCTGACGACTTGTCGATGGAGATAATGTCGCCAGCCATCACACGCTCCTTGGTCATCGCGTCAATCATCTTGCTACCCATATCGTAGATGGCCTCCATGTCGGTGGTCTTGATTGTCAGCTTGCCCTGCTTGGCACTGCCCGTGACGCTGCGGTCGATCTGGATCTCGACCACCTCGCCCTCCATGATCTCGCTCTCCTCCTTAATGCGCACACCGATGGATTTGCGGAATGCCTGTGTAAGGGCTTCGGTCTTGCTCATCTCCAGCGAGAAGATTTCGGACGAAGCAAGGGACGTAAACGGCACGTCGGGGCCGAGGGACTGCGCCATTCCTGTTGCAATAGCTGTTTTTCCGGTGCTGTTGTCGAGAAAGAACATATCACGTCAGTCAACGCCAACATTTGCACAGCCTAGGTCAACCACCAACACATTGGTACACTTACCTAGGTGGTCCGGCAATGAGAACGGCGCGGCCGGCAATCTTGCCCTGCTTGATCATCTCCAGAATCACGGCAGCCGCCTTGCGAGCCTTCTCCTGGCCAACAAGGCCCTGAGACAACTGGCGCGGCTCGAGTGTATCAGCATCGACGCCAAGCCCACGGATGTGGGAATGGGCAGCAATGAGGTTCAGGCCCCGAATGTCCTTGCTGTCGGAGGAGGTGATCACGGTCTATACCAGAGAGGGAGAAGACACACGTTAGCCACGCTCGCCACGGCGAAGCATTGGTCAGGATTCGAAGAAACATACAGCAGCCATCTTTGCAGAAAAGAGAAACAGGTCAGTCCCGTGCGTCCACTCGTGTTGGTCGTCAATTGTCGTTAAGCGAGAGTGATGGCCGTACTATTGTGGTGATAAGTTGGCTGCGCGCGCTGTCAAATAGGTCTAAAATTTTTGGGAAAGAGGGCCGCAAGTGTAGAGGGTGGTACGAATTATTACAGGCGCGTTTCGGCGGCTGGTTGAGTGCTGAGCTCAAGGGATTGTAAGAATGTATCCAGTACAATTCCCAAAGCTAGTTTGGTTTACATTTGTGTGGATATGAGGTGTCCAAGGTACTTATCTCCTAATCTTATCAACTGCTGCCGTGACTGAAAGTCAGTGTGCCTCTTTGACAGTGTGGTAAGCCTAGCCTATTGCAGTTGGATTTGTTGCAAAACGGAGTACGCGCGACCCCAGGGAAGTGCTTCACCACTTGCGCCTTCCCAAAGTAATATTTCCAAGGCGCTCCTGCCTCATCCGATGGCATGAAGTCAACAAATGTCATGTCGTGTTTCCGTATTTGCAATATCTCAAAAAAAAAAAAACACGCCCATATGGCAGCGCCCAAATACAATCAGAGAACGAAACGAAATTCTACAGACGCAGCCCCTGCAGTTCAGCTGAAAAGCGGGAGCATACCACCAACACGAAAATAGTATCCCATCTCTGCAGCCAAAATCTCCTCGTCCCCTATTTTGTGCTTCCAGTAACCCTTAATCTCGACGACAGAACGAAACCTTCAGTCCAACATCCATCTACAGCATAATCAGATACCCTTATCGACCGTACCCACAACCCCTCGTGCTTCCTAATCGTTGGAATCCGCGCGTTCGCATAGACGTGTAACGCACGCGCTCCACACACGCCACTTCTGCACATACAGCAGTTTAGCCGTCCCAACAACGACGTCTTCTGAATAGCCGGCGTACCGTAGGGCAACGGTCGACGAATACAAGAGAGAAAGCACAGCCACTTCCCACGCCACAGACTGTCACAGTCTCGATGACAGCTTGTCATGGTGCACGATCATCGGTACCAATCCGCTGATACATGGCGGCGAGACTCGGACGATTACGATTTCCGTAGGAGCCAACCGTCTCGCTACTCGCGGGACAGCAACCGAGACAGAGAATACGACAGGAATCGAGACCGAGACCATGAAAGGGACCGCGGCAGAGAGAGAGATCGCCGATGGGGCCGGGATATTGACCGGGACCGGAGTCGGGATCGATCTTCTGGCGCTTCAAATAATACCATTTTAAGTCCGACTGGGCAAGAACGGGACCAGAGGCCAATGGAGACGGCAACAAAGGGCGCACTCGATGCCGCTCCACAGAAGAAGCCATTTGAGGGACGGCCAGGTTCGTATCTTGCGCGTCTGGACTTTGCATGCTCCGACTGGATGCAACTTTCTCTGCTCTCACACCCTCCAGTTGTACAGATGACTGACACTTTTTCTCGTGCAACAGTACCCAAAGGTCCAAAGGCCGAGCTGAGGCATGCCGTCCAATCTGCTTCGTCACACTCCGAACCCAGAACCCCGACAAGTCTCAACGACAAGATTCCTCTGGTCACAAACAGCCACCCCAAGCCAATCGAAACCAAGACTAAGGATTCTTTGGCCCACATGCTGTTGTCCATCCTCAGGAAGGCTAGAGATTTGGGGGAGCATGAGCATGCTAAGAAGTCTCTCGACGTACTGGACAAAAGGAGAGAAGAGCAAATGCGAGCACTTTCCAAAAACTCCGACTTTCCGTCCTTGCCTGAGCTCCACAGGCCAAAATCAGACGCTGAGATTAGACGGCGAGAGGTTGCCGAGCAGAATGTGGCCAAGAGCACGGGAGATCTTACCTCGGCAGTCAAAAACTTTATGCCACATTTCTTTGCGTGGAAGCAACCAGTTGCTACCTTGGAAGGAGATGTGAAAAGCCTTAACACAAGGCAGGAGGTCTTGGAGTCAAAACTTCAAGGCCGGTCTCTGGAAACCTTGGAGGAAGAGAATACGACGCTACGAGATCAAGTCAGAGTTTTGGCTGGACTCGTAGAATCTCTAACCACAAGAGTGGACAGTATGAGCTCGACGATAGACGCCGCAAGTGGTACAAGCACAGAACTTGTACCGCAGGTCGATAAACTTACCGCGGAGTCGCAAACTCACGCATCTATGATCGGAAGCATACAGGCAATTGTGGCCGACCACAGTGCAAACATTACAAAGATCGATTCTGTTGTTTTAAAGCCAATAAACGACTTCATGACAATAGAGAAGCCGCAGCTGATGGAGAAGCTGGAGAAGCAGGAAATCGCTCTTGGAAAATTGAGGACTGAAATGCTTGCAATTGAGTCTGGCTTAAAAACATCCCCGCCAGCAGACGGACAGTCGCAAGGACAGCATGATAAGGTGCATGGAACAGGTTCTAAAACTGCACCTGTTCCCGCCCCTACTGCCTCGAATGCTGGAACACCGCCCACTACAACACCGCTGGCGTTTCCTGGAGACGACTTTACGAGCTTGCGGATAGAAATCAGTAGGCTTAATGAGCGAATTGGTCCACTGGAGAAGATACCGGAGACGGTCGAAAATATACAATCGCGGCAGGCGAAGGCGGTTGCATTAAACAGCATCGAGAGAAACAAACTTCGCGACGAACTGCGGAAAGAAGTGCGTACGGGATGGGACAACTTGGCCGTGACATTTGGTGATCTCATCGACAAGGAGACCAAGGAACGATCTATGGATAGTGAACGTCTGAAGGAGCTCGAAAGGACTCTTCGGGATCTCAAAGAGCTGCCTGGCTCTACCACCGACAACGCCCGAATAGCGTCTACGACAGCCAACACCGATGTGGATATGGCAGAAACAACGCTGGAACCATTTCTCTCTCCGGTGCCAGAGCCCGTTAGCACAGTTGGCCCTGCTGAGCCTATTGAGCCTATGGAGCAACTTACGGCTATGCCGCCGGCCGTCACGCGAGTATCGAACACAGGACCGGCAACGAAATCGTCACAACCTGGTAGCAACCCCGATGTACGAGACCTCGAAAAAGAAATGCGGCTTCTTCAGCAGAGAATGCAGTATTCAGAGGATGATGTACGGGCGGTGCGGGTCGAGTTTGACGGGCAATGTGCCACTCTGAGGATGATGGTTTCGACACTGGACTCGCAATTCAACAACCTGACAACCAAGGACTTATTCCACGCTATCATCGGCCACTTGGAGAAAATGTACCCAAATGCACGGCAACTGCAGGAAGACGTGAAGAGAATTGGGCTCGATGTCAATTTAATAAAGCAAAACAACCGAATCACCGACGAGACTATCCAAAAACTGGAAGATATCATAGCTGCGCCGGTAGGCCAGAAGCGGCTTTTGGCAGGACGTGCGGACAACGGAGGTCATGTGGGTGAATCCTCGTCGATGATAAAGCGGCAAAAGACCAGCGGGACTACACCCAACGGCAATGCTTCCACGAACAGCCCGACGAACCGCCCTGTGAACGGTGCTGCCGTGGCCTCGGCGTCCGCCAGTTCGTAGCCTGCGAGGCTCAGACTATTATTGGCAGCCCCTTATTTTGGCAGCCAACCTACACTTAGTATTTTATGACCTCGGAGATTGCATCATTTTGTTACAAGGGCCATGTTGCCTTTTATTATCTATTAGGTGCGATAATATTTGGTCATTGGGACTTGACGGATAATACCTGGTATATCTGCAACTGTCAAAGCGTGGCTATGCAATGGCGACTTTTGTTGTAATGCAATAGTACTCGACGGAGAGTTAAAATACCCGACGAAGACAATCAGATCAAATTCGGAAACTACAATGGTGATAGCACAGACTGTGCCCGTTATGGTTGTTATCTTGATGTGTGTTGCCGCGGATTTGTAGTGTCTTAGATGTACCGCTTTCGGCCTCCACAAACGTTGAGCCTGCCCATTGTTGACTTCACCCTCGAACGCTTTGTTCTTTCCTCACTTTAAGCAACGCAATTGGTTGTTCCCTCAATAAATTGAGAGCTCCCCAAAACGGAAGGTATGGTGGCGTCCTCCTCAACTCTGCACTTTCGACGGATTGCTAGTGATTGGCCTGTCGTCGATATGCGCCATTGTTGGTGCTGCTTCTATTAGGCTTCATTCAGAACAAATAGAATATGGAGTAGAAATGCGTCGAAGAAAGCTGACCTCTGGCACTGAACATCTTCTTGCGCCATAATGCAGCGTCTCTGCTAGCGCTGTCTTACGATGTACTGTTCCTTCGCGCTTTCCCTGAACATTGCCTTCCTTCGGCAGCTAAGAACAAGCATGGATCAACGACAACGCAAAGTGCCGATCGTTTGCGCCTTCCGTTTCCCCAACCGCAGCTTCCTTCTGTGACGTTCTCCTGCTTTGCTCTTTCCTCGTTCTAAGATCCTGTTGTTTCAATTTCTTCTATCTTAACTTCTATCTTCTGTCCTCGTCACATTCTTCTTCTTCTCCTGTTAACTTTTAGCACTCATTTGCACATTGGGCCCATACTCGGTTCTGTCCCCGCACGGCAGTATCCTGCGCTCGGGGATTTACGACCGTTCAATCTTGGGCTTTCATTGGGCCTCTTGGCTCTGCTGTGTTTCCACGTTTTGCTCCTTCACGCGCACCAAAAACTTGCGACACAACCAACAATAGCAAGGGGACACGACCAGATAACCGCGGTCCACTTTTCACTAAACCGCCAACAACAAGCGGGACTTTGCCCAGCACGCCAGTAGTTTGTCCTCGCTAGTGGTCTTGCGTTTACCCACACCCCCTAACCCGCCAATCCAATTCTGGCCATCCCTCTCTCCATACCTCGCTCGCTCACCCGTCGCAAATCCACACTTCACTCGTCTCTCTCTCCGCCATATAACATACGAATACTACCACCACCACCAACACCACCGACACCACCGACACCACCGACACCACCACCACTCGTGTCGGCTGTCGTCCCACCTTGTCGCCAATTCCGCCACGCCCGACGGCACTCTCTCTTTCGACGACGTACCGCAGTAGAGGGCATGCTCGATCTTACTCACTCTCATCGCCGATAGCCGCGGCCCAGACACACGTCGCGCGCTCGGCGATTCGTTTCCCGCCGCTTTTCCCAACCTTGTCGCTCTTGTCCTCTTGTCATCTTGTGCTAGCAACTGTCCCAAGTTAGCTTTTGGTTTCCGAACGACAACGCCCTGTCAACGAGCGAACGGACGGCCCAGTCGCGTCGCGCCTACCAACCTAGCCTGTCACTTTTCCCGTCGCGAAGTGCCTCGACACTACCACCTCGAGTCCGTCCACGCCGGCACGTACCGAGTCGTCGTCCCGCGTGTCCGAAAGGCCGATCCCACGGCTACGATTGGACTTCCTGCCAGAAAACTGTTAGTAGAGACACGCCGGTGGAGAGAGCTTGTCACCGCCTTGCCTTTCGCGTTTGCTGTGCAGTGTTGTGACGTGGGCGGCGCATCAAATCTAGTCGACGTAACCCGATCGCCTTTTTCATCAGTCATACTAACGTTGTCTTCTAGCCAGTCTCCTGCGCGACATTTTGTCGATCACAGCAAGACCGATCTTTGCGAGCGTCCGGACTCGAAGCACTGCCGTTTTACCTGGTTCTTTGTGGTGCGCACCCAGCTAGCAATCTCGGCGGTCTCGTCAAGCGACTGGCCTTGACCAGTGTCCCATGCAGAGGCGCGTATGATAGCAACGACTACCACCCAAGCGGCGCCTCATGAACGATGATCGCCCACATTCTTTGATGTTCACGAATCTCAAATCAAACTCCCATCGCGCCTCGCGACCCACGCGGCGAATGTGTCTCTTGCCGACAGAGAGACTAACACACGGCAACGAGAGTTCATGATCAGAGCGGACCTCGGCACAGTGGACTCCAGCACATTGCTTTGGCCAGGAGGAGGGGGGCTTGCAAGAGAAGGACTCGCTGCGTTTGACGCATAATCACGAGGCTGAAATATGGATGTTGCAGCGCAGGAGATCAACAAGCTTGTTCAGCGCATCCTGCCCGATCGGCCATACCACCTCTCTGTCTCCGCCACCGGCCGCTACCCAGTGCCTCCAGGCCTGTGGCCCAATACCTCGCCACTGCAGTACACCACATTCGTGTCTGAAGCTGACCGTGGCATCCTGCTTACACGACCCTATTTTGACATTCAACTGGAAACCGAAGACGACCCGAACAACACCAAAAACAAACGCGGCAAAGCCACGTCGTCGACCAGCACAGCACTGCCCGGTGGTAGCCCTGCGGGGGCCGGCAACAAGGGCGAGACGAAGAAACCCGTAACAAAGATGTCCTTTAAAGATTATCAACAAAGCAAGAATCAGAAAAAACTACCTGGCTCACCAACAAGCACTCCCACCACAACAACCAAACCAGACACAAATCTGCGCAAAAGCGAAGGAGCTATGGCCTCCTATGTTGATCGGCAGCATCTGCCCCCGAAACCGGAATACAATGGCGACAGGTAAGTGAATTATGCAGTGGCATTATTGATAATGACCCAATGACCGCCAGTGAATGGCAAAGGCTAACATGCGCAGAAAACAACATTCACCTTCAAAATCTCCAAGGCGTGCTCGCAGCCCCAGCGCAGCTGACGGCAGAAAGCGCATAGCCGACTCTAACGACGCAGCGAACCGACCGCACAAACGCTCGAGGTCCGATACCTCCATGACCTCTAATTCACCACCGGCTGCCTCTTCTTCTAAGCCAAACCACCGTATTCACGACCCACCAAGTCCCCTCGATCTTAATAATCGACGAGACGATAGGTCAAAGCCCACCGCAAACCAGCAAACATCACAGGCTAAACAACGAGACAAGTACAGAGATAGAGACGGGGATCGAGACCGCGACAGAGACCGCGACAGAGACCGGGAGAGGGATCGGGAACGCAACAAAGATCGGGAGAAGGAAAGGGACAGGGACAGGGACCGGGATTACGATCGGTACCGTGACAAAACTCGAGACCGTGATCGCGACCGCGACCGCGACAAGGACCGGGATAGGGATCATGACCGTGAACGTGAAGGTCAGCGCGAACGGAATAGGGACCACGACCGGGATCGAGACCGTGGCCGAGAACGAGACAAGGAGAAGGAGAGAGGTCGCACCGACGCCGGCCGCCGTTCGTCACTCTCGCCACCTGTGCCCAAGACCAACGGGCATAAAGCCCACACAAATCGGAACCGCGACCGGTCGCGGTCTCCCGACGACGGAAGTGGGCCAGTATCGGCGCTGCCGCCTATCCTTTCCCCACTCCATTTTAACCCCGAACGCGGTTCTAGCTCTACGAAACAGCCCCGTTCCAGCGAGTCTAAAGGCCCTGGCATAGCAGACTCCAGCAAAAGAGATGAGTCGCCGTTACGCATACCACCTCTTCTTTCCCCCACACTGCCTGCCATAGTTGAGCAGGAACTGTCTCGTTTGAAGAATGTACCGAAGGACAGCGAGCCAAAATCAAAGTCGAGCCACGAGTCAGGCCATGCACCATCTGCAGGAAAGAAACCTTTCCGACCTGTCACGGATACAGACATGGGTGACGCCTTTCTCAAAGAGGCGTCGCACAAGGAAAGCCACCAGACAAAGGACGATTCGCACAAAGAGGCAAAGGAGTCCTCTTCACAGTCTTCGTCCTCTAAGCGGCCTCTTATCGTTGTCTTGAAATACAAGAAAAAGAACGTTAAGAGGGTGCTCCGCTTACTTGCCCTTCAACAGACACCGTTAAAGGCGCCACTGAAACAGACCGAGCGGTCTGTCAGTCTCGAAAACACACCATCGCCGGCTCAAATCACAAAGAAGCGGCCTGCGCCGTCTGACAATTCCACAAACGAGCCACTGCCACCCTTGTCAGCTACGTCGTCTTCCTTCAAACACCCAAAGACAGTCGCAGAAAAGAGTGTCTCTGCCTCGCGGACGCCTGTCGGACCCGCCACGCCCGTTAAATCCACGCCCATGGCTCGTGTGACATCCAATACCTCGCAGGTTCTCACCCCCGGTGACTCGAGCTACACGCCGCGTTCGAGCGAGCGGCCGCCGACGAGCCAGAGCGACCATACGAGCAACCTCACCGTTTCTGATTATCGCCGACGTTATGATACGTACGTCAAGCTGGGGACGAAGCTAAAGCACGACCGCGACGCCATTGTGAAGAGCAGGATGCCAAATGGGTCGACAAAGCCCGACGGCTCGTCTGCTCCAACGCTCAACTTGACGCTGGCCGAAAAGAAGCTCGTCGCTGTACTTAGTCTAGAAATGGTTATGTCGTACCTCATTGCCTTCAAGTCTCTCAACCAGGGACGGTATCTGGAGCGGAAGCCAGGCGACGTGACGGTGTGGGAGCGGCTCATGCCACACTTTGCCGAGTTGCGGAGCCATGCCCGTCATTTCCGCCCACTGGAAGCCATGACTGTACAGCTGCGCGCGATTTGCTTTGAGCAGATGATGGCGTCGTTTGTTGGCCACGACGCCGAGTCCGTTGCGTCCAAGCTGATGGTGGCCACCAAGCAACGAATCGACGCGTGGACTGATGTGGCCAACTGCGTGGATGCGGTTAACGACAGCGCCCTCAAAATAGTCGTGGGCCCGTGGCTGAGTGTCGAAGATACGGTCCGTACCATGCTGCCGACCGTTCGGCGCTGGAACGAGCGAGAAAATGCAGGCTGGGAACAGGAACTCCAGCCCCCGAAATAGGTTGCCCGGGAGCGCAAAGTTATTCCACGGCGCGCGACACGCCAGGCGACGCGCCAGGCCTTTGGCATTGATAAAACAAGGAGGAAGAGGCAAAACTTATACACTCGTGGAGTACCTACAGAAAGGGAGAGTGTGTGAAATGGGAAATAGGAAAGGAAGGCAAAGCAGGCGCATGAAATACCCCCATGTACTTCTATTTTAAAGGAACAGAGCGCGGTTTATTACTATGACTTCAGTTCATTTTACTGTCGATGAGATGTTGTCTGCTTTTCTGTCATGCTTGCTATTTTACTTTATGATTGTACCCTGGCCTTACTTGCTTTCACATGGCTTTTTTGCCAGTGAATTTCTCTAGGGATGGCATTTCCCTTTCTTTTAACTTGCATGTTTTATGTCGTTAGGGAGGAAATACCTTGCATGCAAAGGAAAACAACGAGGAAGACGGAAAGGTGTTTATAGGGTATGAACCGGTTAGTACCGGGCTAGTTAAGAAAGACAATATTAACTCGCTATGCATACTTCGGAAGAGAACAGCTTGAAAGATGGAAAAGGAGGTCCCTTTCATCCTAACGGGTGAGCCATAATGTAGATGGCGTCTCCAAATGGTTTCAATTTTTCATGATATATAAGTCCCCGGGTTTGCGTGTGAAACAAGCTTGTGGTGGGATATTTCTTAATCTTGCAAGGTGGAAAGTACCAAACAATCCTATCAGTGGCAATGAATGGCCTGCCTTCTGTCGACACGGAAAAATCGACCAAAAACCAGAAAATCAAAAAAATCTCTGAGAAGCGTTGACATGAGGCGGGGGCATTGTTGGGAATCTTTGGAACAACTCAAAAAAAGTGCCCAAAACGACCAGAGCTACCTCCAAGACATAAAATAGCAAGAAAATACCAATAAAAAGAGTATGTGGACGAAAAAGCACCCAATAGCCAATGACACTTTGCAAACCTGGCAACAGGTAAAAGATTACGGACGTGAAGAGACCTCTGTAGCCATCGGCCTAGCCCCAGACTGCTCAAGCGGCCGCACAAGGTGCGAAGGGTCAGCGAGATGGGCACAGTCGTTGCAGTACCACTCCCCACGCTTTGCCACATCCACAATGGCCGTTTGGCCTAGACACGCCGTGTGGTATTGCCGGCGGGAACACTGCTAGGAGTGTTCGTTAATATTTTAGACGTATGCTGGTTAGAGTGACAGGGGTATTAAAATGATAAACAAACATACCTTGTTCGAGCATATCACCGAATCAGCCACAGCGCAGCGGAAACCGCAGAGGGGACAGCCACCTGTACCCCGGCGTGGTGCATACACTTTCGGCACAGACGTGCTTTGAGCCGCGGTGAGGGCTTGGTCGTCACCAGCTGCTATGGACTTCTTGAGGGACCAGGCTTCATCAATGGCTTGTGTAATGTTGTCGACATCGCTATCGGTCAAGATGTCATGGGCCATCATGACGGCCATGAGCTTACCAAACTCCATGGCACGGTCCAAGTCCGAGACGAGCCAAAGGCCCTTCTCCTGGATGAACTGCACCATGGCGCGTGGGATGTAGGCGTCTGAGGCAATGCGTTTCAAGATAATAAAGCGGTCCCATTCCTGGATAAAGTCCTTCTCTGCCGGGGTCAGGTCCGTGTAGTCCTGGACAATCTCACGGTGCTTGTGGATGCGCCAGCTATCGTCGACGATGTTCGTCCTCAGCGTTGTCCCAGGTTTGAGAAGGGCCTTGCTGAGAGGATCGTATAACGGCTGCCGTGTGGAAGGTACAAGAATTTTCTTCTTTAGGTTTGGCGGCGCCGGAGTTGGCGTAGGCACACGCTGTGATGCAGCAGGTTTGATTTTTGGCTTTTTGAAAACGGTATGTTAGTATAATTTTGAACAATGCTCACAAACAAAATAAAATAGGTAAGGAAAATCTACCCGTGGCGCTTGTGCGTTCTTCACGACTTGGTCGTCGTTGAGTGGTCCGCACCTTGCGGTGACCCAGGACTCATCACCCTGCAGGAACTTTTCTATATCTAGAGCTCCAGTCGGCCTGCCGAGTTGGTAAACAATATCTTGCAGGCGAACATTGCTCGAATCGAGGTCATGCACAATTTTGAAGAAGTGGTCGCCACTACGAGCACTGGGTCGGTGCTCATATTGAAATATGTACTTGGAATGGGAGCGGAAGTGAAGACGCAGATGGTCCAAATCCAAGTTCATCGCCATACACATGCAACATTGAAAGCCGTCCACAGACGCGTAATCCTGCTGATAGTAATATGTCACTTTGACATGGCAACTCGACCCGTTGCTGTTACCATTGGTGTGGCCATTGACGTTGGCGAACAGGCCGCTGCCACGTTTTCGCGGACCCCGGTCGCCAATCTTGTGCGCTTTGTTTGTAATGTTCCGGACGTTGTATTCGGGCTGGTCTCGCCTTGCACGAAGTGAGCGGCTCGGCGTAGACGGCCACTCCAAATCGTCATTGTTGTCGTCAGCGGCTTCGGCTGAAATGACCGTTGTTGGGCCAGCCGTAACGGTCGCACCCGAGGAATTGGCGTTGATCTGAACATTGAGCTCTCTGTTCAACTGGAGGTTGATCTGAGTCTGAAGCTGCCCTGAAAAGTCGGTCGTCGCAGCGATGCCGTTCGTCACATTTGGCGTCCCATTTATCGCTCCATTTGTTGTACCGTTCGCCGTACCATTTACCGCATCGCTCACCAGCACGTTGGCGGTGCCATTCATGTGGCCATTTGCGCGTGCGTTTGCAGTTTCGTCTGATGCAGCGCTTGCGATCTTCTTGCCTAGTGTTGAAGTTGCGAATTGGGCACGGTAGGACTGCCGCCGGGGCCAAAGGTCGCACAGATCGAGCGTAGGCGGCGGCAGCGGTTCATCTGGGTGCAAAGCAACAATCGTCGGAAGAACACCCAAGTTAAGATGCCTACGCGGCCGCTCGAGAAAACCTGTCGTCCACCGGACGTCCATGTCCATGACAAATTCAGTGCGAACAGGATCGTGCTGCACACTTTCGCGGAGCCATAGCGGAATGCGCATGCGCGGGCGGCCAAAGAAATCGCTGGACTCGGCATACAGCACGCAGTCACAGGCCTTCTTGGGGCGATAGTCGCTGCCGCGGAGGCTCGCGTCTGCCAACGATAAAAGGTCGAGCGGCGGCCATGGCTCATTGCTTGCAGTGGATTCAATCTCAACACGCAGCATGTACTTGTCGGCCAACCCCAACTTGTCGCCATGGTGATGCAGGACAGCAATGTTTTCAAGCGGCACGGTGAAAGGTTCAAGCACCAGCTTCGCCAGCCCGTACGGGCCGCTGGACGCACGAAAAGCGTGAACTGCACCAATCTGGGCGGTGCAGTACATGAGTTGGGTGCGGCCATACTTCTCGCTCAAGATAGTGACCTTGAATCGAACATTGTGGCGCGTGACCTCGGAGGTCTCCTTGGCAGAGAAGCCGTTGGCGAAGCGCAGGCGTGGGGTGTCCTGGTGGAAGATGTTGAATGCATGGATCCGGAGGCCATTGGAGCGGTCGCTAGGGCATTGGGGCAGCTTGACGAGGTCTTCAATGGAGCTCGGCGCACCCTGCAGCGGCGGGGCAACACGTCGTCGTTTTAGTGGGTGCATGTAGGATTCCTCGTCGACGCCGTTTGCTGTTGGAACCGCAGATATGGGCGCGGAGCCCGTTGGCGGCGACTGGCGCTTCCGCTTAGAGGTCCACTCTTGGCACGCTGTGACACCGGCAGTCCAATTGCGGTGCAGGAACGGCAGGCGCCGGCGACCTGGTTCCTGCGGCATGGCTGGAGTTGATGCAAAGGGTGTTATGAAGTCTATAGGGAGTGGAGGAGGAGGAAAGGGTGTGGCAGACGAATATTGAGCGATGTGGGAAGAGGATAATGGGTGGCGAGTGGTGCGCATCTGGAAGAGCCAGTTTGCGGTATGAAGACACGGCATGGGACGCCGGTGGCCATGGACCGCGCGTCAAACGAGGACGGGACGAGAAAAGTGTGAAAAGTGCGAAAAGCGCAAGAAACGATGCGATGACGCGTGAGCAAGAGACGTGAAAACAACTGCTACGCGAATGAGATTCAGTGACAATGTTGGCGATGTTGATGAAAACAAGGTGTGGCGAGTGACAAGGAGCAGCCGTTGACGAAAGTTGGTGACTGGCGAATGGCGAATGGCGAGCGTGAGGTGAGCCTGGCCCTTTCGCAAACGCAGATTGTTTGCAAGGCTGGCCCCCAACTCAAGAAGTCAAAACGACACCACGCAATCGCTGTCACTGGCCCTCGTCACAGTACTTGCTGGCGGCGGAATGAGCATCGCCTTGGCCGGGCGTCGGCTCGGCTGTCTTGGGGTGTCTTGTCCCCTCCACTGCGGTAGCCGGTGATGCCGTTGATAGCGATGTTGTTGTTGTTGTGATTATAAACCACAGGGGGGGACACAGAGAAACAAAGCGAACGCGACACGCCGGTTCTGCAAGATAGCGGCGGTAAGAGCAGGGCCCAATAACGGACGGAATGCGCGCGCAAAAAGGGGTGCTCAAGAGGCTGCGGAGTGGACGTGACGACAATGTATTGTTCGGTATCGCGAAAAAGAGGTTGTTTGGTCGTTCAAAAAGTTTTGACTTGTGGCAAGCAAAATCGCAAAATAGTAGAGTCAATTAGGTTGATCGTGCCTGCCGGGCCGGGTTGGTTTGGCTTGGTGTTGCTTGCCTGTGGAAGTTCTTTCTTCGCCGGGGTAGTATTGTGCTGCGGGAAGTCGCGGTCACGCTTTTCCAATACGCTCCTTCCCCATAGTACAAAACAAAATTTGTACACAATACCAAAACGAACGAATGCGTTATTCGCAGAGTAAACGAAAGAAAGAGGCAAGGCGTTATCCCTGGCATGTAATAAGTCGTACACTAGGGACCGTTAGCGCTTGAAACCCGCACTGTCTTGCGCTTTCCTCTGGTGAGTGGACAGGTGCTGTTCAATTAGGGGCTCCTCGGTCAGGCCAGTCCCACTTTTTCCCGTCCTCAATAGTGACAACAATGGGGCATAAGTGAATCTTTTGCTATCTTCCAATATAAAATGAGCAGAGTCCAGCGAATGAAGTAACAAACGTGACGGGCTAGCATACGAAACACAACACCTAATCTGACTGAGCCAAGAACGGCCTGAGACGGACGCAACTGTTGTCTACTGACGGGTAGCAGCTGGCAACTCGTGATACGTTCACAAAAGTCACGTGCACTGAGAGCCACTATCCTGGGACTATCATCTGCCGTGGACAACATGAGAACATCTCGGTATGCCACATCGCGGCAGAAAGCTTGCCGAGCATGTGTGCAGGCAAAGGCGAAGTGCGACAGGCAAGCAATGAATTGTAGCCGTTGCCTCACCCGGCGTCTATCATGTGTCTATCCACAACCATCTGCGAAGACGACATCAACGACGAACGCTTGCTCCGATCCCCGGGTAGGTGATCCGGCGACACCATTTTCCATTACCATTCCAGTGGGCGGCTCGACCGATTACGCTGAAGAGGGCCTCGCTGGTGGTGTGTCGGGGGTGTTAGCCGGCGAATTGATTTGTCCCATAAATGCAGACGATATTAGCATACGCTGGATGAAAGCCTATGTGCCAACACCCGGTCAGAAAGTTAAGGCGTATCAGCCGTCAACAATTTCATTTCTCTACCGCTCGCTGAAGGCATATTCGGGGATGGCCTTTCATGGTAGCGGTATCCCGCCGTTTATCCACCCGGCACAGCTGAGCTCGAGCAACAATCTTATGACGCCAGCAGCGGCAAATGACGTTCGCATATCTTCAGCAGCGCTCACGACGTGCCTAGATCTGGTGCACACCTGTGACATGACGGTTGCAGGCCCAACTGAGGCTGCTGCGGGCATGATAAAGCGCGAGATGGACCGGATCTACGCGGACGCGCAGCAGCAGAACCTGGCCCGCACCGTTATCGACCACTGGGCGTCACTCGCCGCTTTCCAGGCATACCTGCTCTATGCCCTTGTGCTATTTTTTCAGCTCGATCACCAGGGCGACCCGTTTCTGAGCCAAGCAATTATGGCCCTGCAGGACATTGCATGCACCAGTTCCCAGCACGGACTCGTGTGCAAGGCCGAGCACGACGTTGCATGTCCACGCTGGGCCGCTTGGGTTGTCGCCGAGGCCAAGCGGCGGACACTCTACGTTGTATATTTGTTTGACAGCGTGCTCTCGGCGCACGACGGGCTGCCCACGTACCTTGGTACAGAATTGCGCGGTCTGCCGGCACCTAGTAGCAAGGCACTGTGGCAGGTGTCGACTGCGGCAGACTGGAACCGAGCTTATCGGCACCATCTCGACACATGGACGGACACAGGGGATACTAACATGAACTACGCTGGTTTGCGTATTGACGAGCTGTGGCCGTATACAGATCCTCAAGACGCGCCTGGGCTTGCACGTCGGCAACGACGAGTTGACCAATGGCTGGAAAGCGTTGATGAATATGGTACTATGATGTATGCAGTCACAAGCAGCACGCATGGGGGATGACTTTGAGCGACTTGAGAGTGATTTTGAATTCACAAGAGTCTCGTCTGGTAATTAAGTTGTCTTTGTTGACTTCCGGCAAAGACAAACACAATGTCTACTTATTGAAGTTTTACTCGTCAGCATCATACCAATGAGGTTCGCGGGAGAATAACTCAAAAATAGAATGTAAGGAGAGACACGACAACTCAAAAACCATAATACATTTGAATTACCAAAGACTAATTGCTTGTTGGTTTTAGGACAACAAACGTCAGCCGACTGCCCGAACCTATATCTCACATACTGGCTCTGCCTTGCTTCGCGTCAAATGGGCCTTTCGTTACAACGAGCTAACACGCACGGGGACCCCTGGCCCAGCGCCCCCAAAATCTCAGCTCCAGGGTTTTTCTCAACTCCGGCGCTCAACTCCGGCGCTCAACTCCGAGGCTAGTCATGATGGCTTACATCAATGTTTTGCCACACTATCACCGACACATATATAAGTGACTGAACACTCCGAATCCAGATCTGTGACAGAGCTTTCTAGAGCCTTGCAAACCGCTTTGGATGCGTAATTATTGTCATGGCCGGCCCTGTACGCCATGAATCGTCACCGACTGCCGCTTCGGCTCCAGATGCTGCGGCTTCGTCACCGACCGAAAGCAAACGCAGCGAAGAGCCATACAGCATCTTTGACCACCGCCAACGGACACTGATTGTGTTCCTCGTCTCTATCGCCGCAACTTGTAAGTGGCCGGCAAGTTTCTGGCTGCCCTCCATCTGCTGCGTATACTAACGTACTCCCCAGTCTCTGGCTTTGCGTCCAACATCTACTTCCCGGCGCTGCCCACCATCGCGGCCGACTTCAAAGTCTCGTCTGAGCTCATCAACTTGACCGTGACGACTTATCTCATCCTACAGGGATTGGCACCCAGTCTCTGGGGTCCCATCTCCGATGCTCGCGGACGCCGTGTCGCCTACATCGGCACCTTTTGCATCTTTCTAGCCGCCTGCATCGGCCTCGCCCTCAGCCGCACCTACGCGGCCCTCATTGTCCTGCGCGGCTTGCAGAGCGCCGGAAGCGCGAGCACAATTGCCGTGGGCTCGGGTGTGGTCGGCGATGTCAGTACGCGCGCCAACCGAGGCGGCCTGATGGCCGTGTTTCAGGCTGGAATGCTTGTGCCGGTTGCCATTGGACCCATTATCGGCGGCGTTTTGGCCGGGTCGTCGTTGGGGTGGCGGTCTATTTTTTGGTTTCTCGCCATCTACAGCGGTGTGTTTCTTCTATTCCTGATAGTTCTGCTCCCCGAGACGCTGCGAGCCCTCGTCGGAAACGGTGGACGCAACCCGCAAACACTCGGCCCCTTTGCGCGGTATCCGCTTCGGCTCTACCAAAAGTACACAAAGGTGCCGTTCACGCCCGCAGCGGCCCTGGCATCCGACGGCAGCAGCAGCAACCGCAAAAAGGTTGACGTCTTGGCCTCGCTGCGCATCCTCTTCAGCAAGCAGGCGGGCCCCGTCGTCCTCTTTTTGGCGACGTACTATGCTGGCTGGCAAATGTGCATCACGGCAATGTCCACACTCTTTGCTTCGGAGTACGATCTCTCCGAAACACAAATTGGTCTAACGTTTATTTCCAACGGTATTGGCTCGATCGTCGGCACTCTTATTGCCGGGAAGCTGTTGGACATGGACTACCGGCGCGTCAAGAACACAGCCGTCGCTGCGGAAGACGGGCCGGAGGGAGGAACCGTCGACTCTCATGTTTCCCTGGAAAAGGCCCGACTGCGCTTGCTGCCCATATTTGCCACCATCCAGTGCGGCTCCCTGCTCATGTTCGGCTGGACCATTGACCGCCACGTCCATATTGCCGCGCCCATAGTATCAACTTTTATTACCGGCTGGACCGCCATCACCACGCAGACGGCCGTCTCCACGTATCTTGTCGACGTCTTTCACGCCGGGCACCGCGCAGCAGCAGCCGGGGCCAGCATCAATCTTGCCCGCTGCCTGCTTGCGGCCGGCGGTACGACTTTTATCATGCCGCTGATCAACCGCATTGGCACGGGCTTGGCGTTTACTGTGTGTGCCAGCCTGCAGTTCGTGGCACTGGCTGGACTTGCTGTGCAGTGGCAGTATGGCGCTGCCTGGCGGGAGGAAGCAATACAGAAGCAAAAGAAGGACGAAGACGGCCAGGATCGTCAAAAGGCCCCCGCAAGGACAATCTAGTCGGGGAAGGTGAAAGGCAAAAGGGAAATCGATTTCATCACACAGCATCACATAATCCAGCAGCAATGCATTTTTGGAGCGTGCATAGCTTTATTATGGCGTTATCATTTTAGTTACTAGCAGACACCAAACAGATACACATAGACACCTGTATGTTATTTACCGTTCATAATGAACACATTAAATGGAAGCCCCTTCTAACGCATCAAAATGTGCATCTAATCTATACATGCGCAATCACCACGCGTAGTCGTTGGCCTCGGGTCCGTCTCCCGTCCACTCGTCGTCTGAATTAGAATCGTCACTGTCCAGAAAGTCCACCATGCGGTATTGAATCTCGCCGGGCTTCTGGTTGTCGATGCGGATATCGACCACATCGCACATGCCATGTACAAAGGGTCGGGTGCGCTTGAGACCGGAAGATGATCCCTCACCACCGCTGATGTCCATCTTGTCGGTTTCGTGGTCACTATTCTCACGACTAGCTTGCTCGACACCTTTACCTTTCTCATCCCAGGTATGCTTGCCAACACTTTCATCCTTGTCTTCATCGTCTTCATCGCTTGACGGAATGTCCTCGTCCGTGTCCGGCTCGCGGTATGACATTCTGCCGGTTGGTGCCATGTGGCGCAGGCCCCGTGTTGTGCTACTGGCACGCGACGACGGGTTGGACACATGAGTGGCAATCCGGTGGCTGCGCCGCGACGGCTCCGCATCGCTATGCCGTGCCTTCGCCTTGGACCGTGGCGATACATGCTTCTGCGGCTTGGTATAATACGCCAGTGAGCTGGCCGGCTCTGGCGCAGTCGTACGTCGCTTGAACACACGATCCAGTGTCGCCTCCCACCGGTCTCGCATCTCACATCGCTGTCTCCAGGGGATATCCAACATGGCCTTGATGGCAAGGACACGCAGCTGTGGTACGTGTGGTGCACTATCAACGAGCGACTGGAAGAAGACCTCGGCCGCAGCAGGTTCCCATTTCCGCAAATGCTCAAGTTCAATCACTTCAATGCTAGCCGGCCAGGCCGGTACTTCGTCAGCCGTCAGCAGGGTGTCATACATCGGATTCGAGTCGTTGTAAAATGCATGGTGACTGTAGTACGTCAGGTTCATACGCAGCGCCTGCAGCTGCGGGCATGCAGTGCCCAGAACCGACAAAAAAGACAGGCTGAGCGACTGGTTGTAGTGCAGCGTCAGCTGTCGTAGCTCCTGGCCGTGTGTCACCAGGTACTCGGCAAATTGATCCGCCGTCACGTCCCAGCAGTTGACGAGCTCGAGATGCTGCAGAGTCTTGGGAAGCAGCGGGAGGATTAAGTCGTTCGCTGCCGTCGATGACTCCACAGCAAGGTGGGTCAGGTTGGGCAGCGCATTGAGCAATCCCGCAAAGTCCACTGCCTGTTGCCGATCTGCCTCAATGACTTCCGGGTCCTCGGCATTCCTCGCATTCAGGGACGGCCGTTGGTAGTTGACGAGGCTAATCTTGCACAACCCCGCAAAAGTTGGCGACAAGTGCAGTGTCCGCACACGGTCCAAATCGAGGTCACGACCCATAAGGCGCTGGTTCCACCGCCAGCTCTTCAACCTAATAGCGGTGGGAACGGCAGCCTGGGCAAGAGGGGCCATACTCGCACTGCTGCCTTCTTCCTGTGGGTCGCCATGTCCGCTGCTATCCACAGTGGTATTGGTCATAGCAGGCTGAACTGCGCCGAGTGCCTCAAAAAGACCATCAGGGTAGGTCCAACGCAGGTTCTCTGTTTGCTCTCTATACGGAGGCATGTCTTTGTAGTGGTATAGGTCGAGGTCGACCAGGCGAGGGCAGTAGGAAACCAGGCGCGGAATGTCCAGATGGCGACCCTTGTAAACGCGGCTCGCCAACGACCCAACATCGATTTTGAGCGCCTTCACTTTTTGACGGTAGTCAAAAAGCGTCGTAGACGGGTCTTTGGCCAAATGGTCGACCAAGTTGTGCGCCATATTCATCGTGAGCATTGGTGGGCTTTCGTACAGGGCTCGCAGAGCGGGCTCTGTGAACCCTCGGCATGTACGACTAGCAGCCAAAAGCCATCGCACCGACGTAATGTTGTCGAGCGGCGCAGCGCCATAGGAAAATATGCTCGATAAAACCAAGTATGGCAGCGTGGACCATGGTGGCCTGTTGGTGCGTGGCGGCGATAAAGCCCGCATGGTTGGTGTGCGAACACCGTCACCTTTTCCACCCGCGCTCTTCTTATCATCGATATGAATCACGACCTGCTTTCCTGACTTCGTTGGTGTCGACTTTCCGCCGCGATTTTTCCTGTTGGCATCATGTGCATCTCGTCTACTTCGTCGTGGGGAGGGCGTAGACGCCGTAGGTGCTGCAGAATGTGCAGGAGCGGACGAAGATGAAGCTACCGTGCGCGGCTTCTGTCGTCTCCGCGGTGCCCCATCGGAAGACGGCGAGAGGTAGGCATCGTCTCCAACGAGAAATTCAGCTGTTGCCCTGCGCTGTGGTTGGCGTCGGCGTTTCGAGGGGCTGTTGTCGGGGGTGGACACATCGTCTAAGCGTTGACGTTTCGACGGCAGCCGGGCCGTAAAATTCCTGTCGCCAGGTTCGCCCTCGCCATCGTCACTGTCACTGTCTGCCAAGGACTCGTCAGAGTCATCGGAATCTTGTTCGCGCTCGTGTTCATGCTCGTCCTCCTCGTAGTACTCCTCCTCTTCCTCGCTCTCGCTGACTTCCGCATAAGTTCGTAGGGATGCATGTCGTGTTGCACGGTCGTTTGATGAACGCAACGGTAACCTAGAAGACGACCCCCCCGCCTCAGTCGCTGTGTTTGCGGACGAGCGTTGCCGTAGTCGGGAAGACATTGCGATCGGAGAGAGCACAAGGTCCTTCCTGGCGCAAAGCGCGCGGAGATGGCCTCGTTTTAAGTCGGTTGTCAACCGCATAGGACGGTGCTGTGGTTGTGTTGATTGGTTCTTCTCCGGGATGCTCCACAGTTGCTGCCTGGAGAACGGAACGGAAGGGAAGTCGTCGAAAGTACAAAAAAGGAAGTCTCAATCCGAGTGCAAAAAATCAAAGGGAGCAAGAGGCAAAATACTGGATAAGGCAATCCAAACTGGTGATTGCGGGGCTCAAATCACCCAGCATTACTCGCCGCCGCTTATGCAAGGCACGCACTAGTCTCGTCTGTGCTGCGACTCGAATAGCTGCACGTGATTTTTCCGCGCCAATCTGCCCCAGGCCAGAAACCCGGGCCAACCCGACACGTTGGCACCCGTCACCTCTTGGCTTTTATTGTGGACTCTAACGAGGCTGATGAAGTGCATTGGCAACCAGGCTCCAAAGGACAAAGAGGGGACAGGTTGTGGGAAGGGTGAAGTTTCATGAGCACAATTGAAGTCAGCGTTACTGTCACAAACGTCAAGAAAGTGCACGAAATTGAAGCGCTATATATTCTATATGTCCTTTTGCTGCCCAGTCATCTGCCGTATGCAGTATAATCATGTTCGTCTTGAAAAGAAGAGAAAAAGAAGAATGTGAAAGGATAAGGGTACAAGAACAAGACGTTCTACATATGAAAAAGAATGGGAAAGAAGCGAAAAACGCCTTAAAAAATCAAAGATCCCAGCCTCTCCAAAACTCCTCTATGGGGGAAAATACAGTATTGAAGGTGTTCGAACATGATGGAGTCTCACTAGCAATACCAAAATACAAACCGTCCGAATGAGTGGAACTGTGTGCACACATCCACATTCCAATTGTTCCGTGAATTTTGGCATCCAGCAAGTTCAGTCACCTAGGGACGCCGTTCACGTTCAAAGGTGTCTCATAAGTACACCGTAAAGAGACTGGTAGTAATATTAACTTGGAAACAATGGTGAAAAGCATATCATGTAGCAGTAGGCACCTGGTCGCCAACACGCCAGGTATCTTCTTGCCGCGTGCGAGGGGGCATCCAGGAAGCAGTGCCAGCACTGCTGCCGCGGAGAGTCTCACGGCCGAAATCATCAGACTTCTTGTAGTCCTCGCCCGCCGACATGGAGTAACCAGCCGTGTACGGATGAGGGCCCGCTGCGAGACTTGAGGAGCCATTTTCGAATAAGCCTCCAGTATTCTGCAAGCCAAGGCCGATGCCATTTGCCGACGGCCCCGAGTTAAGTGGCAGAAGAGGCTCGCCATCCTTGGCGCCCGTCATAGTGCGTGCACGTCGGTCGGCCTTGTTCTGATTTGTGCGGTCGTACAAGTACAGGCCAAGGAAGGTGAGGCCAATGCCAACGGCCTGCACCCAGGTGGTCGGACTGCGGAACCAGACAATGGCCACGCTGATGACGAACACGCGCTTGATAAGACTTGCCACCGAGTAGGTGACGGGAGACACCCGCGACAGCAACACAAAGGCCAGCATGTTCTGTGCAAAGTGGAAGAAGCCGTTGAAAACAAACTCAAGAAACAGCCGGCCGTGGTCAAACGAATCCGGGCCTTCGGTCAGATCTAGCGAGCCGTCGTATAGGAAGTCTCCGAGCAGGCCAATGCCCTCGGTCCAGAACCAAATGGGGCCCGTAATGACAAACGCCATGCCGGACGAGTAGCACAATAAGTTCAGCTTGTCCAGCTTGCGCGCCTGCACGCTCAAGCCTTCGGCTTCAGCACGCGACGCCTCGTTGAAGAGCTTCTTGGAGACAATGTTCTGGGTCACAAAAATGCCGGTGGCCACCAACGCGTATAAAATGCCCAGCAGCTGGCCACCGCTGAAGGAGTGGCCGCCAGAGCAGGCCAGCGCCACGCCAAGCGTCAAGGGGACGAGAGAAAGGTAAGTTGCAGTCGGGTACCGGATGTCAAGGAAGATGCGGTAGGCGAAGACGGTAAAAAGCGGTGAAAGGCCCTTAATTGTGTGCAAAAGCGAAACGGATATCTTTGTTGTTGCGGTTGAGCTCAGGAGGTGGCCAGCAATCTGGAAACCGGCCAGCGGCAGTGTCGTGCGGATAATCTCGGCATCCGGGTACCGAATGCCGTGCTTAAGTACGGGCATGGCGCGTTTCAGCGATGGAAATACACGTGCCAGCCATGATAACAGGATGCAGAGAAAGGAAACGAAGGCGAACTGGACGATCGTGAGGGTAGCGGGCTTCTCGAAAGCGTTCAAAATCGACTTTGATGAGGTGTTTGTCAGAGCAGAGGATCCGTACCAAAGGATACAGAGGAACTAGAAGCAGCCAAACATCGTCAGTTTCTCGCTCGCCATTGAGTTGGGATTGCTGATATAAAAAGGAAATAAAAATAGAAGACCACATACGATTAGCATAGGCGAAACAGGCGCTTTCAGCGCATCGGCAATCTCGTGCACGTTCTGACTGGTACTACCAGATCGCGTACGTATTGTGCGTAAGGCTTCACCAAGACTCTTCTGTCGCGAATGGCCATGGCCATGGCCGCCGCCGTAGCCGTTGGTCACGGGCGGCATGTTCCAGCGCACGCTGCTGTCTTTGCGGGCCCGCCATTGGTCCACTGGTGGCAAGGACGGCTGTGCTGTAGACGTTCCATTCGCTTTGTTCGACGAAGCGCCATAGCTGTGGTCGAGTCCGGTCGTGTCGTGAACATCGAGTTCGGGGAACTTTTCGAGGCCCTCATCTTGAGAGCCCATCGCGACGTCAAGCGTGCGTCGTGGCGCTGGCGCGTTATTTGGTGACGGCTTGCGGAGGACAGTCGTAGCTGTTGTTGTCGCATGAGGCATAGTATAGGGGAAAAGGAAGAAAGAGGGTTAAGGATGAGCCAAGAACAGAAGGATGGAGCAAGAAGCAAGCTGGATGGCGGAATCGGGCGATGCTTCAGATCGAGAGAACAGGGTTCAGTGGCACCCACAGCCAGCGCATTTCAGTAACAGTGCACTGTGGATGGACGGACAATTCGGCAAAGAAAAGCGGTCGAGGTAGTAACAGGCAACAGACGAGGTCGGAAAATTAGCTGAGATTTCACCGTCGACGACACGGCTCGCTGGGTGAAAGGGGCGGTTGCAGACATGAAAATGTGTCGCAATTCAGCGGGATACTAGAACGTACAAGCGTGTGCAACCTCGTGCAGGACTGGCGTCAATACGAAATTGAGAGCGGGTCTTCGTATCGGCCAGTGGTACGACGTTAGCTGGCGAGTACTACGACTACTCGTCGCAGTGGTGTTCTTTGTGTTTGCACAAATGAAGAAGGATGTTTATCAACGGCGCTAGCACGAATTTGGAAGATCATAATCTGGACACCAGCCACATTTTTGCGCCACATACGAATGCTCTCCAGGCGAGCTATCACCAAAATTTCGCCATGGCGCGCTGCAAAGCAATTATCAAGACGTCAAAATGCCTACAAACTGCAACTATCTTTTGTAACCACCACACGGCCAAAGTCATAAACTGGAATCACCAGACGCATTTGTTGGACGACTCCCTATTCATATCCTCCGAGAGTGCCTATTTACATTATCTCCGCTGCATAGACTGCGGTCTGGGAGGCAATCATGGCGGCCCCCAAGATGACCAAGAACCAGATGCGGCGAGCGAAGAAGAAGGAGGAGAAGAAGGCCAAGGCAGAGGTAGGTAATAGGAAGCTAGAAGTAGGCAATTGCCTTGACACACATTTCGGCCATTCCCATACTGACATGTCCAAGTCTGAGGCGGCGGATCTACAGTCCCCGGAGAAGACCGGCGCAGCCGAATCAACAACCGAAGCTAAGCCTGACACAACATCACAAGCAGTGGTAGAAAGGGAAGGGATAGACAATGCAACCGAACCGAAGAAGGAGGGTCCAAGTACCGACGAACCCAAGGTCGAGCCCGAGATGATCCTCGGGGGCTTCGACTACGACGACCCAGCATTTGCCCAGTTTAAAGACGTCTTCAGCAAATTCGGTCCCAACCCTGAAGACGACAATATTGCACGTGAAGCGAACGCCGGCAACCAGGGTGAAGTTTTCATGAACGACCACCTGGAGATGATTCCAGACGAGGAGGATGAGGACGGCGGCCGGCTCAAGCTGTCCAAGAAGAAGCGCAAGAAGCTCAACACGCTGTCGATTGCCGAGCTCAAAGCGCTTGTCCAAAACCCAGAGGTCGTCGACTGGCACGATGTCTCGTCCTCAGATCCGCGTCTTCTCGTCGTCATCAAAGCCCAGAAAAACGTCGTCCCTGTCCCCGGCCACTGGTCCCTCAAACGCGAATATCTCTCCAGCAAGCGCGGTGTCGAAAAGCCTCCCTTCCAACTGCCCCCCTTCATCGCCGAGACTGGCATCACCGAGATGCGCGATGCTGTGCTTGAGAAGCAGGCCGAACAAACACTCAAGCAGAAGCAGCGCGAGCGTGTTCAGCCAAAGATGGGAAAGCTCGACATCGACTACCAGAAGCTCTACGACGCATTCTTCCGCTTCCAGACGAAACCCTCCCTCACCCGCTTCGGTGATGTATACTACGAGGGCAAGGAGTGGGAGACGGAGTTCCGCAACTTCAAACCAGGTCCGCTCAGTGATCTTCTCAAGGAAGCTCTGAATATGCCTCCAGGTTTCCCACCACCGTGGCTGCTCCAGCAACAGCGCATCGGTCCCCCGCCATCCTACCCGAACCTCAAGATTCCTGGTCTCAACTCGACACTACCACCAGGCGCTTCCTGGGGCTTTGCTCCAGGACAGTGGGGAAAGCCTCCCGTTGACGAATACAACCGCCCCCTATACGGCGGTGATATTTTCGGTGTTCAAGGCGCCGACGATGTTTCGGCTGCCGTTGACGCCAGCCAGGCATCGGCGGCGACCGGCGAACCGATCGAACGGGAGATTTGGGGAGAGCTGCAACCACCAGGGGAGGACGAGTCTGAGGAAGAGGAAGACGACGAGGACGAGGACGAAGACGACGACGAGGAGGACGAACGTGATGTGCCTGGCGGCTTGGAGACGCCCAGCGGCTACATCAGCTCTGTGCCCACCGACCTCCCGACGGGTGTGGATGCGAACATTGGAGGCGAGTTCGACCTTCGCAAACAACGGCGCGGATACGAGACCGAGGAGTCCTCGGCGGGCCGCCCTCCACGGTCTGCATACACAGTCATCCCCGAACGGCAAGCACAGGCACATGGTTTCTTTGGCAGCGACCGGACATACGACCTCTCACGAACAGGCCGGGGTCCAGCTGTTCCTGTACTAGGCCAGGACGACGATGGTGCACGCAAGCGCAAGAAACCCGGTGATGTGGATGTAGCACTGGATCCCGACGCACTGCTAAGCAACGACGGCATCAGCAAGGACGAGTTGAAGCACCGCTTCGAAGAGGGCCGGCGGGAAGAGGGTGTTGGTGCGCAGTGGCGGCAGTACGACGACGATCTGACCGATATGATTGCACAAGAGAGCCGCAAGCGGCAGAAGGTGGTTGAGGACCGCAAGACGGAAAAGAAGAAAGAAGCCAAGTACCGCTTCTGAGAGAGCGTGCAGTTGTCGTTTCAGGCTTTGCTGTCCTTTTGATTTCTAGTTGATTACTTGGTTTTGGGATACTCTCTATTGTGCATTGTTCTACCAGGAGTTGGTCGGCGGGCATCTATCTACCAAAAATAATTTCTTCGCCTCTGTAACAAAAGAACATTCGTCTTTATTTTTCATTAAATGTCCAGTCCCCATCGATTTCCACGTTTTCAGTACGCTATGCCGTGCCATGCCATGCAGTTGTATAATTAGTCTAGTACGCCGTGCTCCAAATAAAGTCAGGAGGCCCTTAGTCGATCAGCCAGTCTTCCATCTCAATACCCATACTACGGCCCAAACTACGTACAACTTCCCATCCAACGTTCACACGCCACTTGCCGGCCCGGTCAATGGGGTCACTGGCCGCACCACTCACACGCACGATTAACCTCAAGCTCGCCAGAGTCGCAATCGCCGTGTTCCGGTCGCTATCCATGATAGCCGCGGCCGAGTTCCGGCCTGCTGCCGAAACAGGTGGCGCACGCGTCCACTCGCTGCGCACGGCCACAAAGATGGCCATCAAGCGCTCCAACGTGAAGCTGTGGGCGCCCAGCAATTTTCTTGCAATCTTGCGGTGCTTGCTCTTCGGGCCAGTGCGACCTCCACCCCCGCCCATGCCGCCACGTCGTTTCTTTTTACCGTGGTAGTATGTGGAGAAGAGCGTCATGTCGTGGCGAGTCGCGTTGTGAGAGGCCAGGTAAGCACACAAGAGAAACAAACGGGCCGTAGCCGGAAGAAGAGTGGCTAGGTTGCGGGCAGCATAGAGATTTTCGGCCGGAGAATCTGCTGCGTCCTTTGTTGCAAGTTGCGGTTGCGGTTGCGACTGTGACTGTGCTTGGGGCGCTGCGGCCACAACGAACTGCGGGTCCAACAAAGACTCGTCCTGGAAGTGAGAGCGCGCCGCAATCAGGAGCTTTGAAAACTCTCGCGGTCCGTGTGTGCCGGCCAGGATGGGTGCCGTAAACTTGGGCCACAGTGCCGTGCAGGCCTCCTGGAAAGCAGGCAGGTTCCGGCCAGCTGTGCGAGTCAGAGAGTCGTGCACCGCCGTGCAGAGTCGCGTCCACAGTTCGTTCGTCTCCTCCTGTGTGGCACTTTCCAGTGCTGGCGGTGGGGAGCGGCTGAGGATTTCGACAAACTCGGCCTTGGAGTAGTTGCCAAACTGAATGTGCGGGACAAAGCTCGTCCGCAGCATAGAAGGCGATGGAAATGTGACAATAAAAACAACAGTAAGGTTGGGAATCTACATCGGGAGGTCAGACTGGGCTGCCTTGGCATCGGCTCATGCTTTCGGTTGCCTTCTTGTAACGTACCACTTCGGACAGACGGGCCAGTCCCGGCAGGAGCGTTGCGGGCGCATCCCGCTGGCGGTCAATGGCGTCAAACACTAACACAAAGCGCCAGTTTTCGGGGTGCTCGCTGTACTGGAGCATATTGGAAAGCTCGACGGTCAGCTGCGAGAGAGTCTCGCAGCGCCGGGCCTTGGGTCCGAGGTACCGGACAGAATCCGAGACCTTGGCCACCGTCCGCTCGAAGAGATGCCGCGCCGTGACACACTTGTTAGAGTCAACAATAGCATAATCAAGAATGCTTGCAAGTCCACCATTGGCCAGGCCGGCATCTGTCGCTGCACCCGGGGCAACGGCAGATGAGAACATGTCCAGCACACCGGCTGTCACCGCACTCTTTCCGGTCGCCTCAGTGCCATGAACGACGATGTTTCCACATGGCGCGAGGGAAGGCTAACGACCAGATACATGTTAGAACGTCCACACCAACGCCCCCACGGTGAGCTGTCTCTTTCACGCAAATAGCCATGCACTTACATCAACAAGGGTCGACAAGGTCTTGATGTGCTGCTCACGGCCAGGGAAGCTTTGGAGGTGTATAATGGGCTGTGCCTCCAAGGACCCCAGCGGAGATGTCGCGTGCATCGCACAGATCCTGTCGAGGCAAAATAGTAATCCAAACCTATCTGTGGCGGATGCAGATAGTTCTGCGGTTCAGATAAGGCTATGCTCAAAGCTAGGCAATGGCGTCACGTTTCACGACACTCATAAACCGGCACCCAACTGTCAACGTTCGCATATCGGCATAGGCCGTGGACCGTTTTGCATGCGCAAGGGGTCGTTGAGCGAACCGACGCGTGAGTGACGCGCTAACAAGTTAAAGGGAGACCCACATATCGAGCTGAGTGACCGACTGTCGGTAAGTTAACACGAGGTTCGCAAGGTGCTGCCGCCTGGCGCTGTAAAATGGCCCTGTAAGCGTGCTGACGGTTCTTCAAGGCCGTCGCTGACAACTCTGCCTCACGAACCCGAGTTCAACTTAAAATTTGCTGCAACGAGCTACCAGTCGTCAGTTGGGGCTACGTAACGGCAAGAGTCACCCAGGGATGTCATAAGCACGGCATACATCTTGAAGTAGAAGAAATATAACCATACACACTACATTCAGTGCCGTATTCAGCATGGACAAGAACCGTAGCACTTACGAGAAAAGCTTGATTGCACAATCAAATACGATGTGCCAAACTTGGGCAAGCCATAGAGCCTGGCCCAGAAAGAAGAGTCAGCGCCGACGTCAAGTTTCCGACAAACATGCCCAAACAGTCCTAGACAGGGCTGGGGTAAGCGAGCTGTATGACTTGTCACAGTATGGGATACATGTACTGTACAGGACGACAGACCAGAAATGGGGAAAATGTCCAGTCCCATCGCGCATGTCAGATCACATCCCCGTCCCATGTTCTTGCCTGCTTCGTGTCAGATTGTCGGGACGTCCTCTGCTCTTTCTCTTCAAGTCTGACGCAGCTTCCAATTCGATTTTTTGCCCTCATGCTTTGTGCAGATCGCACCTTCCACATTTGCTCACAACCCTGTACCTCGTCGTCACTGGTTGATAAAATTTTAAAGCCATGACTGTATCTTACTCTCCTGCATGCCACGCAGCCCTAGCCGCCAGTTCATCCTTCTCTATCCTACTTAGGTCCATTTTCCGGTCGCATTTCCCACTTTGGCAACATATCCACTGTTTAGCCCTGCAAGTGGTTGTATCGGTACACAACCCGGACTAAGATCGGGCTGCGGGATAGTTGAGCGCCGCACGAAGCTGTTGTCAGATACACTCGGATCCTTCAGAGGGGTCATTGACACCGCAGGGCACTCCTACTCAACATATCGAAATCATAAATGTGCTTCATGCAACAGCGACAGTAACGACAGCTGTTGCGACGACAATATCAGAGCGTCATCCTCGAATATGTCGCACGCTTGCACCAGGTCCGACAACATCGAACTTCAGCAGACTCCACTTCCGACAACGTCGACATCACAATGACCTCGATACCAGAAATCAACATTGAGTTTGAGGATTTAGGCGCTGCGCCGGTATCTAGCCAGCTTACGCCGGCCAGAACCATCAACGACCGGCCGTACCACGCAAAGCGGCCTCATAAGAAATCCCGCGCCGGTTGTGTGAACTGCAAGACCCGCAAGGTCAAGTGCAACGAGGAACGACCACGATGTCGCGCATGCACATTGCGCAAAGAGACATGTGTCTACCCGTCCACACAGCACACATTCTCTGCGGCCAGCTCTGCTTCGTCTCGCAGCGCCCGCGCGGCAGCACTCTCAGCAGCAGCAGCAGCAGCAGCAGCAGCAGCAGCAGCAACAGCAGCAACAGCAGTACCAGCTGCAACAACAACAGCAGCAGCCCCCGCCTCGTCTTCCTCTGCATCAAATTCGTTACTGCCTCCTTCCTCCACCTCATCATCGTCTTCTTCTGAGGACGGGTCGTCCGCCGTTGCCTCCAGCGTCAACTCTCGGAGCGCTTCTCCGTATTTATACTCGTCAACGAGCGACTCAGCCAATGTTGAATGGGGCTGGAATGCCTCGAGTAGTGGCCCTGTGCGCAAACAAAACAGGGGTGGCTTCAACATGCTCGAGGAGCCATTCTACCTCCCACCGCAGATCGACCAGACGGACATGAAGCTTCTCTGGTTTTACACTGCAAAAGGTTTCGATGCATTCGCAGCAGAGGCCGGCCACCAGCCACAAGTCGACGAGATTCTGCGAGTTGCGATTCCACGCCATGCTTTTTCCAGCAGGTTCCTCATGGACTGCTTGCTCGCCCTGTCTGCCCTCGAGCTGCAGATACTGAACCAACCCATTGAGCCTTCTCGCATGCTCATGTACCGCGCTAGGGCTTTTGCCGGCTACCGCAAAGCAATCGAGAAAGCCACACCCGATACGTATCCTGCACTCCTGGCCTGTTCTCTCCTGCTATGCTCGCTGTCGTCGGAGATGTTTCGCGACACAGACAGCACACCCCTGTACATTCTCGACTGGATGGTCGTCTGGCGCGGAATCGGCCTTATTGTGAAGCTTATCAAGCCGGAAATGCTCTTCAAGTCGGGCATGTCCCTACTTTTTGCCCGGCCACCCATCAACCTGGATGCATCAACAAAGTACATCCCCAACCAGTTGCTCTTCATGGTGAGCTCTATCCGCCACGGCGAGCCTGACTATATGCACATCAACATGTACTATGAGACACTCAAGTATTTGGGGTCGCTGTACCGGGAACTCGAGTCGGGCATGGGCCGCATCCTCAGCCTGCGCATCATCACGTGGTTCACATTTCTACCAAAAGGCTTTGTCGATGTGGTCCGCGAACACCGGCCACGAGCCCTGGTCATTCTAGCACATTACCTTGTCTTTATCAAGCTATGCAGGTTGTGGTGGATGCAGGGAATTGCAGACAAGGAAATCAAAGACATTCGCGACGTCCTCGACGAAGACTGGTTGTTGTTCATCTCCGGACCCCTTGCGGCCCTAGAGACTGATGATGAGATCTCCATTGGCAAAATCCTCCTCAATAACAACTCTTGGCAGCCGGACTTTTTCTACGATCAAACTCGGGACAACCAGCTGAGGAGCTTGGGACTTGTTGACAACACCGGCCGCAATATCATATTTAACGGCTCCTGGATCCAAGCTGATACAGGGAAGCCAGCAGTCTGGAACATGACCGAACCTCTTGACACATCATCGGCCATCTTTCGCCCTGAAGAGATTATTGGACTCCGGCATCTAAGTCTGGATATCCCAGGCGAATCCTCCTCCGCGAAGGAGACCACCGGTGACGGCATTGACACCACCAATATAAACCCTTGAAGTAACCAAAAAACTTTGTTTACACGAAAGTATATTATCGCAGCCAGCTTGGATAGGTCGAAATGGAAATCGTATCACAACGTCCTATTTTGCCCTAAATTACAACCGCGCATACCATTCCAACATGCCTAGGACACCTGAAAACGCGACGTCTTCCCCTGCGTCATCTCTTGGTCCTATCTACATCACATCTACCCAAACCAACACTCACTCGCCGTCAGATTGGATGGCACAAAATGACCGATGCTGGTGGCATAAATGCCCTCGGCATGATCGCCATCTTCATCTATCTTGTGGTTGGACTGCCGGTAGTTCTTCCTCGTATCTGTCCGTGTTGTCAGGGCGTTGAAAACATTTGTCCTCTGCTTAATCTCTGCCTAATAGTTTCAGGGGCCCAACGTGGAGTCAGCGCTGCCGTGTCAATCTGCACGAGTGGCCACAGCCCGCTGTAGCCCTATGAGATAGGGATGGACGATTGGAAATGCTTGGGCCAAGGACATGTGGGAACTGGGTAAGGTGGTTGATTAAATACACTTCGCACCTCCTCTTTGGCAAAATAAATATCTAGCAATATATGTATGATATATTTAGTGGTGGAAGATGCGCAATGGAAGACTGGCAGGGTGGCATCATACATCAAGGAAGAGGTTGAAAACTGACACTTCAACCTTCCTCATCGCGGGTTGTTTTGATTCGTGGGGATTGTGGTGAATATCAGTCAGTCAGCGGGAACCGCTATGCCGAGTCACATCCGTAAACACCTTTGTCTTAACCGAATCTTCTTTTCACTATGCTTCTTGGTATTCTATTTTCTACTATCCCAAACATTAAAGTTATACACTTCTCGGCACGGTTTTCTGTCCAATAACAATAATTCCATTTTTCGTGTTTGTTTTCCCTTTTTACAGTTTCTTTGTAGTCTTATTCATTTTATTTTCCTTTTTATTTATTTATTCCACGTGTGAGTGTTGTATTGTTTTTAGATCTATTTTTGTCATACTACCTTAAAACCTGTCGTAACTTCATCGTATTATAACACAGCGTTTTATGCTGAAATAAGCCCTTGGAGACGACTAAGAAAAACGAAAATGAATGCTTTATAGGACATGGCTTATACGATACATGGGATGAGTAAGATTCTTTCCATGTAAAATGATAACCGACAGCTTACAAGGTTGTGTCAAGTAATTTTTTTCGTTCTTTTCCCTTGGCTATATTTTATACAAACATATGAAATAGTAGCTACGATCAATATACGATGTATTAAGGAGTAAAACACACATTCCAAAATCTACCAGAGGCAGCTATAACATCAACTACAATAGATCACTGGGAACGATATAAATTTCAAGAGAAAAAAAGAAATGCTTTATTAACAGCTCATGCTTCTACTTACAAGACATGGGCGAGGGAGACGTCCAAAACAAAAGCCAAACATAAACGACTAGACAAACACAAAAATGCTTCCGCAGTAGGCTTCGTTGAGATTTGAAGTTGTTTTGTCGCTTTCGGGATTCACGCCCCTTTTTTATATATTTTCTTGTGCTTTGAAAAATATTCTTTTTGCTGCGGTCCCCCCCTTATACAAGATTTTTTACTTATCTCGAGAAAAAAAGAAGAACAGGCAACAAAAAAAAAATGTACATCACACACCCGAGAACACGATAGTAGATTACAAAGAGGATGAAAATGATATTCCCGCAGAACCCTAACCAGACACTGAAACCGAGGGGTTACCTAGTTTAGTTCTGCTCAAGCTCAGCCAGGATCTTCTCACCCTTGGCCTGGGCAGACGCGAAGTTGCCAACCATGTAGAAGGCACCCTCGGGAAGGCTGTCACCCTCACCGCTCAGGATAGCCTTGAACGAAGCGATAGTGTCCTTCAGATCGACCAGCTGGCCTTCGATACCAGTGAAGACCTGCGCGACCGTGAACGGCTGGCTCAGGAAACGCTGGATCTTACGAGCACGCTCGACTGTAAGCTTGTCGGCCTCAGACAGCTCGTCCATACCCAGAATGGCGATGATGTCCTGCAGCGACTTGTACTCTTGGAGGATCTGCTGGACGCGAGTGGCGGTCTCGTAGTGGTCGTCACCGACAATACGGGGGTCCAGCATACGCGACTTGGAGTCGAGGGGGTCGACAGCGGGGTAGATACCCAGCTCAGAGATACCTCGGGACAGCACAGTGGTGGCGTCCAGATGGGCGAAGGTGGTGGCGGGGGCGGGATCCGTCAGATCGTCAGCGGGCACGTAGACGGCCTGGACGGAGGTAATTGAGCCCTTGCGGGTGGTGGTAATACGCTCCTGCATCAGACCCATGTCCACGGCGAGCGTGGGCTGGTAACCGACAGCGGAGGGAATACGACCCAGAAGGGCAGACACCTCAGAACCGGCCTGGGTGAAGCGGAAAATGTTGTCGATGAAGAGAAGCACTGACAAGTTAGTAATTCTTCGATTTGGAACTGTACGACAAGGAAATAATTCAAAACATACCATCCTGGCCCTCCTCGTCACGGAAGTACTCAGCGACAGTCAAACCGGTCAAGGCGACACGGGCACGAGCACCAGGGGGCTCGTTCATCTGACCGAACACCAGGGCGACCTTGGAGTCACCGTCAAGCTGAATGACAGAGGTCTCCTGCATTTCGTGGTACAGATCGTTACCCTCACGGGTACGCTCGCCGACACCGGTGAAGACGGAGTAACCACCGTGGGCCTTGGCGATGTTGTTGATGAGCTCCTGGATGAACACGGTCTTGCCAACACCGGCACCGCCAAACAGACCAATCTTACCACCACGGGCGTAGGGAGCAAGCAGATCGACGACCTTGATACCAGTCACGAGAACCTCAGCGGTGGTCGACTGGTCAACGAACTCGGGAGCCTCAGCGTGGATGGGACGGAACTTGTCGGTCTTGATGGGACCGCGCTCGTCGATCGGGTCACCGGTGACGTTCATGATGCGACCGAGGGTACCGGGGCCGACGGGGATGGTAATGGGGGAACCAGTGTCAGTGGCCTTAGCACCACGGACGAGACCCTCGGTACCGTCCATGGAAATGCAGCGCACAGTGTGCTCACCCAGATGTTGCTGCAAGAATGGTTAGCATTGCTGTTCAGCCTCGTACCCAAAACCCCCCCAAACCTCGGCAGCGGGTAGTAAACATACGGCGACCTCAAGGACCAGCTTCTGGCCATTGTTCTGGGTCTCCAAGGCGTTCAGAATGGCGGGCAGCTTGTCCGTGTCGAACTTGACTGTGAAAAGAAAAAGACGAGGTTAGTTGTTGCTCAATTCAAGAAGCACGAATAATGCGTAGTGGTTTATCGAGGCTTTCGGGATTTCCGTTTCCGAGCGTCCGGACATGAGAATCGACAGCGATCCGATGCAATCTTTCGGTGGCGCATTGGACGAAGTGCAGACGACTGCGAGGGGGGTCTCGATGTTGATAGAAAAAAGTTTTTTGGTCGGAATCTTACCATCGACGACGGCACCAATGACCTGAGGGATTTTACTGTTAGCGATGCGGCGACCGAAAATTGGATTGACGACCGGGGGAAAAAAAAGACGTCGGGTTCTGCAAAGCGTTAACCTACCTGGTGAATCTTGCCATCACCGACACTGGACGTGCTGGCGAACCGGCTGCCGTGCAGGAGGGAAGGGGTGATAAAGTTCGGGCGGACGATGCGAGGCGTCGCGAGAGACGAACGGGCTACGCGAGCCGCTCTGGCGAAGTTGGCGCTGGAGAAGGAGAAACGGACGGTCAGCGGTCAATTCAATATGCATTCTGTCGTTCGTTGAGGCCAATGCCTGTTTTCGCTCGGTCCTTACCTCTTGAACATCGTGGCGATGGTAAGGAACGCTTCGCAAAATGTATATGGAGAGGTGAATGGGAAGGAAGAGAAAGGTTGCGGAGGAGGTCGGGAAAAAAAATGCGAAGCAAAACAGGAGCTCCTAGTGCACTGTGGTTGTTTTGGTTTTTCTGCCTGGGGCGGAAATAACTGCGGCCTGAGGCAACAACAGAGCCCGTTATGGGGGGGTGTTGGCCTCTATGGCGGCCCCTACTCCTACTGTGTCCTCGCTATTTTCCCTCTTTTCACTCTGCATTTCTCCTTCCTCCCGAGGGATCCCGTGCCTTTCAATAACCGAAAGCCCCACTATAGCGAACCCACTCAAGGAGTCGAGAGAAAAAGGAGCACCCGTGAGAGTCTTTTTTCCCTGACCCACCTGATTTTCTGCAGTGCCTCCTCTTTTTGCTCTGCTTTACCCCGTTGTGCTCCTCCTCTGTGCTCCTATTCCAAGCTTCCTGTTTGCTTTAGTCCCGTCGATGGCTCGTCCACGTGATTTTCAGACCGGAACTCCATCGCCCATGCATCTTTACCGTTACTGCGAGACTGCGAAGACTGCGTAGCTGCCCGCCAATTCAGGTACGGCCAACCTTTCGCCTTTAGTCCCTTGCCACTTGTGCGCCCCTGAAAATACAGGTACAAATTCTGTGTGCAATGAATATGGCAAAAATTATCGTGATGAAGCTCCTGATAGTTTGCTACAACTTGGAAAATACCTAAATTAATGCCCATTTTATCCAACTAGCAATCTATGCCCATGGCGCAGCAGCGACCTTGCCTATGAATATTATTGCCATTATTCGCAGTTTGTCCACCATAATTTCGATCTTGTTAACATCCATTGATCTCATAGTACGTTAAGTCGTCGACTCCAGTGCCAGGACCTGGGGAAGAAACAAAGGCATTAGTAGTGGGGACACGATAATGGCGAACAGGATTCTAGGGGCCCAGCTACGGTAGCTGGAGATACTTCATACTTACAATAGCTGTTCGGCTGGGGGCGTAGACATGCGTCCAGTTGCTCCGCTCATTCCATTTCATCCTGTGTTCATGTTAGAATTCGTAGTTGAACTAGAAAGCGCCAATCTTACCCCCTTCCCCCGGAATAGCAATACTTACGGCGTCGTGAAAAATCTTGTTTCATGATTGATCCGCTTGTGGCCGCCGAACTGCTCGTCGTCTGAGCTCAGCACAATCTTGTATGTACCAGCTTGTTCGACACCCACGCGATAATCACTAAATGACGACGACGGATGGAAGTTGAAAATGAATAGCAGACCGGCTCTCTCAAACACAATAACCTTATCGGACTCGTTCTTGAGAGAGATGTAGGCTTGAGATGCGTGCAGCCAGCCATACTTGGCTTCGAGCTGGTTCATAGCGCTGTCAAAATTGTTGAGGAACTGATACCTCAACAAGTGGTCTTCGGTCAGGTTCAACTGCCGTCTGGCATACCAAAACGAGTTGTTGTTGCCCTCACGAGGAAAGTCAAGCCACTCAGGATGTCCGAACTCGTTGCCCTCGAAGTTGAGGTAGCCCTCGCCTCCAAGACCATGGGTCAAAAGCCGGATCATTTTGTGCAAAGCCATGCCCCTGTCGATGACGGGTGTCAATGGTGATAGAATAGACATGTTGGTGTACATTTCGGCATCACAAAGGTGCATCATGAGTGTCTTGTCGCCCACCAAACTATAAGGAGAAAACCAGTCAGCCAATGTCAATTGTATCATTCCATCATGCAACACCCCCACCAAATCTTTTGGTACTTACGCCTGATCGTGGCTCTCGCAGTACGCAATGGTTTTCTCACCATGGCGTCTGTTGGTCAGTGTCCAGCAGATGTTGGCCACATCCCAGTCCTCATCCTTCTTTTCCTTGAGAATCTTGATCCACATGTCGGGAATCGCCATCGCCAGGCGGTAATCGAAACCGACACCACCAAGGGCCATAGGGAGACACAGGGCCGGCATGCCTGACACGTCCTCAGCGATCGTGATGCACTCGGGGTACAGCTGATGGAGCATGTCGTTTGCGATCATAAGATAGGCCACAGCCTCCTCGTCGACATCGGCACCGAAGTACTCGTGGTAGCCACCGGAAAAGCCCCTGTCGTGAGTCAGCGATGGGGACGTACGCAAATATTTGCACCACAGACAGGATCAAATAAGTACTTACGTTCCGATACCGTGATGGAGGTAGAGCATGCTGGTAACGCCGTCAAAGCGGAAACCATCGAAGCCATACTCGTCCATCCAAAACCGCAAGTTGCTGAGCAAAAATCTCAGCACCTCGTGGTGACCGTAGTTGAACAGCCTGCTGTCCCACAGGTCGTGGCGACCCTTGGCACCGTCATGGAAGTATTGGTGATCAGTGCCGTCAAACTCATTGATGCCGTCAAGAACATTCTTGGAAGCGTGGCTGTGGACAACGTCCAGGAGAACAACAATGCCCATCCCGTGGGCGACGTCGATGAGCTCCCTCAGGTCTTCCGGGGGCCCATAGCGGCTGCTGGCCGCAAAAAAGTTGTTGATCTGGTATCCAAAGCTCGCGTAGTATGCGTGCTCCATGACAGCCATCAACTGGATCACGTTGTACCCCAAGAATTTGATCCGGGGTAGCATGTTTTTTGTGAACTCTTTGTAGGTTGCGACTCTCTGGTCTGGGGAGGAGATGCCGATATGTGCTTCGTATACCCGTGCACTAAGGGGTTTCTTCGGTCGGGGGTTCTTTGGGACGTACCGCTCCGAGGAGGGTGGGTTCCAAAAGCGGGCGTCGTATGCAGGTGACACGGAGAGGTCCTGGGTGACATATTTGATCCACGCCGGTAGGCGATCGACGCGCTCTCCGCTTGGTAGGACGAGAGAAATCTAATGACCAAAGCAGTAGAAGTCAGCAATCAGTAACATATTTGCTGAGGAGACTTGGATTGCAGGAAATGCACCTTGATCTTTGAGTTGTGAGGGATTTGTGGCTCGCCATTCTTGGACGGCAGCTTCAATTCGAAGACGCCAAAATCATTCCTGGTCATGGGGTGAGAGTCATGGTTCCAGCCATCTTGTGACCATTAGCGATTGAGCTTGACATTGTGTATTCGCTTGGCAAGGCCGGTGTCATTCGGACGTACTGAAGTCGCCAATAAGAGAGGCTTGGGTGGCATTCGGTGCCCATTCGCGGTAGGTGATGTTGTTGTCCTTGTCGACGTTCAGACCAAAAATCTCGGCGCCCTATACGTTACAAAGGTCAGCATTCTGCCACAGACGCTGTTCGAGTTCAAAGGAAGCCGATACTGACCTTTGAGAACTTGTCAAGGCCACCTTCTGTGGTGTTAATCTTCTCAATCCATTCTTTCGATTTGGAGAACCGTCTCTTCAGGGCATCCTTGAACGGCGACAGCCACGGGTCGATGACGGTAACACCTGGTGTTGAGCTGTCAATACAATATCCTCCCTCTCCCCAGCATGTTTTGCTGTGCCGACCCAGGAGTCTAGAAGCGCATGTTCGAGGAGTGGGGCATTCACCTGTGCCATCCCGAGGCAGTTCCTCGACGGTCGACGCCGCGGCGGGTTGGGTCTCGATGGTAGGCATAATGCGTGGCTGTGTATGTCAATTGCTCTGATTCTTGTCTCTGCAGAAACCATAAAACGTGGACAAAGACAACGAGTGAAATAAAAGGAAATCTGAGCAAGGTGAGCTGCAGGGTGTTGAGGAGAAGTTGGAAGCTCTGACGTCTAGACCAGTACTTATGGTGTTTTATGGGGCGATAAGAAGCTGGCCTTCACGGCGTGCGCGAAAGCTCGTTACGAGGGGGAGCGCTCCGGATTGGGGGCCGCAAGACAAGGCGAGCGACTGGAATTGAAATGGGTCTCAGAATATGGGAGGCTGCTTTGGGTTTTGTCTTGTTTCTGAAGAATTTTCACGGCCCTTCTCTGTTTTCGGGTCTTTGTTTATTTGCCATTCGATTTCGGCTTTGCACTTGGCAGAAGGGAGCCTTCACCCCCAACAGTTTTGTTTTGCTCCTTTCCATGCAGCGCTATGCCTCCTGGAATTCGACATATTGATGACGTCGTGGCAAATTTCTCGCAGGAATTTCGTAGCAGAAATGCAGCTGGCCAATCGCTAAAGGTCCGCTGTATAAACAGACCTACATTGCATGCGACCCTAGCTGGTAGCAGAAAGCATACGAGGCACGCTCTTTGCCTCGCCCCTGGCAGCTTCGAACGAGCAATTCTCCGTGATGAGCAAGGTTAAGATTAGTTAGCGCCGCTTCCATGATACCATTCTTGCTTCTGATTCTAAAATTCAGGTATTAAGAGGGCGCACCGCCTTACCCCGGCTTGGTTCTTGAACCTACATGCAATTCTCAGAACGGACAGTGCTTCCAGATCTCCTTCCGAGGCCTTATGGCCGGCCAGCCTGTGGAACAGCGTCTGCTTGGGGGTGACACCTTAGCCGTTAGTAGTAGCTAAGGAACGGTCGAGGCACACTTCGTGGGTCGCCCCAATGAGATCTTAGCCTTGGCGTGACAGACCACTCTCGCTCAGCGGGCTGTGCAGGCGAAAGCTGGCAAGGTCATGCCACTACGATAACTAAGTCAGCTCTCTCTTTGTTCTTATCGGTCGTCGCGCATCGGTCGTGTGGGGAAGTAGCCAACCACAACTGACAGCACCTCATCGTACGCTATTGCATAAACCGTATCTGACATAAGAAACTTTGGCTGAACAATGAACTGCGGCGTCCGCTGTGTCTACTAACTACGATATTCTGTCCTGTCTCCATATCTATTTCCATTCAGACGCGACATTGACCCCCATATAATCGCCATTTGCTCCATCACGACTTCCTCAGCCTCGCTGTGCCGATTTCGCTCCGGCGGAGTTATTCCGACCTAAGCCGTCGACGTGAGTCGAATGAAGTAGTGACAACGACACTTTCTCTCACCATTCGACTCATTCATGCTTCCTGCTCAACTACGTTCCGGCCAACCACATAATATATTCCTGGAGCATGTTCGGCGAGCAGTAAATCGCCCCATGTCGGTCGTTGCGAAACCGCGGTCTGCCGCGCTCCTCGGAGTTCCGTTTTCTGTGTCAAGGTCTGTCACGTCACCTGCACAGCCGCTTTTTGTCCTTGCCCACAGTAGGTGGGCTTCCATTTCACAGGCCGCTTTGACGGCACGTCGGCGGACACGGAACTTCAGTTCGGGCTTTTCTAGTAGCTATGACCCGACCGATGACGCGGGCCGTGGTCCTATGTTCAATAAAGCCAAATTCGGCGTTCCACAGTTCTACCCACGCGACCTGAAGAAGAGAGTCGACGACTACGTTATTGGCCAGGATCGAGCGAAGAAGACAATATGCGCTACAATCTTCAACCACTATCAACGGCTACGTCGCAAGCACCACCAAGACGACTCGGATCGCGTATTGCGCGAGAAGATGCAGCGGCAGCGCTTTGCCCGAGACCGGGACCTTCACGACAAGCACAATGAAAGTGGCATAGATGGTACGATGTCTCCTGATCCACATGAGCACTTTCGGTTTGCTGACTGGAAACCCACAGACGAGTTCCCCGATCGCATAGAGGAGACGGCATTCGCCGACCATCACTCGGACCCTGCTGAAAACTTCTACGCAAAGGAAGACACATCTATACCTCAGCACGTCAAGATTGACAAGAGCAACATTCTCCTTATCGGCCCTACAGGTGTGGGCAAAACGTACATCCTAGAGTATGCTAGAACCGTACTCTGGTTTATCATGGGACGCCCTTGTTACTAACATTTTGGCGCAATAGGACGCTCAGTAAGAAGCTAAACGTCCCGTTTACGATAAGTGACTGCAACAGCTTCACCCAAGCTGGCTACATTGGCCAGGATGTCGAGACATGCATCGAGCGGCTTCTTGTCGAAGCAAACTTCGACACGAAGGCTGCAGAGTATGGCATCGTTGTCCTTGATGAGTTTGACAAGATCGCTAGAAGAGAGACGACGCACGGTCGCGATGTCGGCGGAGAGGGTGTGCAGCAGGCTCTTCTGAAGCTCGTTGAAGGAACCAGAGTTACCGTCAGCGTGAAAGACAACCGCTCATCGTCCCGCTCTGCAAACCCAATCACGACCACCTACGGGTCGCCCAGCTCAACATCACCGCCGCAGGCGACACCACCATCTGCAAAAATGGATCAATACACCATCGACACAAGCAACATTTTGTTTGTCTTTACGGGCGCTTTTGTGGGGCTGGATAATCATGTTATCCGTCGAGTGGCCAAGCCGTCCATCGGATTCGGGTCCGAGATTCGAAGCACCAAGGGCTCGCCCCTGTCCGGTAGCAAAGCCGTTCTGCCGTTGGAGGCGTACGCGCATCTTCCTCACCAACCGTCGTTTGTGGACCCGACCACTGTTGGCTTTACACCCTTGGACCTCGCCAGCCCACTGGACTTGCAGGCTTTTGGGTTCATCCCGGAGCTGATTGGTCGCGTTCACAACATCTGTGCATTATCACCATTGTCACTTGACGAACTATACCGCATCTTGACGGAGCCTCGCAACAGCTTGGTGGAGCAGTACACAGCTCTGTTTGAAACGTACCCCAGCCGTCTTCGCTTTACACAACGGGCGCTCTATGCCATTGCCGAACGGGCACAGAAAAACGAGACCGGCGCCCGCGGCCTGAAAATGGAGATGGAGCGTGTCCTCGCAGAGCCCATGTTCGATGCGCCTATGGCGTATGTATTGATCACAGAGGCATGTGTCAAGGGCAAAGAAAAGCCGGGATATTGGGGCAAGGACGGGCGATTTGAGATTGAGCGGCGAATACGCGACGAGGATGAGGGCCTTAATGTAAACGGAGACACGAATGGCGGCGTTTCGTTTGGGCAGTTGAGAGAGGCCGGGCAGAGTGGTGCATAAAGGACAAATTCCTAATTGCGGCCTGTACAAATCACTTCAGAGCGTTTTAGTTAGTTTTGTCAATTGATAAAGCGGCGTATCTTTCGTACGATAACGGGCAACAATGAATATGCCGCTGTATGATTTTAAATAATAAATATGCATTTATATCTGGGATTTAAGATAGTCAGCGGTACCTCCGCAAACATCGGCTCCGTCCTCAAGACCCATTTCGGGTAGTTTTATAGTATCACGTTGTCTTTTCACCGAGGCACGTGGCTTCGAGATGCGTATAGGGCCTTCAGCTGGGAAAAAAGGCGAAATGCAACGTGTTTTGTACTTTCGTTCCTTTATGTCAGCCCTTGTCCTTCCCTTGTTTCGGAGTGCCATTACATCACTTTTCCGTTCATGAACAAAGAGACCAACACAGCAGCAGCACGCCAACGAGCAATAAACAAAGGAAATAAAATATGACGATGATTTAAATGACAGCGAGAATAGCAAGCGGCAGATGTTTACTGCTTGGGAGGCGACTGGATCTGGCTCTTGCCCTTGTAGCCCTCGGACGCGATTCCGGTAAATGGGTCGGCCTTCTGCTCCAGCAAACGCTCGTTGGAAGCCTCCTGCCACTCGCGGTTCATAGTGTGTGGCGCGGGGCCGGCGAACAGGCGCAAGCCGGCGAACAGCAGCAACGAGGCACCGACACCGAAGACGGTGTACAGGGCAACCTTCTTGCCCTCACCCGGCGGCGGCAGGGAGCGGGGACCGTGGGGACCGAAAGCGATCCAGTAAGCTGTTGATGAAGGGAAGAAGAGAGAAAAACGTTAGTTGATGTATATTTTATGGGCGTTTGATAGGGCACGTAGCATGATGACATCTGTGCAATATGCAAGCTCGACGCATGTCCAGGAGAGCACAATGGTCCGTCGCCTGAGACCGTATAAAGCTGGTATCCATAAGATCCAACGTTTCCATGCAACGGTAGATGCCAATTGATATCAATCCCGCTGCTTGGCGCGCCCTGCGAGCTCCGACGGCAATTGTGCATCTCACGAAAGGGCCTCATACGATTCGCAGCAAACCACACATCTGTATCACAAACAGGGCCTGACTCACCAGCCTTCTTCTCCTGGAGAGTGAGCTCCTTCCAGCTACCCTTCATGCGGTCGCGCAAGGCCATCCAAAGGTCGGCCTGCTCCTGGAGCGGTAGGCCCTCCCACCGCTTCTCGATGTTGGCTAGAGTCGGGTTCGAGATGGCGTGGGTGGACGCAGCGCGGCGGGCCACAGAAGCGATCTGCGGCTGCTGCACGGCGCGCTGGGCGAGGGTGGTGCCGCGCACCAGGGTAGTCGGCCGGACACGGTACATCGTGAAATTGGGCTTGGCGCAGGAAGATTTAACTCAAAATTGTGAAAATTTTTCCGGTTTCTGCGCTGATAGACGCAGAGAAAGACCGCAAGACAAGATCTAGAGGGGAGATTGGGAATCGAAAAGGTTAAGGCTGAGAGCTCAATCGATGCGAAGTCGTTGAGTGGCGGTGTTGTGGTTGGCGATGATGATAGCAATGCAGTGGTGGTAGTCGGGAGGACGAGGAAGTGAAAAGAGGAATTTCGTTTTGGTGGCATGCCCAGTTAGCTGGGTGCTCGGAATCGTATGATGGAACCTCCCAGGGCTCCACCAAAAACCCGAGGGAGCTTGTCCGGACGAAAGAAATCGCTCGCATTATGTCGTCCCCACCCTTCTTAACAATTTCCGATGGTGACTAATCCCGACAAGCCAACAATCCAATCATCGACGATGCTAAGTAGAGCGAGGGGAAGCACGACAACAGCATTTACATTTGGAAAATACTTTGCTTTTGGTCAATGAAGATCAATAAAATCTATAATAGTGAGTGCCGCAGATGCAACCCGCAATTGAACCCTTTGGCGATCTCCCCAGACTGTATATGTACAATGCTGTATATATAGCGAAGTACTGCTCGTCTGACGGTGCCTTCCTCAGGCGGGACACCTCCCAATTCGCCAATCAGAGCCCGCGAAACTCCGTTGGTTCCGCAGAACTTGCTGGGACGCCGCTAGTCCTCTGGAGAGTCCCATTTTGCGGTACGAAACGTTTTCAGATGGCAGTCGCTTGAGCCGGATATGATCAGGCTCCGTATGAAACCCGAAGGACGGCCGGCGTGCACGTAATAGTCTCTCCGTCTTGCTGCAACTCGGTCTATCGCCTGGCGGTACTCTCTGTCGCTGCTGGTTGTGCGTCCGAGTTTGGCTGCTGGGGCGGTTGTATCGCACTAGAAGGCAAGGGTGTGGCTTTGCCGACGGAGCTGCTGCAGTTAACACGTGCATGCCTCAGTAAGTTACAATATTTACCGAAAAGCAGGCCAAAAACCAAGCCGGGAAGAGCATCAGATATCGTAGGGTGGTAATATACTTACGAGTTTGGGAGGTCCAATTTCCCTACTTCATCCTGGCCCTCGAGATAGGGCTTGAATACATATATTCCTGAATTTTGGTAATCGAGTCAGTTTCTCATTGCCTTAGCTGTTCTCTTTGCATTGCGCCAGAGGAATGGTGAATTGAGCTGTGAGGTGTGTCTCGTAAGTTCTGATAAGGAGCGAGATGCGTACCGTTTGCGACACCGGCAGTGACAGCCAGACCAAGTGGAATCATTCGCTGATAAGACATGATGGTGATGAGGAATGACAGAGCTGCATCGACAGGGCTCAGTGACCACGAAACAGAAGAGGTGAATATCGTGAAGTCGCGCGCTAGATGAATTTGCATATGAGTTTGGGCTACAGTGCTTCGTAACAGTGCGATGTCGTTAAATGGGCAGTCACGCTGGGCGACCCCGATTTAGTGGGCGGCTTTAGTGGGGTTTGGCCTCCGTGCCGCCAGACGCGTCTCTGGCAGACAGATTTTCTGACAGACGCGTCCCACCTTATTTGCACTATCATATCGTCACCATTGACCTCCAAGTACATATCGACAGCAAAAGGTGCAGCCAGCCGCATTTCACGACTGTGTCTACATATTTGAACCCTTGCAGCCCCAAAAGAACCAGGCACTTACCCCAAACGCGAGAACAGACACAAACACAAATGGGTTCCGTTTTATGATGCAGCACCCGACTCAATGGGGAGACACTGGCAGCTGCTGGGAGAAGTCCCAGATTCCGACGATGAAGAACTCGGCAGCCAGGAGCCGCTGCAGGACGACCATGTCGAGGGCAATACTGCTGTAAAGACTCAAGAGAGCAGCAGGGACGCAAAAGAACCAGGGGAACCATTTTTGAAGATCGTACTTACTCCTCATCGACATAACCATTTCACGGGAGTTTCATCTTCATCGAGACATGCAGCACACGGCCCTAGAACACCTTCCCCAACACGGATCTCGACACCCCGGAGAATCTCCCCTCCACCCGAAGACTCAGCTGACGAGATCGATCTCGTCTATGACGGCGTCCAGGACAACGAGCAGGATGAAGAGCCGCGCTGCGACCTACGCTCAAGCCCGCCACAATTCAGCGTTCCCGAGGCACTGGCCAACAATATAGTACAAGCCCTGACGACGAACGACGACAACGTACTTTCAGGACAGGAAACGCCGTCACGCCAGTTACAGAAATCCCAGCAGTCTCAAGGACCTCGAACTTCCCAGGCCTCTTTGCAGCCACAACGGTCAGGGCATTCCGATATACCACACAGTTCACTAACACCCAAGAAGGGAGACCGACGACCACGATCCCACGAACCCCCGGCTTCTGCGTCTATTCCACCTGCCGATCCTTTCTCATTCTCACCCACGTCCTCCCTCTCAAGTCTTTCACGATCACCTTCACCCGTTGCTGATGGACCTGCTCGCCGAAGCTCTGGAGGTCACGAAGTGGCTCGCATGTCTTCCCCGTTTCCCGTCCTACCTGAGTCTCCTCCTGCCTTTCGACTAGGTTTCGTACGATCTCTTCGACCTCGAAAGCCGATTCAACAACATCCATATCTGCTCGAAGGTGCGCAGTATGCACTTGCCATGAAATCACATGGTGTGAAGCCTGTTCGCACCGAGTACGGCAGCGCTCCGCGGAAACAAGTCGTGGATGAGGATTCGCAAGAACAGGAGTTTCAGCAAGAAGAAGAAAAAAGTCAATTGCCAAGGAGACAGTCACAGAACGACGCTGCTCTTTTTGCCGGTAGCCTATATGATTTCCCTAGCAGCCAAGCTAGTCTCGGCGACATTGCACTGTCTTCCTTAACTCCTCGAACATCAACGCCCGCACACCGCCTCCTGCCTCCGAGCAGCGAGGATGGAGCCGACAACGGAACGGATAATACAAGCCCGCCCGATGAAGACGACTTCCCAACTCCTCAAACCGTCCTAGATCGGCAGCACAAGCGGCAGCAGGCTCGAATTTTCAAACGGCAGAGTTCGCCAAAGACTGCCTCCGCCGCAAAGCGGGCACGGCTGGTAGATGCAGCTCTTCAAGATCAGTCGGCTCGTGCCAAATGGATACCCGTCCGTATGGATTCGTCGCCGGACCAGCTTCCCCGTTCATCTGCACGGATGCATGTATCTCGGCCGCGATCTGTGTCCCCGGTTACTTTCCTTTCAAGGCAAGAAGGTGTAGCAGTTTTGGACGATGATTCTAGTGACAACAGCAATGACGAAATTGAAATCACTGACGCGAGGGAATGCACTGCGTCCCCACTGAACGACATGGCCGAAGAGAGCCATAGCGACTCGGAAGCCGTACGCAAAAACAGCAGGCGGATCAAAGGGGTTCTGCCCGCGTCTTGGCTGCGGCTTGATCAGCAAAAATCAACGCAGGTCGGCCTTGACAGGGTGACGGCCACCCAGAGGCGACCTGGGCAACATAACCACCAGGCCACCAGAAAGGGCGTTGCATTGCCGAGACAGGGCCAGGCCACCAGCTCTCTGGCAACGATCATCTCATTATTTGACGAATCAGACGATGATGTAGATAACGATAATGAGAGCGTGGTGGACATGGCCAAGCGGTCAAAAGCACCGGTAATTGAATCATGGGATTCGGATGAGGAAGGATATTCACCAATTGTTTCTCTCATTAACGACGAAGACATTGGTTCGGTGATGGAGGACAACTCCATTGATCTAATGGCACCGAGAGTGAAACGAACCAGGCTACCAGCAGCGCCTGGTCCCCGATCAAAAAGACCAAGGATGCGGACGCAGAGTGTGCCCAGTGGCACTCCAATCCAAAAGACACGACAGCCCAAAATCACGAAGATGATGCACCGATCTGCTTCTGCTTCTACAGGCAGTCACCGATTCTCCCGCAAACAATCATCGTCTACGAGGAGACGGCAAAGCAACCCGCACACAACCAGCAGCAGGAGAACGCCGAAACCACCCGCCACTCCTCCTATGCTGAGCATTCTCGATTTCGTTGAGCCCGCAGCACCAGCGTTCATCCGTGTTGCGGCTCGTACTGCAAGGCGAACGGCTAAGCTAGGAAAGACGAGCCCTTCTAGAAAGATAATCAACCTCGGAAGCCGGGGTGACAACGTGGACGCTCTATCTGTCCTGCGAGACTGGAAAGCTGGGAGAATCAGGCCCAAGATTCCAAACCCACCCAGACGGCTGAGACAGTCTGGACAACAGGCCCCGCTCCAAGAGATGTCGCCGAATCTTGCACCACACTCATCTCCCCGACCACAGCATATACAAAATTCAACCGCGGTAAAGAAAAGCCAGTCAGGAGCTTTCGTGAACCGCATCCCTCAAACCAAGCTTGCCGCACTACCACGCCCGTCCAATCTGTGGATCAGCATGGGCTCTCACATGGATCCAATGATGCGGCCAGCACAACTTGAGGTTGCGGCGAGAAGCAAGCTGGGCGCGGCTGGTTTTGTTTCAAAAAAGAAAGAGCTCGATGCCTTGTACTGCCGTCGGCGGCGGGATGCCATACCTTTACCGAGCGTGCGACTCGAGCAATTTGTCGACGACCAGGCATCTGCCTACAGTGCAATCGACGACAATATTTCTGTGGACGACCATTCTCTTAAGCCACTGGGCTTTGGACTGGAACAAGAAATTGAGCTTCAACCTTCGCGACGGCAGCATGATATCAATTCTGCTAAGCAGATGCCTGAAAGCAACAACCGGTCAAGATTTCGCAAGCGCTACAGTCCAAGGCAGATCGACACATCTGCACCGCGATTTGCCCATGCTTTGGATCACATTCCCCTGGATATTGGTCCTGCAAAGGTCGATTTCGTGGCCGATACCGTCAATCTCGATAGGGACAAACTGCATGGGCTAGGGCCTTTCGGATCGCAGTACCCACAACACTTTGATATCTTCGCTCTCGACGGTGACATCTTTTTCCATCAAAGCACCCTCATCGGCAGCGGCCGGCTGAGTTTGGCCCTTGGGATGGATTCTTCGGATAGCTCGCAGCCTCTCCATAGGCCAAACCTTACAACTTCGTTCCAACTGGGCGAGCGAACGCTCAGCTGGAGTGTGTGGGATGAGGTTTCATCGTCCGAGTATGGCATCCTCATGGACTGGTTGGCGGATAGCCTTCACTCACCTGCTTCCTCGCCTAGCCTTGCTGGGCCGAAGGTGCATACAATGATCAATTTCGTTTTAGATTTTATCCAAATCACCATGGCCAAGGCGACATCTTCGCCAAGTGTCCGAAAGGCCTTCATTGTACGAAACCTTGAGGTTATCAAAAGCCTCATTCGCCGGTTTGAAGCGTCGAACCTGCAGCATGAACAGCCCTCAAGCGACTCAAGAAAGAACAATCGCCTGGCGGCGTTGACCGGGATTCTAACAATCAACACATGGCTCCTGCAACTTTGCCGAGACACGCCAGAATGCGTTTCCTACTCGGTCCAGGTGGAAGATATTTTAAAGTCAACTGCAAAGCAGTCTGTCCAGCTTCTCATGAAGCAGGGTCTTGGCGATATACGTACCTCCTACAGCGACTTTCAACGGGGTCTTTTCCGGGACCGTGGCATTCGAAGAAATACGCAAGTATTGAGCTCATGGGTCGTTCTCATGCAAGTTTTGGAGCATGCAAGAATCCCACGAGGTGGCTTTTGGGATGTCACGTACTCGGTTATGCTTGCTGATAATGCAATTAGTACTTGCACACATGCTAGCCAGTTTGAACAGTGGTGGCAGGACATGTTTACGCTTCTTCCCCTTGGCGAATTCGACAACTCTGGCGTGGTCAGGCCCGGAATACGGCTGGCTATACCCCTTGATGGATGGGAACTTCCAAAAAAGGCCTTGGACAGGGTTTTTCAACTCTACAAAGCCAACCCGCACCAATCACCGAGCTTCAATGCGTACTGCCGAGCCATCGTGGGCCGTTGTCACTACCTCGTCCAGGAATGGGGCTGGCGTCGTTGCAAGGCCATCGTCGGCACGATCTTCGACTTTTACGGGTCACAAGGATTTGCACACTTGCGGAACGAAGAAGCACATCGGTCTCCCCACTTCCTTGAACAGCTTGCGGGCAGTCCATCACTTGCCATTGAACCAGACGACCAGTGCTTCCACATTTTCATCAAAATGCTTGGACTTGTCATCCTGCAGCTGAAGAGACTTGGTCAGTCCAAAGAGCTGACCAACCTGATTTCCCGCATCCTCCCGAACCACGACCGCCAATTACTCAAAGAAATGGACGTCCATGAGAGAGATCTCGCTGCCCTTCGAAATCACCATGACCTGCTATGCACCCTGTTCTGGGCTACACCTCCCGACATCCGACCGCCTATTCATCAGATCGAAAAACTTGTGGTGCCCGCGAACTCCCACAAGGAGGCTTGTTTGATAAACATCCGTGCCTGGAACCAGCTGGCGCGGTTTGTGATTGCCGCCGATGAAGGCTACGGTATCTTCAAGAGCTTCAATTCCTGGATGAAGAATATCTTCCAACAAATGCTAGAACAATATCTCTCTGCAGAAACGGACATGCACAGACAATTCCAGAGCTTGTCAACAGTCATGATGCAAGGCATTAGCCCTGATATGGTCAAGGCTATGGCGGCTGCCAACAAGGCAGCCGCGATGGATGTGTTGCATGCGTGCACTGTGTCTTCTCTGGACGTTCTCCGGCACGCCAAGTCTCTTGGGGTGGCAACGTATTGTTTCAATGTCGACCAGCTGAGTGCAATCTTCACAAAAATGGATCTGCCGGGGCCTAAGACGAACTGGAGCATCCTCAGCACCGCTCTCGACGTTGTGGATCATTATATGGATCGGCTCGAGAAGGCCGTGGACGAGCAGTACTCCAGTTCGGCGGATGCCACAGACCCACAAGAGGCAGACGACGCGGTGTTGATGCTTGATCACAGGCTGGCCAAAGGGTTCTTCCATCTGGTCAACACAATCACACATATGTCATGGGAGGACCTACCAAAGTCCTCCGCCGACCTACGAATTGCATGCACAGAACGAAGCGTTACCATTGCAGCTCGTCTAGCAAGCCGGTTCATACATTCGGGTCTGTACGGCTTGTCCCGGTTCTTTGGATCCGGCGACTATTGCATATTTGAAAGGTTGCCACACGCGCCGGGCCTCTTGCAGCGCAAGTTCTTGCCTCTTTTCGTATCGGCGGTGCTGCGGAGCAACGTGTTTGATTTCAAGGACCTCGGAAACAGTATCCTAGAGCTGTGGATGCTTGCCATTGTCAAGCCGCAGAAGTTCTTGGCTTACGAGAACCGGCTCGCTGACGTTCTAAAGACGCACGATATTCCTTTTGTTCGGCGAGCAAATATACCCGCAAACGATCAGACACCCAGCTACGACACCAACCGCGCGTATTTCGCCTGTTCCATGACGTCCATACGACAACAGCTGCGGGATGCAGACGGCACCACGCGACGACAACAACTGCGCAGCGATTTTGCGCGAGCCTTAAAGCTCGTGATGCAGCAAATGAAGGAGGACCTACGATATGCCAAGACGGAGCCCGTCGAGCACGAAAAGTACATTGTCTTTGTGCGAGGTGTTGTTGCTTTGATCCGGTCACACGGCAGTGACATTTGCTCGTTGGACACCTTCTTTTACGACCAAAGCCAGGAATTTTCGCCTTCGCCCGAAGACCCTCAGCTGAGGACCGCCAGTATCATAACATACGGCTTGCGACTCAGTGAAGGCGAGGCTACAGCGGCACCGCAGCTCTTCCATTACCTACATAATAACTTCAATATTGCGCTCGCCAACAACAGTCTCGACCAGGAATGCAAGATCCTGGAACGGAGCATGGAAAACGACGTCATATTCGGATTTATGCTGGAACGGATGCTACCCGCGATTCTCCGCGCAACAAGCGAGGCAGAAGAAGCATGGCCGTTGTTGGATGTGTACTACAGCGCGATGGAACGGTTTGTCACGCGATCTCCTGTGCCAAAGAACATCGGCGACGACAACGTCACGGGCGGAATGATTGGGCTGCTGGAGGATATTGTGGCATGGTTCCAGTGGGCAGCGGTATCTTTGGCAGCCGATGCGGCGCGTACTGGACTCACATTTCGTGACGCTGGTTTGGGTGATGCTACGGAAGGGGCTGGCTGTGACACACAGCCGATGGTATTTTGTGTACGGGTGCATACGATGGCCCAATTGGCAGCGCTGGCCAACCTTCTACAGCCGTACTTGATGACGTGTTCATGCCTACCCACTGCCCCATCCATACAGGCGAGGCTCGACGGTATCGTTACCGGATACTACCAGTTTATCGAGTCTGCTCTGGCCGATCTCGCACCTGTGCGTGTCGACAAACGAAGACGATACATCCATCCCGACAACACCGTTGCCGACGAACCAAACGATGGCAACAACCAACTGGGCCCAAAGACTCTGTTTTCATCATTCTTGGTAGTCGAAAACAGCACCGTGTCCTCGAGTCTGAGCAACAGTTGCACCGTCGGGGTGCGCAACGACAACAGTTCCATTGCGAACACCATGAGGAGGTACACGGGAGGCAATAACCGACCAGGTGACGGGTCACAAGTGGACCAGTTCAACAGAAGGATCGTGCAACACGTACGCGATAATTGGATTGTGGACAACGGATCCATCACAGTGCGCAAAGCTGGTGCGCGGCCTGGGATTGGGAGGGGCCCTGGCATGATGGCCGGCTCGGCGACGACGGCAGCAGCGGGCCCGGGTGTCCCATTTGGACCGTGGTCCATGGCTGAGCTTCTGGCCGAGTTACAACTGCAGCTACAGCTCTGGACATTACGGCCGGCCAGTGCTTACGGCATGGGACCGCAGTCGAGGCGTTTGTTCCCGGGTCGGTTACGGGAGAAGAGACGTCTCTAGGTGGCAAACTGCCGTTATGCAAGATACGGTCTAGGTAGGCAAGCGCTTTAACAAAGAGGCGGCAAGCCGTAGCATGCTGTATGAATTATAAACAGAGCCTGCTCGAGAAAGAAGCCGGCATACTCAAGTAGTAGTACAACTGTCTATTTCGTCATCCGTGATAAAATAATTGAAATCAGGCTGCAATGTCGCATATTCGACTTTGGGCGGCCAGCCTCGTGGTGTCTCGTCATGATGCGACCAGGTTACTGGGCAGCCGTGCATGGCGGCCATCCTATGATGACGATAATCGTTTGAAGTACGACATACAATGGCGATGCTGTATGGAGTAAATATCGAACTGTGTGATGAAGTGACTGAGCGTCTGTGAGAATAAAGTCTTTACTTGACTTGGCAGTCCGCTCGGCCCCTGCTCATGTCTGGCCAGCCGCCCTGCGGCAGCATGCAGGAGAGGCTGGCGAGTGCTGCAGGTCTCACCGTCTGTATGCCCCTTATTGGTTTTTTTATTCTGCCCTGGCCTTTGTATCGAAACAGAAAAACGACTGGTGTTCAAATTTTGACACACAGCACACATATACATGTCTGAACCCTTTCTATCTCACTCTCTTTCTCTCTGCACAGATTAATTTGTGCCGCCATTTTTTCGAGGCTTTCTTGTATCACGCCCGTGTCGTCATAGTGAACGGCCAAACAAATCGTGGCTCATTCCATGCACGCCCACGTACCCGGCAATTACAAAGGCAAGACAAACGAAGAAGAATTTCTGTCCTCCATAGGGGAGAAACAAACATTGTTGACAAAGCACCGTGGGGTGGAGACTACATTAGCCCATGCTACCCCCCTGTCTCTCGCTCTCTCGTTAACGGAAAACTGAATGCAAAAAAGGGACAAAAGACACGACCCTTTCGTCAAATCACAGGCTGTAGCTACACACCGTCTCTTTGGTTCATTTGTTCGTCCCTCTTCTGTACTCCCCGCCTCTCCTACCCTGGCTTGCCATGTGGCTCCACACGAGCCATTCTCGTACGCCGCCCGTGTCACTTGATTGTCTGGTCCTGTGCGCCGACCACCACCGGCCTCGTTGGGCTCATTGTTGGCCGTTGATCTGCACCTTTTTTGTTCTTTTCTTATTTTCTTTTTTTCATATTTTATCCTCCATCTCACCTGCTTTGTTCTTCTTTCATCCTGCATTCCGGCGTTCGCTGTAGCTCTGCCACGACGCTGAATTACAAATAAAGAGCCGGAACGACCAATTTCACTCACTATTGCGTCCCACTACTTCCTGCCGTCCACTAACACATGCCCTCAACCTCGAGGTTAAATGAAAGCCACCAACCAGCCATGTAGCAATATCGTGCTGTGTGTCTTGTATGCCGTACAGCCGGCGGGAGAAACGAAGCACGGTGTACATTGCATTGCAGTGCATGTACGACATACGGAGTAGTTTGTTCATGGTCAGGCCGCAACGGACAAGGGCCTCTCGATTCCCTTTAATTTTTATTTTTCTAGAACACTCACACTCGGCTCTTGAAGACACGGGGGCGCCCATTAGTGTACCGTGAGCCAGGCCTGGCTTAGCCGAACCACAGCGTTTGGCTGGGAGCACACGACGTGATGCTATGGAGCATTAGGTATAAACTGAATCGTGTCTGTGGCAGAGCCTGCGACGTGTACAAAATACGACTCCACTGCAGGGCCGCTAAGAGTCCAGATGCACTGCGTGAAAATAAGTCACGGAAACAGATAAAAGAGGTCCGTGGGGACCAAGGCAAGATACGATTCTACGCCCTCCTAGCCGCTCGTCTCGTTACTATGCGAGCCGGTCTGCAGCGGTTGCTTGTCGTCGATGCTCGACCGAAATGTAGATTCCCCGCCTGTGCGCGGCGAATCGGAGCCATGCATCATTGGGCTGCCATCGTGGCTCACTGGGAAATGTGCGTTGTTCAACTCTGTAGGTCGGGCCATACAGAGTTGCAGTGAGCTAGCTAGCTGTTCGTTCCTGCCCTCTTAAATTCCTCATATCCCCGCCCTCTCGTTGGCTGTTGCTTCGTTTGAAAGTCTTTTAGCACCATCCCCTCGTCTTGTTTTATTTCCCGTCTTCTGCTTGTTATTGGTGCCCTCATTTGTGGTTGGCTGGTCTCGCCTCGGCCGTATTTCTCACGTGACTGCTGGTAAAATTGTTGCTACAAAATGTGAAAAAGGCTCACAGCCCGCCCGTTTGGTGCCTCCCACGCGCCAATACAACGCCGTGTTTGGATGTGGGTTTCATTGCTATGCGCCCTTGTCTTGCCCATATTAGTTATATCGCCTTGTGCTTTACCTTTCGCCACGGCTTGCCCTGCAAATTGCAAGGGCATCCATTGCTCTTTCTCTTTTCAACCCTTGCCTCAGTGGCACCTTCCTACGTAGTCTTGAATGATATCCTGAATGACACTGCCTCTTCAGGTTGTTTCCATTTACACAAACAAGCACCAGCACACAACCACGATAGCCACTTCCACGAGAGCTATTCGCTCCTTCCTCCTTTCCTTCGTCTACTTTGGGCAGCCTTCCCCATGCGACTCCCTTCCCACGTTTTTCTAGACAGCTAACCCTGCTCTTCTGTTACCGTCTTTGGGGATTTTTTTTTCTTTTTCTTTTTCTTTTCAGGTTATCACCCTTTGACTAAACGCTCTCTCACCGTACCTTTTATCAAGGGTTTTGGGAACGTCACCGCAATTCCGGGACTCTTAATGCGACCCCGGTTGTTTGCTAGCCCTGCCTCGCGTCTTAATCTGTCCCACCCGTGCCCACTTCCACATCCGCCAGCCTCCTCTCTCGTCTCATCAGGTGTAATGGAGGATCTTTAAGGCTGTGTCCTTTGGAAGGCCATCTTCTCGCTCTCTATTTTCCAGACTCCTCTCTCCTTTCCCATTTTTGTCGGCCGTTCTCCATTCTTGGTTTGTTTCCCTTTTTAGCCAATTTATTTTGGGAACATCTGCAATTTTTTGGACGCCATCACCTCACTTCTCGCATCAAGGCCTCCGCACGTCCAGTTTTATTCGCCTGGCGCATCGCCATCCGCGTCGCAAACGCCAAACACGATACTGACTGCGCATTCTTTGCTCAGTGGTGTTTCGTGGCCTTTCGTGACGGCACGCACCATTTACGCCAATTGGCTCCTCGTCGCCATCTGCTCCCGACTTACTTGTAAATGGACAACAAGCGGTACCGGGACGCGGACTACGAGGCTGCCTCGGCATCTGGAAAGCGCGCGCGCCTCGATTCGGCTGGCCCTGCTGGCCCCGGTGACATTAAAAACATTGCACACCAAGTACTCTTCAGAGACCACAGCAGCGAGAGTAACAGCCGCAGCGGCAGTGGCTTCTTGGCCGTAAACGACTCCAGCCATGCGCAACCCCTCGTCGCATCGGCTCACGACCACCGCACCAGCAGACCCAATGGCCCGGTGTCCGGCCATGACAGCGCTGCCAATAGCACGTATGCAAGCAGGAACGGCAACGTCGCTAGCCGGACAAATTCCGCCAGCCACACTGCCATCGTCGCAAGCGACCGTGCGCCGCTTGAGACCATAACGGACGTCAGTCGGCAGTTCAAGCAGGCGGTGAGTACAGGCTGGGATCAGCGGTCTCCGACGTACGCGGGTGCCAATGTACTACTCCTTTACTGGGAACAAGACAGCCACGAGGTCAAAGAAGCCACATGGCGCCTCGACTCTGTTTTTCGGCACTCGTTTAACTATGCCACGGAGACTATCTCGATCCCCTCAGCCAACGCTGAGTGGGTGCTTAATTCTACCGTGGAGGCATTTTTTAGCAAGAACAACACGCCTGAGAATTTGGCTATTCTCCACTACGCCGGACGTTGTCTCGCGAGCGAGACACCGGGGGCGCCCCCTATCTGGATGCCGTACGTTACCACACCGCCTGCATCTGTTCTCTCGTTGGAACCTACTAGACAGTTCAAGCCCTAATTAAACTAACTTTAAAAGACGACATGATGGTGCCGACATTGCCATAGACTCGGGAGCCATTGAGTCAGCTTATAATGGCTCACTCTGTGATGTACTGTTGCTGTTGGACCACAACTGCATCCGCCATCGTCAATATCCCAAAAACCCTCTCGGTACCGCACGGCGCAAGGCCGTCGAAATCATCGATGCGCCTCCTGTTGAATCTGAGCAAGCTCATGTCAGCTTCACAAAGGCCTTGGCCGACGAGTTGTCCACCGTCGCATATGGCGACTCACTATTAGTCGAAACTCTGCATAAGCGGGTTGCGGCCCGGATGACCATACATAAGCCCCGTGGCCGCGGCCGTCCACCAAAAGAGCCCGTACCAAGACCCATCGCCGATCAACAACACTTGCCAAATCATTACTACTTGCAAGAGTTCCGCAGCATCGTTCTTGCCCCCATTCCGAACGAGCCACAAGGTAAGTGAAGCTTAATTTTACGAAGGGAGCTATGTCCTGGGCAATGACCACGAGTGGCCTCGAGTTTATTGACTCTTCTCCATAGTTGTACTGTGCATCCGTATCCTAAACGGCGCACCGGATATTAGCAAATGGGCCCAGTGGATATACGACGCAAATCCACAGGCACGGAACAGCGTTCAAATCGAGGGACTGTACTCGGGGTTCTCGACCATGATTGTGGTTCGAGTTCCTGCAGCTGATTGGGAACTCTTCGCCAGGTGTCCTGCTGGATCGTTTGTTGGTTACAGCACAATAGGAGACATCCCTTCCAACCTATTGAGAAGGATTGATGAAGACCTCTCTGCGAAACTCTGGGCTGAAGATGAACCGCCACTACCACCAAGACACCCATCAACGGCCAATAGCGCCGCCAGCTACCCACCCCTCCCTTCCGCCAACTTTTTCACTCCCCGGAAGTTGTTCGCGTCAGATAGACTCGAAACATCAACTAGCGGTGTTGACAGCGATCTCGGCCTTAAGAAGGTCAGAAAGGCATTGCCGACTGAAAGAAAACTTCTTCCTTCGGGTCCCGGACCTACTTTCTTAACAAACCGGAGAATTGAGCAGACCCCAGTGTCGACCGACCGAGCCGTGTACAGGCCTCCACAGACCAGCATTCATCAGCCGCACGAGCAACAGCGTGTATCTCAGCAAGAACTGTCTCGCCAACTTGTCGAAAGCGGCCTTTCGGAAAGAGATGCGTTGCTTGTAGCTGCCGCACAGAAGCCGTTTAAGATCTCGATTAAGTTGGCTGGCCAGAACCACATGTGCAGCGAATGTAACGCTGGGTTTAAGGATGTCGAGTCGCTGCGAAACCATGTGCGAAAACAGCACACGCGACCCTTCCACTGTGTATTCAACTGGGCCGGGTGCGAGTCAACTTTTGCCAGCAAGAACGAATGGAAGCGTCACGTCATGAGCCAGCACATTTTGCTACACTACTGGGTTTGCCAGGTGGAATTATGTAGCAAGGTGGTAAACAAAGCACCGGGTGCCGCTCACAGCAGCTTTTCTCTTCCCAACGGTGCCATATTTAACCGAAAAGACCTCTTCACACAGCATTTACGGCGGATGCACACACCATCACATGTTCGAAAGTTGACGAAGCAAGCTAAAATGGCAAATAAGACTGCCAACCATCCCGCCATTCTAGAATGGGAAAATCGCATGAAAGATCTACAGCAGGACGGTATCAAACCGCGCTGTCGGCTGCCGGACTATATGATTTGTCCGTCTCCAGGTTGTGGTGTTGAGTTCCATGGCAACGGTGCATGGGACGATCGTATGGAGCACGTAGCGCGACATCTCGAGGGTGCTGCCGCCGGCCGCGAGGCGCTGGTTTTTTTTGGCGGCAAGTCCGATCCCACATTGACCAACTGGGCCACGCGGCCCGAGGTAGGAATTGCTAAGAGGGTCGGGCCGGACGCGTGGCAGTTGGATAATCCACTCCGGCCCGAGATTCGGGAGTGGACTGAGAACGATCACGATATGGTCGGCATGTCACCTAGGCTCCTTGCTGAAGAGAGGATCCTGCCTTCAAGCGAGCCTTCTCAACAGGACGAAGGTGGCGGGGATAATGACAAAGCAGAGCATCGCGACTCTTCGTCCGACAATAGGAGTAGCCGAGAAAGATCCAAGTCGGTAATCGAGGTTGCTGGACCACAGTCGCCGATCAGAGGTGACAGCACGGATCCCGAGCCTGATCAACTAAGCGGCCCTAGTCGCACTCCCGAAGACGAAGTCACAAAGGATGATGGTGTCTCGAACCCCCAAATGGCGCCCAAGGAACAGCTACGGCAATCTATAGAAGCCAGCAGTCCATCCATTGTCGCCAGCTAGAAGGCTGATGGCAGTCCACTGGAGGGATGGCCACGGCCGTGATTGCTAGGGCCCTAGATGCGGAAGAAAGGGAAATCAATGTCAAGTGGATCAGACATTGTATGAAGTGTCGAAACCACCTCCTTATTATTAGGGTCATTTTTGCAAAACAGAAAACATTGGGGGTGGCTTCACGAGCACACAAAAATAAGAAAACACAGCCAACACTCTACGATCAACGAGGACAACAAAAGGGGTTTTACTGAAAAGCAACAAAAATTAAAATAGGGTTCCCCAAGGGCAACCATTACGTATGGCGGAAACAACCAGCGCAGCACTTTTTCGTCACGTTGTTCGTCCCTGTATATGAAACATTACGCGTCTTTGTTGACATGACGCCGAATTCGTTTTTCTTTTAGGGTATGTGGCGATAGGTACGAACTCTCGCCAAGGTTTTGGAACTCACTCGCCCATTTTCACTGTTTTGTTATCCAGTGACAAAATTACGTTTTTAAGGATGATTTTTTTTGTCATTAAGACGATATTTATTCTATGTGCTATCTATGTAGCAATACAAACAAAAACAATTGGTTTTGGACCTTAGTACGGAGAAAATAAGGCTACTTACATGATTGAAATTTACAATAACCGACGGCCCTCGTGAATCAACGCGGTCTGACTGCCATATCTTACATTGTAAGGATACAACAAAACACGCACGACACATCTTACGCCCATAATTTTGACTAGGCGGGCTGCCGCACACGGGCCTCCTCGGTTTGCGGCGGACCCTTAGCCACTTCAAAGCCCATACCCCGCTGCCGCTTGCGCCTGCGCTTGCTACTGTTGTCGCCGTAGCGCTCGTCAAACCGACGGATCGCCTGCAGGGATGCCATGTCCTCGCTGATGCTTGCGCCAATTTCTTGCAGTGCGCGGTCAAAGTGGCGGCCAGACAACACGCGCCGCTCCGGGAACACAAACGGATCGGGGCCCGTGTGTGCAGCTTGTGCCCGCACCTCCTCACGAACAGCAGCCATGGCGGCTGCCACACAGAGGTTTTTGAGATCGGAGCCGGAGTACAGCTCGGTGTCGGCAGCCAGTTTCTCGAGAGAGACGGTTTCGCTGTCGAGCACCTCGTCGCGTAGCATCACGCGAAGGATGGCAAGGCGGCTTTCGCGAAGTGGGAGGTCCACGAGGAGGCGCCGCGGGAGGCGCCGTAGCACGGCCTCGTCAAGGTCAAAGGGCCGATTCGTAGCCACCATGATGAACGCCTTCATGTTGGATGTGAGGCCGTCCCATTCGCGCAAAAACTGATTGATGGTTTCACGATGCCCACCACGGCCGGGCCGGGTTTGGCGGGCGCCGAGCAGCGCATCGGCCTCGTCGAGGAAGATGACGACGGGTGACAGCTTGCGCGCAAGGGAGAACAAACCCTGGACGTTCTTCTCGCTGTTGCCGACCCACATGTCGTTGATGCTCGCGGCACTGATCTCAAGCATGTTGGCGCCACTCTGCTTGGCAACGGCCTTGGCCATGAGCGTCTTGCCTGTACCAGGGGGTCCGTACAGAAGACAGCCGGGAATGCGTTCCGCAGCAAGTACACCATACAAGAAAGCCTCTGGACGGATAAGCGACAAGGAGGTCAGGGCCTTGAGGGACTCTTTGACCTCAGCTGGTATCACGATATCGTCAAAGGTAGTCTTGATTTCATTGGCATCGATTAGGTCGCTGAGAAACTTCTTTTCGTACTCGGTGTAGTCGCTGGACGCCACTTTTTTGAGGACGCCGCCGATGCGAACCTCATGAGTTGGCTCAGATTCAGCATCTGTTTCTTGGTTGACCGTAAGGGGCGAGTAGTAGGGTTCCTGGGCGCCGGTAGTCTCTTTCCACATTTTGTCCTGGTCCTGCGTGGATCGGAGTGCCCGTAGGAAGGAGTGCTCGTTGAGAGTGTCTTTCAACTGTGACGAGAGAGCGGGTGCGTGTGAGGAGGGCTGTGGGGAAGGCATGTATCCGCTGTTACCAATAACCTGTGCGGCAAAGCGGTACACCCAATGAATGTCAAAGATTGTAGATGAGAGGGCAGATTTAAGCTCAGCATTGACGCCGTTTGGCCATGTGAGCGCATTCTGATTCAGCTGCTGGGACGTCAGTGCCGAGATCATTGCCCGGATGTTGCTCAAATTTTCGTTGAATGTGTCCTGTGCTTCCATTTTGCGAGTCGAGGTGCCTTCAGCCACGCGGTATGGAATGACGTGGCAGTCTTCCTGGCGCAAGTCCTCCGCTCTCTCTAGAAGACTGGGGTTCGCGTTCATGTCGGCTGATGTAGAACCAACCAGAACGATTTTGCGGCCCTTTTGCCAAAGACGGTCGACGATGTTGCGTAACTTGATGAGAATCTGAGTGCCTTCGATGGTGGAGCTCAGTTCGAGAAAGTGGTGGACGTGAAGGATCAGGTTATGTGGCTTTGTGGCCGTAGGTGTCATTTTTGTTGACGGCGGTGATAATGGTGATGAAGATGGCAACGACGACGACGGCAAGGATGTAGCATCCGCAGCGCGAACCATGGCCTCGAGAACGTTGTTAATCTTGAGATCATCCCATCGGTCGTCCGGCTCAGATGTTGCGAATCCTTTCATTGGCAACCGGGACATCCCCGAAACCCTCATAATGGACACGGGTATGCGCGACAGAGACACGTCGGAGTCGTCGTCGCTGTTGGGCAAACTTCGCGAAACCGTCTGGCCATTCTTGAGCGCCGCCGAATAGCCAAGCATGGCAATATTCCCGCGAGCCCAGTAAGCTGTCTGGCCGAGATAGGGTCCTGCAATGTTTGCAATGCTGCCAGCATCGAGATGAACCACATGCGCTGACAGGGCGCGGGCCACGTCGTCAATAACATTCACAGCCTTGCTCCGGCCCTTGTAGTTCATGATAGCCAAGACAGACACAGGTCGTTTCGAGTCCTTGCTTGATTTCGCCGGTGACACGGCGCCTAACTCAGTCGCAACTGTAGAATATAGTTCCTGGAACACGAGGTACTCGCCGAAGTCGGTCCTTGTAGGAATACCATGCGCAATGGCAGAGTCTGCTGCCATTGCAATGGAGCGTGGCGAGCCCTTCTCCAGGCTCGCCTTGATCGCCTCTCTGGATGGCTTGCCAAATGGACGGTGCGGGAGGCTCAGAGCATTATCCGGGTCCAGCCGGCCAATCTGGGCCGTTTTCGTCAACTCAGATACATTTTCTAAAGGTAAAGGCAATGTCCCAGGGCCGTGATATGCGATGGATGCTACTGCATATGACGCAGCGGCAGCAATTGCAGCTCCCCGCCTTGCCACGGCTTCAATTTGCTGACCGTCACGCAGATGCGCCGCAGCCTGGGCGACCTTGTGCGCGTCCCAGGAGGCGCCATCTATCCAAGCATCAAAGTAGCGATGTAGTGTCTCCCGATCGCCAATGGAGAGCGAGGAGAGGTCGGTGCCGTCCGGCGATGAGGTCTGAGGAGGTGTGGAAAATATGAGATTGCTAGCTGCCTCGAGGTCGGAGCTGAGTGATTGTGCGGACGTAAAGGTGGTATGGTCCTCACGGTACAGACGAACTCGGTCCGTTAGGAACCAGTCGGGAAGGGTAATGGCCGGCATGCCGTCCTGGTTCCGGGTCCGTGCTGCTCGATTACGCCCACCACCAATCCCAACGGCCACCGAGAATGTCTCCTTGGGCCCATCGGCTGATTGCGTGGCCGTTGCGGGTTCCGATTCCGGTATTGGTACTGTCGGAACTGTGGGAGCTGGTGGCGTAAAAGGGGTTGTCTGGCTAGCGGCTGTATTGACCGAAGCTGACGTTGTCGGCCAAGTGTCCTGGCTTGGGCCGCTGTCCTCTGAAGCCCCCTTGCCTCCGCTAGCCGCATCCTGCGGTCGTGGTTCATCGTCTCGGCTGGGATTGGGGTCACCCGTTCGTGCGGACCGCGCTGGCGAGCCGATGAATCCACGGACAGCGCCGAGCGTCGGCCTATTTGGGATGATGCGACGGCGGTATTGTTTGGGTGCCGCCGCCACCGACTGTAGGGCCCGGGCCCCTACGGTATGCATCCGAAACACGTACTGTTGGCTGCCCGTCGCATTGGGCTGTTCTGGGAGTCGTAGCGTGTCCCTTTCTTGTCGGCGCGGGCCTGTTGCATGAGAAGGTCGGATGTTAAAACAGCGGATGAAGTTCTGATGCGAAATTCTTCTTAAAAGAGACCCTATAATACATAGTTGCGCTAATCCTGGCCAATAACAAGCCGGCATGGCTGAGCCTGTTTAAACCTCTTTCTTGTGGCCACTAAAGGCTAGCGCAATACCTTCCCCTGTAAAATGACAAGGTCGCTATAAGTGCTATTGGGTCATTAGTATTTTACTTGCTATTAAGCCATTGAAATAAAAAAAAGTGGTATTTTATTCCACCTATCCAGGTACACCGCAAGGCACATCTATCTATTTACGGCCCCAACTATGACTCGGTGCTTGGTTTGAGCCCCTCGACCGTCAGCGCTGCCTTGTACAAATTCTGGGCTGTCTCCAGACTGGTGACGGTTGGCCCAAGCAAAACATGCACTGCCTTTCGACCGCCGCCGATCATCTCCGGCCGCCACCGGATGCGCCGGCCTGTGCGACCAAACTTGACGCGAATCTCCTCCTTCTTCTCGTCGATCACTTTGTTCCGCACCTCCTCGGCCTCGTCGGCTACGGCCTCAATCCGTGCCATGGACCGCGCCAGTGATTCTACGTGGTATGCCAGTTCCTGTGCCCGATCTGGGTCCCCGGATAAAAATGCGTTCCAGAACTGCTTGAGAAACTCCGTCGTCGTCGCGTTTGTAATGTACGCTTTTTGTGCAATTTCCGCCGGGATTCCCATCGGCGTCTGCTCGTCGCTGCTGTGGCCGTAGAGTTCGGCACGTTTCTGGGCGACCGCTGCGAGAACCTGCTTCTGCGCTGCCTGCCGTGCTGCCCGCGAGCCCACGTGGTCGGGTCTTCGGGCGTTCTCCT